ACACAGGCCAAGAATGCAATAGCATATACTGAGAAAGAATCTGACAAGAATATTGCTAACTGGTGAAATAGCTCCTCAAAAGTGAAATCAAACAGCCACATGCAATTCAGAGGCTGATTTTGAGAAGCAGGACTCAGCAGGACCCATCTCATCAGCACAGAAACTGTTCACACCATTTTCTTCAAAAGCCATCAAGGTGCTACCCCTGTCATGGTGCTTGTGTGACTCCTATTAAATACTCCAAACTCCTATTAAATAACAATAAATATGACGTCTGTACATCGCTTTGCACATTGTATAATCACAGCTGAACAGAAAACTTGAAAAAGTGAATTCTAGCAATATCATATTTTAATCAGTGAGATTAATTGTATCTAATTAGGGCTGGGGATCACAGGGTTCCTCACGATTCTATATTATACATGGTGCTTTATAAATGATGGCGATACTATATTAACACGATATGATGATTCACGCTGTAATCAGTACTCTGTGATAGAACCAAATACATTTTAGCAACAGTATTACTTTGGTGAACTACTACCTGTGCAATTAGTTAACATGAAATACATGTATTTTAATCATCAAAACAGTGAATATGTCAAGTGTACACTGCAAAAACTAAAACCTAGCCAAGTTAAGATTACTTGATTTAAGGTTTTATCATCATTTGAGTAAATTTCACAAGACAAGTTAAAATTATCTACCAAATGAACAAGATGTTTTTTTTATTTAAAATATGAAAATATACATTGCTATACTTAAAATAAGAAAAAGCTCTTTGCACTTATAATATACAAAATCTAATGTTGCTTGAATTAAGAAAAATACACTTGCTCTAGTTGAATCTACCTAGTTTAATCTATCTTGTAAAATGTTGTTAATTTAAGTAATTTTAACTTACCTTGATATTGTTTTTTGCAGTATATTGCATAAACAAGTTTCCTTACACTAAATAAGCAACAAAATTGTTGTGCGGTCACACAAAAACTGCTAAAAGATAGCAAAAAATACAATATATCAATACAGCCGGCCCCAATATCAACATTGAATCACCAACTTTTGTATCACAAGCTACTGATATTTCAGTATTTTTGCACACCCGCATATTTGTTGTCTACGCAGGAGGCTAGCTGCAGTTCCTTCAGCCTTGCCTTGGATTAATGCACACATCCACATTGGGTTTTGGTTAGCTGTGTGGTCTGGACAGGAAGGGGCTCAGCAGGGCACACACACACAGAGATCCGCTGCCAGGCCATCTTCCGCACCTCTCCTGTTGCAGCGGGAGTCAGAACTGGCCAGGCGTCCCTCGAATCATAGACATCCTCATATTGCAAACATGCACCCGGTGCACAGACGGAAACTGGCAGTGACATGCTGTCCAGCTCCTCCGTCTCAGGGCGCGAGGTTGGCCTGAGCCATCTATCATACAGCCAGCAACACAGTAACCCAAGACATGAGTGGCAGCAGTGCACACACACACACACAAGTACTGTATGTGTGGCATGTGTAAGAATGTGTAGCTACAAATAGAAGCTCGTGACCCCCAAATAAATATAGAAATAATATGTATGGAATTGTGGATTGTGATCATAGCTACATACATACAAGCTTTTTGTGCACTTGGCTTGTATCTGTAAAAACATGACCTGCTGACCCTTATTATAGGTATGGAAAATATTCATTTTCAAAAGTGGTTATTTAAAAAGAAAAAGAATAAACAGAACATTTACATTTTATCTGTTGTCATATAAACATTGATTAGCTATAGGGTTTGTGTCATCCAACTATACCAGGAGCAATGATGTGGTATTTTTGAAGTCAAACGAACTGTCCCTTTTTGATGACTGATTGAGTAAAGGTTTACCAAATAAATAAGTCTAAAGGTCATGTCTGTTGTCTAATATTGACAATGTTGTGAATACATGTTCCAAGAATTTGTTTTCTCAATACTAATTTTAAGTTACTTTATTCCGGTACTTTTTCATTTGGTAATATTTAGACTTACTTTTCTAAAATCAAAGGAATACATTTCAGTATTCGGTCTTCAAACTGCTCATAATCAGTGAGAAAATAGACAACTCTGCTCTTGTGGTGAGTGCATGTGTGATTTTTCCATCTCCAGTTAGTGATAGGAAATGTTTTGAAGCAAATATAAAGCAGTTTTTAATACTATGTTGTGTCTTTACACTATAATATAAAAGCAACTTGATGTGAAAATATTTTAAGTTTTCAGAGTACATACTCAGACTGGCCCATGTAGCAGAATACATTACAAAATGTGAATGCAAGTATTCAGTGTTCTGTAACTAAATACATTTTCAAAGTATCCTTCCCATCACTGTATACTGACAGACAAAAGGCTATATCTTTGCTATTGGCCTGTATGTGGAGGTTATTCAGCTATAATTTATTTCTCATTGACTTCTAACTCCTTAATATTTGATTAGAAACAACTTTGCATGGAGCATGGTCGTTACTGGTCACAATTCTCCTACAGACAACCAATAGGCTCCCCTGCTTCTACTCCTCTCCCTGCCTTGCTCCCCCTGTTAAGCAGCAGCCTGTTCAGGGCCCTTATCCTACCCGGGTCAGATTGATAGGGTGACGCCTTTCATTTGGAGAAAAGTGGCCAGTTAAGTTTTAAATGAGTACAGAGTTATAGGGAAACTGATGCATCCTCCAGAGTTAAAGCCCCTAAGAGCACAGGGGATAAAATGAGGGGATGAAGGAGGAATAAATCTGCGTGTTGGCTGCCATCGATCGTCTCTCCCTCCCTCTTCTCTGCTATCTCATCTGCAGGGGCTGAAGGAGGCCGAACGGTTTAAACGATCCTGACCTTGTCCGACATAAATAGTCAGAAAAGTCCACAGCGCAGATAGCTTTGTGTAAGCTTTAAGGGGCGAGATAACAGGAGGGGGGTTAGATAATGCCCCGGTGTTACTACATCACAAGACACGCTCCTTACAAATACACACGGAAACATCCTATAGCCCGACTTCCACCTAAAAAGTAAATGATCTTTCTTTCTTTCAAAGCTTCTGCAGCAACTCCCTCAAAGCAGAGCACGGAAGCGCTCAATTGGTTCCCTGTTCTGCGCCCCTGAAGCAGACACGAGTGTTTTAAAGTAGGAAAGGGAAGGCTTTTGTGCGTCTTTTTCTTTTGAGTGTAATGCAGCTGTACCTGACAGTGGCGTTGCCCCCAGGTAAAGCCACAAATCTCTGCCTCCATTGTCACCTGTTCCTCTAATCATTTTCCGCCCGTCATGCCACAATGGAGCGGGGCGATAACGATAACGAGGTGAAGCTAATACAGAGCAGGGACGGGGAACGCACAGACACAATGTTCAGATGTCTTCACTGGCTCTTCACTGGCTCTTTCTTGCACGTTCATACAGACTTAAATGCAGAGACACACTTACAGGCGCGCGCACATTTGGCCTTTCTTTCAGACGCTTACTCTCTAATGTTCACTTTTCATTATGGGCTGATAAGAAGACTTGTGCATATTTTATTTTAGGTCTATGAAGAACTCTAAATCGTGCTTAGACTGAAGCAATAGGCCTACTATGTAGGTTATAACATTATTTTAGGGTTGGCTATTAAGCTATTGTAGTATTTTTATTGTGAGTGGCAGATTCAAGAAGTGGCTTGTATTGAAATGTTGGCCCCAGTGTTAATATTAAGACATCGCATTTGTTATAGACCTTTAACCTGCCTTTTCAAAAAAGAAAAAAAAGAAGAAAAAAATATATTTTGGCGCCATAGACCTATTGCCCACATTAAGATTTCAATGAATTAGGCTACTGGTTATGTGTAATGTCATGCCCCAGATCTGTGGTCATCATGGTTCAAAAAGAGGCCCACATTGATTGTTTGATATTTGACACTAGAAGTTGTCTAAACTGCCTATAAAGGTTAAGTTTTCATTCCGGCCTGTCCATGACTGGTGTGATTGTGTGGCCTCGATAGAAAGATGGAGATGAGGAGGATGCAGTTTCGTGGCTGCATTTATCAGAGTCTGGCATCGCTGTAATTTCAGTGTTCAGATCCAATCGCTCCGGCTTCCCTCAGGAGTAAACAATAACAAGCACAGATACAATAGGCAAACACGGCCTGCAAGACAGAACAGACTCACAGATGCACGACTACACCATGCACCACATCCTTAATCTATTGCTATAGAATCCTATACAGACAATAGGCCTAATTTGTCTCAAATTATATAGGAAAAACTTTCTCGTAGTCTACTCATTTCCCGTATGTTTTTGAAATGGTTTTCGCTCAAAAGGCCTACTGTTTTAAGAGCCTGCGCTGCAGCGTCCTAGTCTCGTTGTATTTGTGCGCCACCTGGTGGATTTAGTGCCTATTACATAAAATGTATGTTTTTGTGTGTGTGTGTGTGTGTGTGTGTGTATATATATATATATATATATATATATATATATATATATATATATATATATATAATATCATATGATTAAAAGGGCATTTCCAGACAAGTTTTGTTTAATTTTGTTTTCATGATAAATTGGCCCAAATAACAATGAGCCGTAGCTTCCTTTTTAGTTTAGAAAACCTCCATTATAACCTCAGATCTCAGAGTTAAAGTTTTGGTGTAAAACAGGCATTAGAATTAAGATTCAAAGCCTTAAAAATTGTGATGGCTTAAAAGTTCTACTAAAATGTATATATTTGAATGATTCACTGACACAAACCAGTCAGAGCCCCTCTGCTTCATGTATGATTCTGCATTCTATCTTAAATGCATGTTGCTTTTTCCTATTACTTGTGCATGGCCTACATGGAACAAACACATATGTTTCCAGGTTATTTGATACGTACAATGGTTTTAGCATTTGAAGCAAGACAGAGTGACCTTCATGAGCTATACATTATGCACAAATTAACTTCTAAAAAAATCTCATGTATGAATTTGGTGCACAAATGAATGCAAAAAGAAAAGATTGTGCTGTAATAAACATAAGCATCAAGTGAATCTTAAAGTTTACTAACATTTATTATGACCTAATAGAACACTGCAATGCAAGAGACATTTTTTCTGTAAGATTTATTGTCTCTGTATATTTTACAAATAGAAGCACATTGGAACATATTTAACTTCTAACAGGTCTGAAGCACGAAAGAGAGCACTTGATACTGGAAATGTTGATTGCTCCCATTTATCTGCAAAAAAAAAAATTACCCAAATGTAAGCTCAAAGAGTAGGACAGTCATTCAAGCAATAACTAGACAAACTAAAAAGTCACAGCCCAATCTACTGTTCAACTATCCTGCTATACTTTCTACAACACAATCTAGTTTCAATCATCTCACATTACCTCTTCAGTAAAGACAAGCTTCAGTTCCTTTGTTTTGAGCAGAAAATATTTAACAGATTAGGTAAGTTTGGAAAAATAAGGAGTTTACATAGTAGAAAAATTAAGTGGTTTTGAAACCAGAACAGTATAAAACAGAAATTGTTCAGGATAATGTGATGTCATTCTTTTTAACTGCAGTGAAAGTGGTGATGCACCAGATTAAGAAATTAAGAATGGGTTAAAGTTACCCTGAACCAAGATTACATCTCATTCAGAACTCCACAAACAACTTGGTTAAAAGAACTGGTTTACAGCTGATCAATTGCCTTCATTTGCTTTTGAGATTTTATATCGATTCAGGCTGAGGCACACTTCTATTATATTCTTGACTTTCAAATACCAAAGATGGGATGGCATACATTTTCTTGCAACTGTGTCAATTGTATTAAACCAATTACGTTGAAACTTACAGAGCAGCAGCTCCAGAAATGATCTCAATGAGCTCCTTGGTGATGACAGCCTGTCTGGTACGGTTGAAGGTCAAAGTCAGTTTGTCAATCATTTCAGCTGTAGGAAACACACATCAGTTAGTACTTAATAGACAGCAGTTTTACAATTAAAAAAAATGGCCATGCACATAATCCTTACAAGCATTCTTGCTGGCACTATCCATAGCAGTCATACGAGCACTCTGCTCACTGCAGGATGACTCCCTCAGGGCCAGGTAGATGATGTTCACTAGTGCAAACTCTTGGTAGTTCCTCAGAACATCAGCATCAATGTCATCGTAGATGCCCATTGTCTCTACAATAGACAATTAAATACTTTTTTATATTATTATCTGAAATTAATTACAAGCAATATTTTTGTGCAGCAGTCTTATTTTGTGCATTCACTCTTCTACACCTTAACTTACCAGCGTTAGCAACTGTGTCTGTGGAAAACACAGGCTTCTGGTCTGTCTTGTAAGAAATAACAGACCTATGGGAAGAAAGTAAATGTTATTGTTCCCAAATGTGTACAATAAAAAGTAATTAAAACAAACAAATGTACCTGAATCGGTTGAAGATGACAGCACCCTGGTCAAATTCATACCCAGAGTTAAGCAGCTCAGTGGCAATAATGGAGGCATCCCCAAAGCTGGGAGGCTTGCGACCCACCTCCTTACAGTTAAGCATAATGTGCTTTCCATGAGTTCTGGTAAGAACAATTTTATACAAATCAAGATTATTTTTGTGTGTTTTTAAGTGTTTTAAGTATTGCAAATTTGACAATAGACAGACTGTACCTATGCAGCAGACCCCTCAGCTTGTCTCCCACATTTACCACCATGACCTCCTTGCCTGCACCACTGAGGGAGGCAATTTCACTCTTGATCAACTTGGCCACTCCAGAGTGGATTGCTCCACAAAGCCCACGATCAGAGGTCACACCAATGATAAGATGCTTGGCAGTCTTTTCCTCTGGTGCTTTGATATCAGCCTTCTCATACAGGGCTGAAAATAGGAGTAATTGTAATTAGTAATTATAATCATTCTTATATCAATATTTAAGTAACAAATGATACTCTTAAAAGATACATACCCAGAGCACCAGTTCCATACACACGAGCTGGCTTCAGCTGCCTCTCAGCACGAGCATACTTTGCAGCGGCCACCATTTTCATGGATTTTGTGATTTTCTGGATGTTCTTGATGGACTTCAACCGAATGGTGACTTGAAGAGGGGGAAAAAAAAAATAAATAAAAAATTAAGTCAACAACAATGACAGCAATGTAGAAAAATGTAATTCAGAACAATAAAAAGAGTGATTTTGGAAATGTAAGCCTTTAATTGCCTTGAGTTTAATTTATTTTAATAAAAGACATTTTGCTGTACCATCATAGCCATGTTGCTCATATGAAAAAAAATACTCAAAATAGTTTATGTAATGCAAGCCTAGCTGAACTATTTAAGATACTTCAAAACAAAATTGTACATTTTATGGTTTAACAAAGTAATAATACCATTTCAAAAACAACTTTACTTGAAATAATCCTAGGTTTCTTTTCACAATATTGCTTTAATATAATGGCATAATTATAGTGACCCATACATCAAGAAAATAATCACAGTACCCAGTGATTACATGCTCACGTCTTTAGATTTCAATTTCCCTGTCATTTTCCCTGTTGTGCAGAATGCCTATCTTCTATGCCCACAAGAAGAGGAAAGTACTTACTGTCCTTCAGGGTAGCCATGTTCCTGACCTGCCCACTGTCGAAATAAACAAACACAATACACAGCATTGTAGTAATGTTAAATCACTTTGTGAAGTGCACAAGTTACTTGAACCTTTTTCATTGCTTTAGTTAGAGTAGGCCAGTATAAATTGCGCCTTGAATTAACAAGATCAGTTAGCACGTTCATTCTGTAAATTTGTTCTGTTTAACATTTTGCCTGTCCCCGAGGACAAAATTGTTAATCTAATGTGACCCTGCAAATGTCTACACATATGTTTTCAGGTGTGACTCTAAATGTTAGAACATCAGCTTTAAACCTCTGAACTTGGTTCAATATCGCTCTCGTTCATTAGCAGCGGCCTGCATGTTAGCACGTCCTTGTGTGCTTATGCACGATCTATAGGCAACACAACAATACAGTTCCTTCATCACTCGACAACTAATATATCGTTCTAAAAGGTATCAGCTTGGCCAATCAGTAAAATGTTTGATTATTTCCATTTACCATTGTGGGGAGAACACTAACGCGCTGGTCCTGGCGAACATGGTTACTCCAATGAAGGTCAGACGCGCAGGAGTGCGCAAGCGCAAGAAAAGAGCAAAATGGACGAATGGTGCGTTCATGAAAAATTGTACTGTAAAGCGTTAGTAAATATAGTCTATGGTAAATACAGGTAAGTGAATAGAAACAAAAATATGATGTGATAATGATTATTAACGTATTTCTGAAATAAAAAGATTTACACTGGATGTTCAATATTTTAATATATAATACATAAAATAACAAAATCATAATCGAAAAGAGTGACACAAGTAGTACTTGAAGGCAACTGAGCCTCTCGCGAGATCCTGATACGTACACGCGGAAACGCGGATCTAGTTGTGGAAGGAAAACATTTACCGAGTGTCTTTAAAAATTAAAACGGTTTGCTGTTTGTGTCTACAGTTTTGCTGCTCTGTCCACTTATTGTCTGAATAGATTTTATTGAGTGTTAAATCGAGATGGGAAAAGCGGATTTCCTCTCTCCAAAAGCTATTAGTAATCGAATAAAAGCCAAGGGTCTACAGAAACTGAGGTGGTATTGTCAGATGTGCCAAAAACAATGCAGAGATGAGGTAAGCCACCTTTTTTGTTTACTAAATTCATATTTCGTTATATGTTTTCTTTCTGTAACTGAGATTTCAAATTTATGTATGTATTTATTATATATTTATTGTTGTTTGTTTGTTTAGAACGGCTTCAAATGCCATTGTATGTCTGAGTCACATCAGAGGCAGCTGCTTTTGGCCTCAGAAAATCCTTCCAAGTTTATGGACTACTTTTCAAAGTAAGCTCAGAATCTGACTAACAACTAATTTAAGTAATGTAACTCTAGTGGAAATAAGATTAACCTTTATTTTATTTTTTCAGTGAATTCAAACATGATTTTCTTGAGTTGCTTAGAAGACGTTTTGGTAAGTTTAAATTAAAGTTTTTGTTTGTTTTTTATTTTACTTTTTTTTTGGTCATTTTTGATCCTGTAAGTCGCTAATGTTATTTCTTGTAGGAACCAAACGTGTGCATAACAACATTGTGTATAATGAGTACATCAGTCATCGAGAGCACATCCACATGAACTCTACTCGATGGGAAACTCTAACAGATTTCACCAAATGGTTGGGAAGAGAAGGTCGGAAACATTTAATAAATTGTATATAATCTGTATGTTGTTTTATCATTAAAAATACATATTTTATTAGAGCATAGTAATAAACTGCTTTTGGCTGTTTCTAGGGTTGTGTAAGGTGGATGAAACTCCTAAAGGCTGGTATATTCAATATATCGACCGTGACCCAGAGACTATTCGGCGGCAAGAGGAACTGGCTAGGAAGAAAAAGCATGACTTGGATGATGAAGAGCGCAGTGCACGTTTTATAGAAGAGCAGGTCCGAAGAGGTCGTGATGGTAAAGAGGAGGATGTGAGTAAAACTCCCGCCAGCAAATGTCAGCACCAAAACACTTCAATTAATATGAATTAAAATTTGTTTTAATTTTACCTTTTAAGTGTATAATGTTTATATTTTTAGGATACACCAGCTTACACTGAGCTGAAAAGAGAGAATGAAGAAGAGAAAGGTTTGTTTTTGTGCTTAACTAATTTTTTTCATTATTATAATTATTATCATTATTATTGATTAATAATGATAAAGAAAAATCTATTAATATTAATTTTATTTATTTTTAATCTTAACTAATCATATTCTTGGCTTTGTACAGTGGCATTTAACCTTGGAGCCACTTCATCTGTGGCTGGACCATCAAAGTCAAGGTAAACAATCCTTTTAGGTATTTAAATATATTTACTTTGTTACACATTTCTACCTACATGTTATTACTTTTGTTAAATATTACTAAATTTTGCTTTAGTTCTTTACTGGGTGAAAGTGCACTGAAAGCAACAGCAGCATCAACCAAAAGAAAAGACATGTCCTGCAGTTCAAGCTCCAAAGAAGGCAAAAGGAAAAAATCTGCTCTTGAAGAGATCAAAGAGGTAGAGTCTTATATCCAGCTATCTCTGCAAAAGAATATATTATTGAAACTGAATTACATTTTTACATTTTTTTAAGATGGAAGAGCGGAGGAGGCAGAAACAGGAACCAGTAAAAACTGATTACTGGTTACAACCTAACATCATTGTCAAAGTCGTTACTAAAAGACTGGGAGACAGGTACCATAAGAAAAAGGCTGTTGTGGTGGTAAGAAAATCTCACATTTTATTTATTTAAGGAAAAAACTGTGTGTGCTGCTAATAATCATATTTCCCCCACAGGAAGTGAACGATAAATATACAGCTGTGGTAAAGATGGTCGACTCAGGAGACAAACTGAAACTGGACCAAAATCATGTCGAGACAGTCATACCTGCACCAGGTAATTTCACGTTTCAACGAGAAATCAATAGCTTTTAGATTGAAATACCAGTAATTGAGTTTTATTAAGTTGTTTAAATACTTTATTATTGTAATTCTACAGGCAAAAGGGTATTGATTTTGAATGGTAAATACAGAGAAACGGAAGCAATTTTAGAAGGGATAGATGAGAAAAACTTCAGTGCTACGCTAACACTTGACTCGGTAAGTCACTGTGCCTGTGCCTTTACTGAAAAGAAATCACTGCATTTGTCAAATTATGTATGCAATATGTAGTGCAATTATGGCTATAGTATCATGAAAAGGCATCGTAACATTGTCTTTGTTCCTTCTAGGGTCCACAGAAGGGGCGGACAGTGGATAACATTGCTTATGAGGATTTCTCCAAACTGGCCTGATGACTGGTACATTGGTCTTTTTGAGGCCCAGAAAGTGTAGGAGTCACTCTACTGTGTCAGAGTTACAACCTCAAACCTTTCTTTGTATATTTTAATATCCCACAATGCTTATTTCAGATTAGAAAGTATTTAGGAAAATATTTCCTTTTTTTTTTAAATAAAGGAATTATTAAATTTTGATTTTGTCAAATTTGTCAGATGTGTCAAATTTGGTTATTTCTTCTCAATGAATCCTTTTCAGTGAAGTATCAGGTATTATTTTCATTCTCTTTAGTATTTTATTCATTACATAAGCCATGAGGAGTAATAAAAAAAAACATGTGAGACCACCTAATTCATCTGGAGAAAACTGCTCAGATCTGGGACAATGTAATCAGAGTAGTGACCATCAATAAATCCTTTCCCGCTATTGTGCACAAACCAGCAGTAGACATTTGACCCATGTTTCTTTTCAGTCCTGTAGTCCTTCTGCCAGCCCCTGGTTCACACAACATGCTTATTTATTGTAATGTCAAGAGATTATTTATAGTTGTGTTAATTATTTGGTGATTACCTAGTAACCTGAAGTTGACTGCCTTTCACTTCCATTGTAGCCTCCTTCTTTAGAGGGTCCACTCCTTCACGGACATCATACACGTTAACATCAGGTTCTCTAGAAAACTGCCCTGTAATAAAAAAGTTTAACTCAGTTTGAGAAATGCCTATATGCCCTGGCCATTTTACTACATAGACCTTAGTGGTATTGTCAAATTTTATTTGGTTTATCTCTTTGTGCTTCAGTTACTTAGGTGTGCAGTTTGACAAATTCAATACAACTACTTTTATTAATTGCTCCTAGCATCATGCTCTCTGCATTCTTCACCATCATCACATTTCACCTATGGTTACCGTTCGTAACCATTTGGGTGCCCCAAGTGCAAATGATTTGTGATGCTCCACCACACTACCCACCCAAAAAAAAGTGGGAACAGGGGTTGTGGCCCCGCAAGAACTTGGTGCCCTAAGCCTTACGGATCAACTGCTCTGTTTACACTACCCTGCATTGTTGTTGTCTGGTCGAGCAAACAAAATGTGGTTTATGATATTACCTATCAGACCATGGACGAGTGGAGAATACTGGTTGGTTGTAGGAATATAGATGCCAAGGAAGTCAACATTAACTGGGTGTTTTTTCCAAATCCGATGAAGCAGCACGGTAACTTGAAAATTACCATTTGTAATTGTAACATTTGACTTCTTCAGAATGTGAATCCTCACACTAAAACAAAAGAAATTAAGAAATGCAAATAAAGGATATAGCCTAATCTGTACCAAGAAAATTATAAACATACCCATCCTGAGTGATATCTGTTGTGGCTTCCCAGGAAAAGACATGGCTGTGTCTTTCATCTGAAACTGTGATGTTCTCAGTGCTGGCAGTGACACTGAGCCCCTCTGGCTGGAAATACACGGAGATAGTCCCAAAATAAGTGTTGAGTTTGTTCTTGTGCAACTTCTTTGAGCCAATGAGTTGACCATTTACAACAACCCCTTCAGAAAACATACACAACCAGTAAAACGTTAACCCATTACAGATAATTCATAGAACATTTGTACAATTGTTAGGTGTACTGTATACCTGTACTACTGTCAGACAGTAGATTGAGAATATGGCCTGGTTTAGAATCAATATTGAAGCATACATCCATATTTTGTCTTGGCAGGTGGATTATGAAGTGGGGATCATTATCCACTAAGAGGAACAACACAGCAGCATTAGTTTTCTTTTTTTCTTTGTTTTTTTTTTTCCTTTTACATTGCAGAGATGGTCTTGTGTGTTTACCTAAGTTGACTGTTTGGGGCAAGGCCCACTCTTCTGAACCTTTAGCGTCACTGGGAGGTGCAGGGGTAGGAAAGAGCACCCAGGGGGGATGCTCATAAACCACTGATACTGGGCTCACACCTACACCTACAAAACAATAAAAAAAATGATGATGAATGCAGTTGGCATTGGTTTAGGGCACTAAAATACTGCCTTGTAACCTGAGCAGCATCCATGTTTGGCATCTTTTGGGGAATCAGCCAGCAGACGCTCACTTTCATCTTCATTTTCCACCAGTAAAGCAGTAAGTGGAGTGACAAACTGATGCTCTACTGCCAGAGACAAGATCTTTTGAGTAATCTTTCGCTTTTTTAATGCTGTTGTAGCCATAGCCCTGTGGAAAAGACACAATGTGGCCACAAACAATGAAGAATCAAATGGGACCACATGTAAATTATATTCAAAGCCTCCATTACCGTTCAGCAAGCAGCTGTTTGATGGTAATGTAAGCCCACAACTGTCGGGCAAAACCTGGAAACGAGTGGTGCAGGTTAGCCAGCCGCTCATCCAGCTCAGTGGTGTCTGTTTCTGTCTCCAGAGTGAGATCCAGATCAGCCTGATTGTAAACATATTGGATTATAAATTAATTTTTATATATATAGTTTTTACTGTAAAGAAAGCTTTGTTTTACCTTTTTGTATGCATTATTATTGATCAGTATATGTTGCATCCAACATCTGTTGGATTTATATAGTGCCATAACACACACACACAAACACACACTGCACTTGCATCCTTGTGGACATCAGTATTAGTGCCAACACATTCACTTGTATATAGACAGCAGTGCGCAGTGACATGTATATGATTTACTTACACCAGATGCAGTGGTATAGCTGGTCAGTATGTTTGTATCTGAGGGGAGCACTTTTCCAGCCACAACCAGCTCTGAGCCACTGAAGAATTTATCAAACTTATTCTGGGTGACATCAGACACTGAATCATCTGGAAACTGAACTGTAATCCTCCTCAGAAGCGGAGCAGACACTTGGCTGTAAAATGCCTTGTGTGGAGAAAACAAAATGTATATGCAGTCAACACCTTTCTAAGAAAATCCTTCGTTTGGAGGAAGTCTGTACCCGTAGTTGGTCAGCAGCGTTGTGATTTGCATAGATTCTCTGTGCCATTCCTCGGTTTTCCATAGCTATCCGCTCCAGAAAGTCATAGTCCACATCAAACCCAATGCCCAAAGAGAAGAGTGAAAATTCTTCTCTCATCACTCGCTTCACATTCTTCTGAATAGTACTAAGTTTGGTCTCACCTGCAAAGATAACTCTTTATTATGGAAACTTTCAAATAGTGTTTCCACTGATTATTATCATAAAAAAGTACATTTATAGCTTAAGCATCTTACCGACAGTAGGATCTCCATCAGATACCAGTATTATCATAGACACAGATCGGGGATCTATGAGCCCCTGATTGGATGCTCTTATTAAAATCTGCACTGCCCTCATCAAGGCCTCATTAATGTTTGTGCCTAAACATATGTACAAAGCATGTATAAATGAAGCCACGATACTGTGGTCTAAAGTAAAGATCTGGACAAGACATTCAGATACCTCCATTAGGCTTGATGCTTTGTATGTATTTCTTGGCATCTCCAACCTGTAATCTTGAGCCTGGAACTAGATCCTCATTCCAACACCGTACATTATGGTTAAAGTCAATCACGCTAAAATGATCATCAACTGTCATGTCATCCAGAATAGCCTGCATGGCCTCAACTGTCTAAGAAACAAAATAAGGATTAAATGTATTCTACACAACAGCCACATGGTGTCAGTATTTCATCATAAACCAATGAGCAGAACTTACTTGCTTCATTTTGACCCCCCACATAGAACCACTGACATCAATCACAAAAACTATGTTTTTTGGAAGAGGAGAGAGATTTGTTGGTGCAAAGAAATGAACAAAATAGCCATCTGAGACCTGTGGAAATGTAAACTCATTAAGATTAACACTTTAGTTTGAATGTATATGGTTACTAACCTGAAGTTCTCCATTGCTGTCCCTGTTCACATCATATTTAACATTGAGAACGCCATCTATAGCACTGCCAGTGCAGTTGTTGCACTTTCTCTGCTGCTGCAGGCTGGGTTTAAATGATATGTGAGCCTAATAACAAATGTTACAAAACAGAAGTTTAAAATATGAACCTAATTTAATAAGAACAATAAAGGGTTACCTTTTCATCAGTGGTAGTAACTTTGATAAAGTCTGTAAAATGACCAGCAAGAGTGTGTGTTGCTTCTACTTTTGAAACACCCTTTGGTTCAAAAATGTAGACATCAACCTGGAGAGTGGAGAGTGTTGGTCAGGTATGTGCACACTCACTTTTACATCAACATGACAGCACAAAAAGATGATCATTCTACCTGAAAGTGTGGCACCAGTCTGCCTGGCTGCAAGTGCAGCTGGTGTTCGTAAATGCCCATTTTGCGTTGCATCAGTTCTTGATAGTTAAGCTCAAACTCAATGTTACTTCCAGGTGGCACATGAACTTCTGTTTGAAAGGTTTCCATATCCTGCGAGTTTGCCCTAAGAACAACATTTTATTTTAAACCCAGCTCAGTTTGACAAAATTATATATATATATATATATATATATATATATATATATATATATATATATATATATATATATATATATATATATATATATATACGTGTGTGTGTGTGTGTGTATATACCTCACAATGCTTGCTGCTTTGCCTCTAGATTTGGCACGATTGTACAGATTTCGTGCCACTGCCTTTTCTTTAACAGAGCCCTTAAAAACAATTCCATTCACATTCCTGCAGTAAGAAGAATATGTCAGTTATGTGTCAAACTCAGGGAGACTGTTAAGTGCCTGGGGACCCACATGGTAAAGTTAGAGATGAAAGCTTTCTTGGGGATCTGAACGTTGAAGCCGATGCTCTGGGCTCGGGCCCCAGAGTTGACCACATGGCTTCTGACAGTGGTGTGAGCAAAACGTGACGTAACATGGCTCTCTATTCTGTAACTTTTGATGGTGATGTCATCACCACTGACAATCTATGGAAAGATGAAATCTTAAGAAATGTTAAGTTTTATGAATGCATGAATTTGACCAAAAAAAATTTTTAGAGAGAAAATATAAAAGAAAAGTTAAAGTCAATAACCTGACAGTCATGACAATTTTGACAAACAGACAAACATTGATTTCTAGATAAGCATAAACTCTGCCACAGTGGAAGGGGCCACACCTCAAAGTCTTTCTCCTCTTCACTAGTCAAAATGGCTCTCTGAAACACAAATTTATACATGAAAATGGTTTAAAGTTCTTGTTCTAGTACTCTAAAGACTTACAAAGTTCACAATAGAACATTATTACTACACAATATATTTCTTGACAGTGATATGAACCACGACTATTTTCAAAAACAAAAAAGAAATTCTCTGTGTATGAAATCATAAACATTTGGAATGTCTTACCTTGTGCCTCTCGTGTTGTTCTAAATCTGATAACTGAAACAGAAATAAAATTGTAATTTTTGCCACCACAGAATTGACAGGTTATTGGCATTTCAGAAGGGGGCTATCACTATAGCATAGACTCATTTAAAAAAAAACCAACACACACAGTTTGTGTTAACACTCACCATATCTTCCTCCCATTCTCCATCTATAACAAACTCAAATCCATGATTGTGTTGAAGAAACAGGAGCCCAAAGATCAGCAGGGATGGTAGAAGCTTCATGTTGCTGTTAACACAGTCTTACTGTAGAAGTCCAGTGGAAGTCTGACTAGAGGTTAAAATACACCGTGTTGATTGACTCTCGGCCCAGTCAATATTTGTGGTGTTTCATGCAGCCCACAAAAAAGCAGGAAACTTTGAAACTTTGAACCTGTAGCATAGACAGGGTAAATAGGACAGTTAGGGTCATCATGACGCCATAGGAAGTCATCATAGCACAGGACATTTAACCATACTATATAATACACTGATTTGTATTGTTTTTAGCTATATTTAGGCTATTTGTTGTTTAATGTTAATATTATACATTTTCATATTATCTTATTATTTTCACTTCACTTTCGTATCAAGATGTGGGAGTTTTGGTTTTGGCCACTAGGGGGTAAACATGACAATTGAATGTTGGACTAGACCTTAGTACAGGCATGTCCAAACTATGGCCCGGGGGCCAAATACTGCCCTCAGACAAATTTTTCTTGGCCCTCAGGCTTCCAGGTGAATTGGCCCAAATTACCTTGCATCAATTAAAAAATATTTTTTTTACTGCAACTTTTTTTTTAAAATCTACCTTGATAAAGCCAATATTTAATATTTAGGATCTTTTATTTTATATTTTAACAATCTTAGCATGATTAAAGACTGATGGCTCATTCTAACGTGTTAAACATGCACACATTTCAATTATTCCCTGTATTGAGCATCAGTCTGCTGATCTCAATCAGCCCTCTGCTTCGTCTGTGTTTAGATATGTGGCCCTTGATGAAAAAAGGTTGGACACCCCTGCCTTAGTGCAACAGAGTAAGAACAAATATTCTTTTACTCTTTAACTCATTTGATCTAGCATACCTTTTGTTACAATTATAGCCTTATGGCCCATATTTAAATATAAATATAAATATATTTTTAATTTTTAATCTTAATTACTGACCGCTGTTTTGTTCTTTGTTTTTTTTGTTTGTTTATATATATATATATATATATATATATATATATATATATATATATATATATATATATATATATATATATATATATATATATATATATATATATATCCACGTCTGTTCTTTTTCCATAATGGACTTCTATCTTATCGTTTTTATGTATTATTTCTTTTCAGCAACAGCAGCCTGGTTATCAGAGGAAAACCGCATCCCTCTTTGGTGGGTGGGCGTTAGTCTCTGCTGCTCTGTTGTAAGACTCTTTGGTCACTCTGGCCTCAAGAACAGTTGGACGTACAAGGCTTGCCATGTCACTTTTAGCTTCTTAATTTTAGAGGGTAGGGTCTCTAAAATGTTGCGTATCACTTTAATAGGCTTTTGTTTTCTGATGGCTGCCGGGGACAACATTCAGTTTGATGAAGATGCGGATTTATCTGACTTTGACTTGGGAATTGTAAGAAAAAATATCTGTGCGTGTATGTGTGTGTGTAAATATATATACTTACTTTTTGTGTTTCCAGGCTCCACGTAGAGTCCCAAGACAAGTCAAGACCATTTTAACAAAGGTAAGCTATTTAATATTTTTTGTATTATTTTTATTAGAACAACATCCTCATTTGTTTGTAGGTTGTGTTTAATACTTTTAATACTTCTCTCTTTTCAGAGAGTAAAAACTACAAAAATGCATGACCTAGTTATTTTATGTATTTTTTTGAACTTTAAAGTAGGGAGTATTGGGTGTGTTGCAAACGAGTCCGCCAAGTGCGCGTAGATGTGCCAGAGTATCTGTAATGTACTGGATATTATCCCTGAATACTGGGAATAGCATTGCTTTTATTTACAGCTTGTTACCAATAGAGAGCACATTCTGAGCAATGTAAATCTATTTGTAAAATGATAGGGCAGGTTATAAAATCTTACTTTGATGTGCATGTGTACGCCTCTTTTTCAGGAGACCAAACCTCACATCCAAGAGCTCTCCATAAAGACCACCATCATCTCACGCTATGCCTTCACTGCGGTGCACTGTGCCCTGCTGAACCGTCATTCTGCGGCCGCAGAGGGGTCTTTCAGTATGCCATTCCCGCAGACGCATACATCTCCAACTTCACCATGTACGCGCTTTTTACTCTCACGTGACCAGCAACAACACGCACGCAATATCGTTTTATTGTAATTAGACATTATTCATCATAGGTTTATACAAGCTATATTGATTTATTTGTAGGCCGGTATAGCCTGTATCTTACCAACTCTAGAGCATATGTAGCGCTCCTTTGGAAAGTTTAGTTGCGATGGTTATGTCATTAAAAAGTACTTCTTACCACAGACGTTTAAAAAGACAAATTCACCTATTCAGTTACCCATTTAAACCACTATAATAGACGGTCCCTGCGTATGAGCACCCATCTAATCCCCCACCTCTGACCTATGAACCAGGATCGTAGGAGGTCGCGTTTACCAGAGTGAGATTACACCGAAGGAGAAGAGGGTCAAACAGGAAAATGTCAAAACAAGAGGCCAGGACTCAGGTGACGCAAGGTATGGTAAACGTGACTGTGTATACTTGTCTGTATTTGTGTGCATGTGCATGTGTGTGTCTTTGTGTGCATGTGGACGCCCACCTCCTCACTGGCGCCTTGTCTTTATTACATACTGACTGTCCAGCTCCTTCTGGTCTCTTTAATTTAGCACAGGTGATCATATCCTACCTGAAACCTTTTACCACAAGCAGTCATCTGTAGAGATCAGTGGTTTTAGGTGCATGGGAATGAAGCCAATCTAGGTTCCAGAGACAAGAGCCATCATATGACTCCCTGACTTCTGGAAGAAGTGACATCATTGATAAAAAGGGATTTTGTGAGTCTGCAGCTGATTTAAATAGCAGAGTAAGTGAATTATATAAGATGTGAAAGGAAACTTTTAGCTAAGACTTGTTTGTTGAGCAGGTCAGGTTTATTTTCAATTACATGCCTTGGATTTATATAATACCTTTAAAGAGACTCAAATCATGCTTGGTGGTGCTAAACTATTTCTGTAGCCACAGCTGCTATGGGGTAGACTGATTGAAGCAAAGCTGCTAAACTGGCATGTCTATAGGCCAATATACCCTAATATTTTTGTAATTAGCAACTTTGCAAAACAGTTAGCAACTAGCAAACACAAAAATAAACATAAACAAAAATACTGTAACAATGTTTCACATTTATGCATTACACTAAAATGTTATTATTCTGTTGTTCTCCAGTGTTGAGGTAGAGGTAGAAGTATTTCGAATGGTGGTCAAGATCCCTGGTCGAAACCGTGCCATCTTCTTCCTCACATATGAGCAGCTCCTGCAAAGACGATTGGGTCGCTATGAACATGTGACCAGTATCCGGCCCCTGCAGTTGGTCAGTCGCCTCAGTTTAGACATAACCATCGTGGACCACTCTCCCATCACACATCTGGAAGTTTTGCCTCTGCGCAATGGAAAGGGCATCACATCTTCGGCCTCCTCTAATGCACCAAAAAGTTCAGGTTTAATCAGTTTGTATTGTTATTCCCCAGTCTTCTTCTATGCTGTAAACCATGTTGTCTGCACTCTCTTTTGTGGGCAAAATTCTCTATAATTTTACTTCATTCATACATTCTGCTTTGGTTTTGCAAAATCTAACCTCAGTAAAATGGTTTTAATTTCATTGTAAATGAATCTTAATAAGTAATATCCTATCATGTTAAATAAAATTTTTTCCTCCTCTCCCAGCCAAATCTGAACCCCCTATCACTACTGTTGTCAAAAACGAGAAGAATGTGTGTAGTATCACATTTAGTCCCACCATTGTGCAGCAGGCTAAAATCACCACTAGTGGGAATCTTGGAGACTTTGTCGTCCGCTATGATGTGGAAAGAGAGTTGGGAATTGGAGATATACAGGTGAGTGTTGATGTGTTATCAATAAAGTGTTTTAAAGACTTTTTCCATCTGAGAATATAGCTCACTGATTTTATGCATGGACAAAATTCCCCTGAGCTCTGCTGCACTCATACACTTGTGTCCACCCACCTGCTAGTCATTAATTCAGTCGGCTTCCTGCCACCTGCTCTGCTATTATGCCAAAATCCAGTGTTTGTCTTCGAGATACCCTTAAATCTTGACAATCACATGTTAATTCTGCAGTTGATCTCATTGCCTGTCGTGTGTGCACGTTTCCAGGTGTTGAACGGCCACTTTGTCCACTACTTTGCTCCCAAAGACCTGCCGGCTGTGCCCAAAAACGTAGTGTTTGTCATCGACACCAGTGCATCCATGCTGGGAACAAAGATTAGACAGGTACAACCATTGATTACAACAACAAAAAATATTTTTTCTCTAGTTTGGTGAATTTGATCAAGATGTGATTGTTTGAAACATATTTTCTTATTATCAGAGGACTTTGTCTGACCACAATAAATTTAAAGTGACTATCTAAGCAGAAGCCACATCAGATATTATGGGATCATTCTCACTCTCTCTGTAATATAAATCAAACCCTGTGCTTTGTGTATATAGTTCAGTAAATGTATAGAGCATGTGTTTCAAGGACATTAAATGACTTCATTCAGTAATGCAATAGTCCACTATTTTGACTCCTACACTGGAATATCCGTATCAGAGCTTTCCCCCATGCAATAGCATGAAAATCCCTTGGCCTTTCGGCCAGTCACATGTGATGTGTGCAGCTGCATGAGAGGTAGAGTCAAAAGTGAAAAACAGATTTGCTGGGACATGGAAACACAGTGCTGTTGTGAGAGTGGAAGGTCAGTTTGCATGGGGTAATGGAACGTTCCACACAACTGCCCCTTCGACCCCTGATCCCTCTCCCCACTTATCACAGACGCACAAACAAGGGATTTTTGATGTGGCTTCACAATAGAGGCCTGTATGATAGGTCAGCATGTGATCCTGATCTTTCTGTATATCGCCTATATAGACTTCTGTAATTGGTCTAGAGCCAAATTATAGCTATATTACACCCACGCACCAAATGAAGATGTCCAATTTCATAACACACAGCCTGCAACATTTTAGTTTTTTTCTTCTGCAGACCAAAGATGCTCTTTTTACCATCTTGAGCGATCTTCGTCCTGGCGATCACTTTAACTTCATAAGCTTCTCCAACAAAGTCAAAGAGTGGAAGAATCGCCTGGTGCCAGTCACTCCATTAAATGTCAGAGATGCCAAAAAATTTATTTACACGCTCGCACCCACAGGAGGTCAGCAAGTTCTATCACAAAAAAATCTCTCAAGACTATTATGTCTCAATTATACAATTATTATCATTGAATTTACTTTTTTCTATTTTTATGACTGCTTGTTTTCCAGGTACCAACATTAATAGTGCCATTGAAATCGGCTCATCTCTGCTTCGAGATTACCTCTCTACATCAGAGGCCAACCCTAACAGTGTATCTCTCATCATTTTCCTGACTGATGGACGTCCCACTGTGGGAGAGGTCCAGTCTGCAACAATACTGGGCAACACTCGCTCTGCGGTGCAAGAGAAATTTTGCATCTTTACGATTGGGATCGGGAACGATGTGGACTATAAACTTTTGGACAGAATGGCGCTGGAGAACTGTGGTATGATGAGACGAATCAGTGAAGAGGCAGATGCTAGTGTCATGCTAAAAGGGTAAGAAGCCTTTCAACATTTTTTATTGATTTTGAGTGTGGCTTTGCCTTGTCCTCATGCCCTATTTTGGAGATTGTTTCTCTGTCTGGTATCTCACTCACTTGAAATAAGAAAAAAAAAAAAGTATTTTCTTGTACAGAGCAGTGTTTCATTTATCTAAATTGATAGTTGTCATGTTCCAAAAAGTTGTGTCCCATTTTAAAATGGTGTAATCTAATCTGATTTTATCAGACTATTAGCTTTCTTAAATACCTCCTTTCTCTTGTGTGACATAAGCTTCCATCTGTCATCACGTTATAAAGGAACGAAGAGCACAAATGTGACGGTGCTGACAACAGAGGTCTTTAATCAGCTGCAGCCTGTCACAGCCTCCCTCTGTTTGGTACAGACCACCTTTCTTCTGTCCTTTCGAGACTGGCTTCTACTCTCTCTAGATCCCTCTTCCGCACTTGGACACACAAGGTGTTTGTTCAGTTGCTGGAATGTGTGTGTGTTGTAATACCTCTGTCTGAGGGGGTAGCCTCTACTGATAATAGGCCTCCTCCGGCTTAAGCAAACAGGTTGGTTAAGAGGTGAGGAGGTTTAGTGCCATACAAAAACATGGGACAGGACACAGGCTCTAGAAGCATGCATACATGCGTGTATAAGAATGTATGCACAACACCCTCAAGTGGGGTGACAAAAGTGAGGTTAGACAAGTATGCTTATAACCGGAAATAACATACCAGCAAAAATGTTAGTGACATGTCTTCCAGCAAAGACTAGGAAAATAATGGATTCATTCTTGGTTCATTTGAGGATAGGCTTTCTTGACTAATGTGTAATTATATTTTATGCACACTGTTTGAAAGTATTATATGAGTATTATATGAGTGCATAGATAGTAGGGATGCAGTGATACAGTTTTCAATACATATCTCGGTGGGTCACAATATCAGTACAATTTCAAGACATTCTAGACCTCAGAAAAACAAAAATAAATGTCTCCTGTTTTGTTTTGTGCTAATTATAAGTAAACATAACATTTCATTAAATTAATTTCATTAATTAAACTCTGTGAGTTAGGTGTTCATGGAGCATCTTTGGGTTGCTTGTGTTGCCTTGACTGTACATTGGGAAACTTGTCATTTTCTTCCCTAAAAATTCAGTTGTAAAAAGGCTGCAAGGTATAATTTTCAAGGTATGTTGTCATGCTCATATCTTTACTGCATAGCTTTTACAGGTGAAAACAAAATAGCGTTGGTTATTTAAAGAAGATAGACATTAAATCACCAACTTCAAATGATATTTATTATATAGGGTTGTTGTCTAGCTGTACCCCTTGTGTAAACCTTTCTGAATTCCTTGTTTGATTATATGTCTTACCAGGTTCTATGATGAAATAGGAACTCCTCTTCTGTCTGACATAAGAATCAACTACACCGAGGATTCAGTGCAGTATGTGACACAGCATCTCTTCACCAACTACTTCAATGGCTCAGAGATTGTTGTCGCTGGAAAGCTGACAAACAAAAGTGCAGAGTCTCTGCATGTACAGGTCACTGCCACCAACAATGACAAGAGCATCATCTTGGAGACAGATGTGCCACTGCGCCACCGTCAGGTCGAGACAGAGAAGCACGTCAAAGCAGCGATAGCAGCACTGGCAGGCATTGGCAGGCCTTCAGCATCTGTAAGCTCCTACAGATGGGATGTTGCTCTGGGAGCCATTGCGGAGGACTTTGCTGAACGTGTATGGGGATTTCTCAGTGTTAAAGATGGTCTTCGATCAAGACTGAAAAGTAGGACAAGCAAAGAAAGAGAAGAACACATCAAGCAGGCCACCAACCTGTCTCTGACATACAACTTCCTCACACCACTCACTAACCTGGTGGTGGAGAAGCCTGAGGTCCTGGCTGATGGAACCATGGCACCAGCACCCACTGTCTCCCCAGCTCCTCTGGGAGGAGATTCAGCTGCCAATAGCCTGCCAGAGAACACAGAGGAAGGACAGCCCCAGAAATCTGACCAGAGGTCTACTGGCTCTTCTCACCAGAGCAGCACAGTTGGTGAGCCCTTGCTTTTTTATATGTGGTTAACTGAAAACAGGGGCGCTTCTTGACAACTAAAGCTGTTTTATTTATTTATTTATTGCTTTTTGCTTTTTTCTATGCTTGCAGGTAAAGTTCCATCCAAGAAGCCAATCAGTATCTCAAAAACATCAGGTGTGTTGAATGTTATTTCTCTCTTGTGAAAATACAGCTACATGATAAAGTGTGATAGGGGGAATTTTTCCTTTTAGTTGAAGGTCTGTAATTTTAAGGCTTGTCGAGTAGACAAGGTGATCACACAGTCAGTGTGAACAAACAGCTCAAGGATGGCTCTGAACATGACCTGGAAAAAGGAAGAACACACAAGGTCTAATTGAAATACCTAAAGACACAAAGTGGTAGTTTACACATGGTGTACAGTGCACAGGGACCACGTTTGTGTTACAGCGACAAGAAGCACCCCATCTGAGGTAGTTAGCAAAGGCTAATGACCCTGTTATTACACCTGCTCTATCATTTCTCACCTCATCACTTCTCTTTTCAATTCTCTTGGTTCTCACAAGCCCCTGAAAATCATACAAATTAAGAATTTGGTAACAAGTAAGGACTGGTTTGTCTCAATTTTCAGATTTGCTCTAGTCTGTACTACACTTCACTTGTTTAAGGTTGTGTTTACCTGTTCACATTTTTAAATAGACATCTATTTTATTACACATATCTCTCCTTTGTGCACTCTTAGCTGATGGTGACCCCCACTTTGTGGTTGAGATTCCACTAAGCAAACTGACGGTGTGCTTTAACATTAATGGTGAGCCCGGACACATCTTGAGTCTGGTCTCGGACCACAAGAATTCTGGTATGTTTTCCTTACAAATTGAACCATACATCCTTGCACAACTAGCACTGCAAAAAGAACACAGAATTACATACTTTTATCTATAATCCTTAGTTCATGATTAAAATGAGAGCTGCATGTCTTATGTTTACCTGGTAAAATAAATAAACAGCAGCAATATCTGTGCAAAGAATGTTGAATTCTATTGTCTACTTTCAAGGTGTGACAGTAAATGGAAAGCTCCTTGGTGCTCCTGCGCCTCCAGGCAGTCACAAGCAACAGCGTACATATTTCAACACCATAACAATTGTAGTGGACCACCCCAGACGAGCTTACATCGAAGTGACTCCTAAAAAGGTGATTCTGGATGGAAAAGACCGCATGGTTTTGGCCTGTCATTCCACTGTCACAGTGACCAGTGGTGTATTGACGGTGGCCATCATTGGGAAGTCCAATGTGACTGTAACTGTGGGAGACAACATAAGCTTCATCATTCTTCTGCACCAGTACAAGAACCCAGCACCCTACCAGAAAGACCATCTGGGCTTCTACATCAGCAACAGCAAGGGACTGTCTTCTGACTGCCATGGACTATTAGGTAAAGCCAGAAATATTTAAGTTTAAAAAATCTTAATCCTTTCCAACAAGTTAAAATTATGTGCCTCATTTCTGATGCCTGCTTAACTGAATTTAATTCTCAATCGAGGAGTCACATTGTTCATTTACCTTATGAAATTGCAATCTCTGTGTGAGTCACTCCCACTGAGAGAGGAGGGTCAGATGGTGCCTTCCTCAGTGGGCAAGCCTAACAGCTCAAGCATTGGGATTTCAGGAGATAACTGGATAGAGGTAGATTCACATATATGTTTAATAAATCACCACCTGCTTCTCCAGGTCAGTTCCTGTATGAAGAAGTTGGCCTTGTTGAGTCAGGAGGAGAAATGGCGCCCTCTACAGTCCTAAAGGTGAAGGAGCGCTCTGTGCCAGTGGTGAAGAAGACCAGGAAGATCTTAAGTGGGACACAGAGTGTGGACTGTTGGTTTGCCAGGAACAATGCTGCCAAGTTAATTGATGGACAGTATGAGGACTATCTAATGTCCCACATGTTTGATACTGGGCACTCACTACACGGGACAAACAGACTTTAAGACTGCCAGAGACATTGTATCAAATTTTGATATGTGTAACACCAGTCTTTTTATGGACTACAGTTGTCAAACTTAATTTTATTTTTGTATTTCTAATGGGAATGTTATATTTTATTGTATAAAAGTATTGTTTTCCATTTTATATTGTGAATAAAAATACTAAATACTGACAATCATCCCTTCACATCATCATTATCATTAAAAACAGGCAGCAGACATTGTCTTACTATGTCTTTCTGTTATGTAGGTATCCGTATTGTGGATGTTCACACCTGGTCTCCATAGATATCCACATTGTAAGTGGCCCCCTCTTCAGCAGTGACAGCTCACACAGCAGAGCATCCAGGACCCAGACACACAGTCTGAGCAGTGCACTCTGTCATCAGCTGCAGGTCACAAAGCGTCTCGCTCCACCCACACAGGTGTGCAGCAGCCATGTCCCACTCACAGGATCTGTCATCAGGCTGCACTGCTCTGGCTACTACAGGAATCCACCAACAACTGTGCTCCATGTCTATCACCTTTATTCAGAGAGGAGATTAAAGAGATACATTCAATAAGAAGCACCATTGACATGTGGTATGCACTGTGCTGTTTTCAGAATTTAGTTAAAAAAAAAAAAAAAAAAAACATAAATAAAAAGCACATTTTAAAAAATACATTTTTAACACTAGTAATATGCAGATGGACGGTTGTAAAAAAAAAAAAAAAAATTTACAGCTATATTTAATACTTAATACCTGGTTACACCACTTCTCACTGACTTTCCATATCACAGGCAGAACCACGGAATGCAAATAATAAAAAAGTTACTAACAGATTATACAACACATGAGCTACAGCTGTGTACATAAATCCCAGTGAATAGGGAATAAATCATTTACCTGAAATGATGATGAATTGCTTAAGGCCAAGGTTTTAGTTTTACCCTCATCACAGTCACAAACAAAGGTTACATTGTGTCAACTTGTCCTAGTCAGCCTTGACAAAATCCTTTTGATGTGCAACATTAACATACAAAATAAAGTGAACACAGCAAAAACATTTGAGTTTGTATAATTGAACCCGTAACTTGACCTCTATGCTCTGACAACCTTTAATAACCACCTGAAGCCATGATTATCTAAGCAAAGGAAACACATGCTATAATTACTGTAATTTACAGTTTAATTAAAAAGGTAAATTATGTGAATAAAATACTTGATGCTTTCAAATAAAATGCATACTTTGCTTTTTGATGTACTTTGGAATTTGATACCCTTTCTGACTAAAGCTTTGAGTAAAGACCACATTCACCCTGCAGGTGCTGTGCTGGGTAATAATATTTAGCCACATACTTTCAGTAGAAGTTACTCTGAAGTCAGCTTGCACATATATTATAATACCATACATTGGATGCTTTTATACATGTATTAACATAATTTTGCTCATTATAAATCATAAAATGCAACTAAGGTTGCAGTTACAAACAACCCTATTGGAAGTCTAATATAGTATTCACACTTTTGGTGAGAGGTTTTGTGCACATGTGGATACTGGATGAATCAATTGAAGGGATACAGATTTAAACAGTGACCCAGCTGGGTCTCACTGGTCCTCCTGAATATTGCACTTGAGGAACAGATTCATTTTCATCCTCTTCACCTTCTGAAGCCTCTTCTGTGTCTGTCTCTTCTGTTAGGAGAACCTAGGACAGGAGGAAAGGTTTATACATTCACATATATGTTGTGACTGCACAAATGTACACTATTCTGAAAATGAATGTATTAAAATGAGTTCTGTTCTCTTAAAACAGATAGGAGTCCCCTAAAACTTTAGCAATGTAAGCCTAGAGTAAAACTATTTACTGTGGAACCACCACCCCACCCGTTACAGAGGCATGGGCCTCTGTACTTGTCATGCACCACTCTTCACACTTTCCATAACATCACTGTGTGGAAACATCCCAAATGTCATTTTTATTCAGTGGGTGAATGCTTGATTTATGGCCATCTGAGAGACTGGGAATTCAGTCATTAATTTCACAAACCAAATTGTGAGAACAGACACTTACACTTAACCTAACCCTAATCCCAAGTAAATAAATGGTCAATACATATGTTTGTTGTTGTTGCTGTTGTTGTAAGCAGCATGTAAATGCTATGTAAATTGAGTTCTTTACATGCATGATTTATATTACTGTATATATTTTATTATAAGGATAACTAATGTGTGTACAATCCCTCAGTCATCCAGCTAGAATCCATGGCAAAAGAAATTCAATTTGTCAACTGGACAAAAGTTTCAGTTCAGCTGCGAAACATATTCAACCAAAATAAACTTTTGTCGAGTTGACAAATTTAATTTCTTCTTTTGCCAAGGATAACTAATGTAATTTCCAAGTGTGATATGCTCAAGACATTGATTAGATATGATCTAATTTAATTAGGTTTGAAACGGTGTACTTCAATAGATTTTCTTACAGGACAATTTCAAATGCTCACCTGTGTTTCATCTGGATTTAGCAGAGAATCTGCTTTCTTCACAGAGCTGTCACATGTGTCATCCAAACTCTTCATCGTCTTAAACTTCCTCATCATCAGACTATCCACCACCCAGAACATGATTGCCTACACAGAAAAGGCATTGGATAATATTAAAACTGATTGGATACTCTTTGGGATCAATAATATCTAAACCTTAAATAACACCCACATTGACAATGAATGGCACAATGAGCATGACCAGCACAAGCTCCAGTTGAGGGTTAGCAATGTAGTCCAAAAGCACTTCTTGCAACTACAACAGATAAACAGATTTAAACAACTGCAATATACATTCAATGTATTTACTATATATGTCTATTACTCTACAATTTATATCTTAGTAGTTGAACATGCTACAACCTCCTCAGTCAATTGGAAAGAATAATAGACTATATTCTTTTCTGATTTTGAATATCTTTGATTTGTATGCAACACTATTAAGAAAATGTTTACTGCTTACTTCAGACCATCCAGGGATGAGTAGCACCAGACTGACCACTCCTTTTTCCAGCACCATAATAAGCAAATAAATGCCACACTGACCAAGCCATGCAGCGGCTTGTGGAGGGTCACCTAAAATGTGAATAGGAGGAATATCACTGAGCATATCTAATGATAACACAAAAAACATGAGAAAAAACTCTGGGCAACACCAGTGAGCTGTAGAAAGAATCCTCCTGTCTGTTGTGAGCTGATCTATAGTGCCATCTATTGGCAACATAGGAAAATGCATCCCAAAATCTAAAATTAAATCAGTTGCATTCGGATTATAGATTAGAGATTTTACTTACCATATTCACCAAGTGTTAGGAGTGTCCACTGTTTGTATTCCACAAATTTCGAAACTAATTTCAGAGCCAACCAGATGACTAGCATCCCGAGTGTAGCATCCAAAAGAAAGTTCATCAGATACCTTTTGAACAAACAAGAAATAGCCATCATTCTGTGATTTGGGGTTATATTACATAATCAAAATATACATTTTTTTTTTAACTCACAGGGAACATGGATCCTCCTTAGTGAAGGTAGACAAGAAACATTAGCAAAGTGGATGAAGAGAGAGCCAATGGCCTGCTTTGATGTGTCATAAAACCTATTAAGGCAACCTGATGAGCCAAAAACATCATGTAACATATTTAAAACAATTTCTGCACAGCAATATCTCACCAAATTCTCCAGGGTCGTCTTATTCCTACTGGTTCTCTGAATCGTTTTACTATAAATAGCAAAACAAAAAATCTTATTTGAAAAGGCAGGATGTGATAGTTATGATCTCCACAGTGATAGTTTTATAGAAAATCATACATTCAAATGATCCTGTTTGTTGTTGGTCTTTATTTTCCCTAAAAACAAGTGCCAAACACACACACCGCCTACTCTTTTCCATCTCACAAGATCAAAGAATGTGGCTCAACATGTGAAACAGGAATTTAATTATTATTTTTACTTTATAGGCAATTATGCAGTTCTTACAATGTGTTGTATGTGAATGGCATAGCTTGTATTTCAAATAAAGTTTGATTTGGGTAAACTTTTTGAATGTGAAGGTTTTGGGGGCATTAAACTCAAGGAAGAATCCAAGATGGCTCAGAGGAACTGAAAATATAAAGTGAAATCAAGAGTTTGCAATAGTGTATGCTTTGTTAATTTAATTTGCATTGTCTGCTTTGATATATGGGCCTATAGGAGTTGAAAATATGGGTATTGTGTTTGTGTAACCACCACTAAGCTGACCTTTGAGTCCCACAGCTAAAGTACAGTATTTTAAAACCAATCAAATATATCAATACAAAGCTTGTTGATATTGCCTGTGGATGCAAATCAATCTCATCAATGATTCTCAGAAACTTGCAGGTCACACTATCAGCTTGTGGGGTTACCCGGAGACAGGCACTGACCTAGATAGAGTTCCCAAGTTCCCAGGCTAGTTTTTATAATTGCCCATTTAAATGCATCCTGCCTGAGGGAACACAGTTAAAACATATGGATGCTAAAGCTGATAGCATGCCCCAACATTGCAATCCCTATGTCAGCTGCCTCAGAATCACAAGGTTACAAAATAATAGCTATTGTTCAAACAACGAAAGTCCACACCGTCTCTCAATAAGCATCTTATTTTGGTGTTAATATACTCACTCTCCCATGACATTCACAAAGTTTTCCTCTTTAAACAATGCAGTTTAATTTTATATGTGTGGTTTTGTTTGTTTGTTTGTTTTGTGTGTTACTGTTATTTAGGATTTATTGCTGTTTGTCGTTTAACACGTTTCATAGGTCAGCTTGATTGATGCATTGATTTATTTGCTTGTTACGTGTTAAGTTTTTAAGGATACTGAGGTAATACGTTTAGGCTTATATTAGGCTATATTATCCTCATTGATTGCTTTTTATGCCTACCCATTTTCTTTATAATGATCAAAAATGTCACTCTAATAATTCACATTAACAATTATAATATCGACAACGTTTTTAGGAGGAAATCTCGTATACTCACCCATTAGAGTGCTAAAGGCAACGACGCCAAGCAGCCCCTGTATCAACACACCGAACCTGTCTGTCAGTGCGCCATTGTCACAGCCGTGAGGACTCGCTTTGTTTATGTCCGTCATGTTTGTTACTTCAATTGGAGAAGCATCCAAAGACCTTCTCACCAAAAACATTTCACTATATACTGCGTCCATGTTGACACGACGGCAAAAAAAAAAAAAAAAAAAAAACACCAACGCAACGATGCGATGCAAGACGATTTGGCACTAAAAATACCAGACCGCAAGCTGCTCGCCTCCTGCAAAAGTTTCGGAGTTACTGGACTTGAAATGCTCCCTTCAACAAACGTGACATTCTATTCATGTAACTGGGAAGAAACAATAAACATCTCAGTGTCATCCATTTTTATGAAAACGAAAACATCAGCGTCAATTGTCCTCGATAAAAGAACATCCGGTATGACTATCAAAGTAAAGGCACATTTTTATTGTCTACTGGTGTCGATAAATGTCAAAGTAAAGGTCTTAAAGTGCTTATTTTTGTCTATTTTATCATATTTTGTTTTGCTTTTTTCCATTGTCCCTAAGCTTCCAATTCAGGTTTGGGAGACTAATGCATCAGAAATGATTAATTTGACGTTGGGTCCCCATCCGCTCCTTTCTGTGTGCCAAACTGTGGCGCGCCTTGGCACGTGCACTTGCGTCTCCTACAGTGCCCTCAAAAGTCAGCTGTCAAAAAGCAGATAATTTTTAGTTTCACTGTTGCCTTTAGTTAGTTTGTCTGTATAGGGCATCCTCTGGAATAAACAGAAAGGATTTGTAGGCGCGATTGATTTTGCGCGATTGATTTTGCAATGGAGAATTAAAATACCTTTTCAAATGCCTATTCAAAACTGGACACAAGTGGCGTAATTTTCTGTCCAAGTGTCATAGTGGGTGCTAGAAAGACAAACGGACACAAATTACAGCAAAACAATTAATTAAAGAGTTTAATCTATAGCGGATAATCATGTTCCACCTCAACAGTGTGTTTGTTAGATCTCACCAGTGGCTCACTCTCTTATTTGCTTTTAGCTTAATTGAAAATATACAGTCAGAAAAAGGAGACTCCCTTCTAAGAAACTTGTATACTACTCGCAAATGCGTGTGCGTAAAAGGTAGACATAATCCTTTTCAGTGCGCGCGCGTTTGGAAAAGCTCCTTCTTTGGCAGATTAATGAAGCGCGGCACGCGCTTGAACCATCTGTCCTGAGCGCGTCGTTAGCGTCCTTCGTCTCGTCTTCTTCACTTTTTTGCAAAAAGAAAATGGGACTACATCATTCCGGCGGCACCATCAAAATTATTTTTATAATAGCCTATATTTTAATGAGACAATTGTCACCTCTGCCCATGATATCTGAGGCCCGTTGGCGTCGTCTACGTAGATAAAACACTTTCAGATTCATCTTGAAAACATTACTGACATATCTGATAAAATCAATTTAAGCATCAAAGTCTATACGCTGGGGACGCCTTAGAACACTGGAGTTTGTCACACGAATGAATTTCACATTTGCCTTTTATCAATAAAACCTTAATTCTGACTTTCTATAGCCTATGGCTGTTTTCAATGTATACTGGGAAGATATGCATAATATGTGGTGAAGTGTACTCTTACCACTAGAGGATACTGTTGACTTTAACTACAGAACTATGAATTAGCTTGGCAAATGCTTTTTTTAAATTAATAATAACAACGCCTTAAAAAAAAAAAAAAAGAAAAAAAGAAAAAAAAGAAAAGAAAAGAAAAAGAATAATAATGTAGCTACTTGCTATTGTGTACACAGCAGAGATCAAATAAATTGCCCATCGAGAAGTTAGACCCCATGATTTGTTAAAATATATTTTTGTTAATACTGTAGCCTATATGATTCAAACTTGCTCATTAGAAAGTTTGGTAAATAGCCTACCCTTTATTTAAAATAAAATGTATGGATAAAGCGCTTATGGGATCGCAACACTGCATGTGTAATAAAGGCGTCAATTAGGCAACAACGTGTAAAATAATTTACTTTTTTTCTGAGACACACCGGGGTATTTGATCACACATAAAAGGTCAGTGAGAGTTGCTTGGAAATATCTGTAGATTCTTTTGGACATGCGCAGATCACAGATGCCATATTGGAACGGGGGCAGTAGCAACTGAAAGACGTCGCTTGCGTTGCACTACTCGGACTCGCGAACGAGGAGAGGAAACGAACAGGAGCCCGAGAGAAGGAGAGGTGACAAAAACTTGGACAGGTAAGACAGGTGATGGCCCCACGAGTCCCCCGCGTCTTTTCTTTGGTTACATTCTGTTCTTTTTAATCTTACGACGAAATAAACACGGGTTGAGTTGGTTTTCTCCTCCTCCGCTTAAAACCCTGAAGTGCTCCCGAGGCTGTTTCTGTAGAAACGCGAAAATAGTCATGAACGTTTTTTTCCAGAGCTCAACTTGGCCAAAGTGTCTCACGCAGCGCAACGAGCAGATATCAGTGGACATTGGAATAGATTACACAGGACGAGGTTTCGTTTCATTCTGTTTAAGTCTCTTCTTGTTGATTTGTGAGTGTTATTATTTGATTTCATAATTTTCAAACATAGTCAACATATTTTGGAAGAAAAATGTTTTAATCAAAAGCGAAAATGTAAGAAATGAAAAAAAATACTTGTGATTTAGTTTATGTTTTTGGCGAAGTGGCGAAGATAGCAAGTCTGAAATCGCCATTTTTCTACTTTTATCTTTCGTTTCTAAATTACTTCTGTGGTATTTGTGTTGGTGCGGAAAATACCCCACACTGCTAAAATGTCAATGCACTTTCAACATGGCGGGTAATGGTGTTCGTATAGGAAAAAACTGCGCCTTAAAATCTTTGAACGAGGAAAAAATACAATGATAGCAGCTACCGCGATCAATTCTGTTTCGTTTGGTGCAAATATACTATGTTTATTGAATTAAATCCATTGTGTGAATTTGGCGGCTTGGTGGGAGTTTTTTTCCGCTGCAGTTTTGAGTGTGCAAAGTACATGAGCTGTGTGCCAGTCAGCCTGCTGTTCAGCTGCCTACACCCCCTCCCTCTGCCTCATCTTCCTCGTGTGCACTTAAACGTTTCCTCTTTCACTTTTATCACGAAACCCTCTCGATTGCATTTTTTTCATTTTATTTTATCTTCACTCTTTAAGTGAATCTACGTATAACTACAAATACAATGAATGGTTTCAGGTTTTTCTGTCTTTGCGCAACGTAAACTGTGCACGTACTTGTTTACATCCCACAATTAAATTACCAAATTTTCTTGCAAAAATGTTTCTAAATAGACAGATCATTGGTTATTTGGATCGCATCTGATCCCTTATCCTGTCACTCCTCTCTGTAAATCATGGTTTTGCAGAAGTCTATTATTCTCATGGAATCCTCCTACAGACCTGAATTGACACTATAATGATCTCAAACAATAAAAGCCCAAAAGGCTCTGTGAATCAGTCATACTGATCGGTTTTCTATGCCGACCAGAAAGGTTGGAAAAGAGGAAGCACAATGGAGAACTTCTTATGGAAAAACAATAGTTACTCTGAAATAAGAACGAGTATGATATACATGAGAAATCCTGCTTCTCTTGAGCTGTTGCTGAATAACCCAAAGGTCAGTTGTTATCATTTGCATTTTTGATAGGGCTGTGTGAAAAGTTCTTTTGAATGTTTTCTACAATTACAGGATATAAAACAAAAAGTGGTATGAGGATCTTCTGAATCGTGTCAGTCTTCTACTGTGTATGGCTCACATGGATTCTGAGGTCTGCTTACTTATATGTTAAAACTGGATTTGATATTATTAATAAGAAACAATTGAAGACTAATTGTTCTGACAGTGTGTTGAACTAGAAGATTGAACTGTGAGAGAGGAGGGCCAAACAGAGTAATGCAATAAAAGCCAAGACCATGCAGTGGTAGTTAATCTCCTAAATCCCCCATTAAATCTTTGGCAGGATGAGTTTAGAAAAAGGCAGGACAACACGTGGATGCACTGCGCTCCCTTTGGGGGCTAATCAATAAAAGCCTCTACTCAACGAGGACCATGGGGGCACAAATGGCCCGTATTTTAGATTAACCTTCCAAGAGTATAATCCCTAGTGTCCAATCTGGATCGCTTCTGTCATTCCCTGTGGGCTACTGATCTAGCCTAAACCAATAGTAGAAGTAATGTATATTGTTCATTTTAAGTTGTTTTAAATAGAAGTGATGTCTGGAGATCACTGTTTTGTATTCAGTGTTTTCTTTGTAATTTTACAATTAAATTAATTATTATAATTAAATGTGTGATGTTATTTATTTAGCTATTTATTCTGATCAGTTCTCCAGTTAAGAGTATATTCCTAGTATTATCTGCAGTTATGTGCTTTCACAATAAAGAGAAAGCACACCTAAATCAGTACTCATTGTCGTTAATTCAGTTAAGTAGTCTATTACAATATTAAAAATATCATGATGAACTATAAGGGTGTATTTGATTGATGTATGGCCAGTGAACATGTGACTAAAGCATGATTTAAGTGCATATTCTGGATTTACAAGAGATAAAGCATGTGACCTTTCTATGTTTGCAAAGCAAGCAAACAAATGGGGAATTTTTTTTTTTGTCAGTTATGTTGTTAGACAGTGGCATATTTCCTTATAAGAACAAAAGAGATTAACTCCAGGAAGTTAACTTTGTTGTGAATGAAATCAATAACATAAATGAAACAATCATAATATGGCGTGATAGAGTGTATGTTTATGATACTTACTGTATGAGTAAGGGAAGTTAGATTTGATAGATACTTTTTATTGTAGCATGGGGGAGTTTTCACAATTACTGAGAGTGGTATTGAAAACCATAGGACTTTTTGTAAGAAAAAAAAACTGAAACGCTGTGAGAGGGGAGAAGGGCAACGTGCAGCGTCATGTGAGCTAAATTAGCTCAGCTTGTTGTTTACGCAATGGATGTATGCTGTAGCCACAGAGGGACAGCAGGGGGGGTGTGAGGGGGCGGGGTGGCACATACAGGCAGCACACTGGGAGACTGTCACAGTTTGGAGCCTCACAAGTCTGTATTGTAAATATCCACAGCACAAGCACTGTGTCTTTAGGTTTGGGGTGTTTCCACTAGACTACTCCCATTGTGATTTCTCTTACCGCTACTTTTTCCGTAATCTGAATTTTCTAAAATTAATATTATGAAACAAAAAACATTGGACTGAAATATATTTGTAATTGCAAGAACTGGGGTTCCTATCATTGTTTTTTTCAAGGGTGTGAAAGATATTCTATTATGAGATATGGACCAACACAACAAATGTGATAATAAACTAGCCTTGATAGTTAATGCATCCTCCACATGGATATCAGATCTATAACAATAACCTTAAACAAAAATAAAATACAAATTGACATCAAACAACCAGATCAGACTGTAATGTCAGGCTTTCTACCATCTTATTTCTCCTTTCCCTGCCAACAGTGATATACAAAGGTTTTATGCTTGGTCTCTGAGTTTATGTTGGTATGCATAAAGACTGACATTCATTACAATATAAAATAGTGCATTTTTAACTTTTATAGATGAAAATGTGCCAGGGATTTCATCTAACATCTTCTTTTTCGATCTGATCTTTTCTCCAGTTGTCTTGTGGGAGTTAAGAGATGAACTAATCCAGACTTGAAGAACACGGAGTCAGAGGATCTGCTCTTCACATAAAAATGCAGTCTCTCACCCAAGAGCAAAACCCAGCCTTCACTGTGGTCAAGTCTCACAGTCCAACCAATGGCAAAGAAGAGGAAGTGAACACAGGTGTGTCGGCCATTGTTGCATATATCAAACTGTGGCTATAACATCAAAAATTCCATGATTTATAATGATGAGATACATTATTTTATAGTGGAAATGTATGTACAGAGCTGTCTTAGGGGCAGGCTGCTGTTTAACCTAAAGTTTGTGTTGTGTTATACCGTTTTAGAGCCTTAATTGCCGTAGAAATATGTTTCCACTCAAATTGACATTTTTATGTTTACGCATTGTTTTTAGTTATTCCTTCAAAAGTGAGTTGGTTAAGTACATATTTTTTTTCTCATATTATACAACCATATATGCATAGAAAGTCATAGTCATAGTTTTGTTTTAAAATAAAAACTCACATTTATGGCAGACAAATGTTGATTTGTTTACATAAAATATATTGCAGTGTCGAAAAACAACACGTATTTATATAAGAGTGCATTTGTTATTTTAGGGAATTATACTTATTTTTGGTGACTGTGAAAGATGATTGACATGAGATTGTAATTGTAGATACAGATTCCATCGAGGAGGAGGCTGAATTTAACTGGGAGGAGTACATCGAGGAGAAGGGTGGGAGTGCAGCCCCCCACACCAACTTCAAACATGTAAGAGAGACTACCACTACACTTCCACTGCACCTTTAAACAATCTCCATGGCTCCAGACAATATGCAAAATCCTTTAATGACATATTGAAAAGAGTCAGACTTTGGTAGGGCTGAGATAATGTTGTGACAAGGGCTCTGATTGGCTCTGCTTCCTTATGACACAAGTTGTCTAACAAACCTTGCCAGTTTTAGCTTCAACACGCTTATTGTTATTACTGATGCATGAATGAAAACAATTTTCTGTTTGATATTATTCATTATTTGATATTATTGTCTGTAAGTCTGGAATTAGAAAGGAGACAAAAGAAAACATATATAATGCAACATACTAATATCTAAAATAAAACAGAATATAATTTATATAGAACATTGGAAATAGTGTTACATACATTTCAACCTATATTTTAGGAATTAAAATCTGTTTATAAAAGAATAAAAGTGATTTATATACAATGGCTATTTGAAAATGACAAATATAAATTAATCTAAAACACTACTTCTTCACCATTTAATAATTTTATATGGCATTCGATAAAAAAAATAAAAAATGTTACAGAGCATAGCCTCCATTACCTTGTTACATCAGAGGGCAGGAGCAGATGGGAGAGGGCACTGATGATGCAAGACTTTATCCACCTCTGCTTCCTGTGTGACCCATGGAGCCTCTCTCTGCTCCCAAGTCTAAATATGTGTAGGACTTTAATTCAAGATTTAAACAAGTGTGTCAGTATTTCAGCTCCTTACATCAGTCTGGAGTGATGAATGTAATGAGGTTAAAAGATATGTTTTATGAAAGCCCCAATGTCAGACGAACTCATTGTGCAATGCTTTGAGCAACTGCGGCCTCTCGGGAAGCCAAATTGCTTTGTTAGTAAGTGGATTGAGTCACTGGCAAACGGACCATGAATTCCCCAGAAAATGTGATTCAGTAAAGTGCAGCCCTCTCTCTCACTGGACAAATTGAAGCAGTGATTCCTTTTTGGCCCAGTACACGCAGAGGCTGAGGCTAACCCTAACTGTTGCACCGCCTCTTACATAAGCAGCCCAGAGTAATACAGCACGTTTGCATTGTTGTAGCAGGAAATCACAGGGCCATTTGCTTTGTATTTATTTCTAAGATGTTGGCCCTTTCAATGCAGTTGTGTGCGTGCATGTTGAATGTGAACATCCTGTTGGTCTCTGAAGTGACCTATATGGCTGCCTGTGGCTATGGTGGGAATGCACTATCCATTTCAAATAGAACCATAGTTCATTTATCCTCCAGCATTCCACATAGCCCCATGGTTTAAAACTAATATAAACCTAACTAGGCAAGAGAAACAAGATTTTAAGATTTGCCTTTCTACATCTTCAGGTGGAGATTAGTCTACAGAGCAGCTTCCAGCCAGGAATGAAGTTGGAAGTGGCCAATAAGAGTGCCCCAGACACATACTGGGTAGCGACTATCATTACCACATGTGGCCAGCTGCTGCTCCTACGTTACAGTGGCTATGGAGAGGACCGAAAGGCAGACTTCTGGTGTGATCTTATGACTGCGGAGCTACACCCAGTGGGCTGGTGTGCTCAGAACAACAAGACCCTTATACCCCCGGAAGGTAAGCCTGGATCTGGCCAGGCAACTGTTTCCTGAAAGATTAAATAATACTAGAAAATTAAAAAATATATATATATAATTAATGCTAGGCCTCAACTCACTTCAGCAATAATTATACAGATTGCTCTTATGTTATTTCTTTGATCATTTGGATTTCATTTTATTTGGGAGTAAAAAGAAATTAACCTACAGTATGTACTTCATTGTCCTCTTAAATACTGCTTTAGTTATATTATCTAAATATGATGTATAGTATTGTAAGTTTCCCTGCCTGATGATTTGTGATAAAGGTAACACACACAAAACTTTTCAAAGAATGCTTTCCAGAAATTTGTGGAAGGACTGGTTTGAAACCTGGATGTAAATGATCAAGTCTTTTCTGTGGTAGCCAGGGCTAAAACCAGGTAAATGAGGCCTACAAGGAAATAGGATCTTATTCTGACTTTATCTTATATGTTAAACATTTAAAATCTTGATTCAGTCATTGTGAAACCAGACAGTACCATGGTGGGTACTAATAATCTCTATATACTGTGCAGCGCAGCCTGGCAGTTATCTAGTATCTATAGTTTTAATTTTTTAATCTGTTTTTCATCCTTTTTTTTATATATAAATAAATAAATATGTGTGTCTGTGTGTATGTGTGTCTATATACATACACACACACTCACACAGATAGATACTGCTTTAAGGTGATTCATCTACATGATGGCTTTTCAAAGCATTTATTTTTCTTGACACTTCTTCACTGATGGATGTATAGTGTGTGTCTTGGTTGTTGTGGAGATGACCTGGATCTTTTTCCCTGCGACTTGGTTGTCCTTGTGCTCACATATCCTCCTCAATCATTGATGGTATTTTCAACCACTTTCTTGTTTGAGATTCAGTAAGTAAATCTCTTGTATAATAGTCATGTAATTTGCACATAGATGAGATGAAATAAAACAAAATAATAATGTCATAAAATAATAATAATATCAGTTAGCTATATATTATGAATTTAAGTGTAGTGTGAGGTAATATGATATTTGAGGACCAACTGACAAACATGGATTCAATTGTTTTACCAGCTTTTTTGTTATTAAGGGAAAGTATTAAATTAAAACAGGAACATTTTGATCATATTAAATGTACTTATTACAGGTTTTAACATGTTGAGTGTCACGTTTTAACTGCATCAGTTTCTCATTTTAATGTGCACATATTAATCATGTGTCCAATGCAATGACAAGGGGCAAGTCACTTTAAGCAGGTCTGAGCAATGTGTATGATCTGCAGCTATGTGCAGTGGAAGAGCCAAGCGTGGATCAGTTTGCTTAAGGTTAATGACAGGATAGACTGCACGACACTCATACTCTGCAGACTTGTAGGCATAGGCCTCCTGTAATAAACTCCAAGGCTGCTGTTTAGATGTACCACTGCACCTGTAGACCAGAATGCATATCCAGAGCATGTCTGTTTGTGTGTATCCAGAAGCACAGGTACACCCTTACAGGCTTTGGGCTGTTGTGGCAGGTCTGTGTCACCCAATGGTTGGTGCCACTGATCATAAAGGGTGATCAGTGAACACACATCTGTGCTGGTGCTGCATACAGTAACTAGCCACATTTTTCTCAATTTGGAACACACTTGTGTGCCTGGTCACTCTGATCTCACCATGTCCCATAGTGCCTCCTGTTTCCTAAGAGTGCACATGCCTTCATCCACATCAAAATGTTTGTTCAGACATGGCATCTGTCAGATAGGATAGGATCATAAGAGGCTGAACTGAACTGCACTGAAAAGAACTCATTTAGCCATGTCTTTTCTCCTGTAACACCCCAAGGCTATTCGTGGGCACCATGGCTGGTTTGCTCCTTGGCGAGCTGTGTTCAGGTGTGTTGGGAGCACCCACTCCATAAAGTGCCCCTACGCTATACCCTCCACACAACAGAGAGCTGAACATATGTGGAACCCAAATTTCTTCAACCCACATATCAGAAAGATGCTGCTTTTATTCTAAAGCAGAGAAAAATATGTACTGTGTCCAGGCACACAGGTGTGCTCCTGCCAAACACTGCAAAGCGGCATAAACACAGTTGTGCACACGGACAAACCTTTCAATTTTATAGGTTGGTTAGGTGCACATCGACATGCCACAACAGCCCAGCCCATTAAACATAAGCAAAAACAAAAGCGCATGGGCTTGGCTGACCTTCCTCTGCTCATTACTGCAGATTATATCAATCACGATATACTGACTTGCTCCTATGTAGTGCATTGAATGTGAGACTAATATATTCACTTTAAAATGACAAACTTTTCACCTTAAAACAAGAAACTTTCTTGTAATAACAACAAATAACAATAAAAATATTGAATGCATGTTTTTGAACTTATGGTTGTTTACATACAGCTGGCACTGTTGCATAGTTCATGATGTTGTTGATGTTCAGATTATTATTATTTATTTATTTAATGTGTATTTTTTATTCATATAACATTTACCTGAGAAAAGGTAAGCGTCTTGACAATGACTCACAAATTAGCAGCTCTGCTTATGGCTATAAATTATATCATGTCAATATAATAGGCCTTCATCTTGCTTCCTCATCCTCCCTTCTTCACCTCTAAACAGGAAGTGACCTCACAGTTGTGACCATGTGTCGCCACATGCTGCATGTGACTCAATGAGACACTCTCACTGAGCTGCACTCCTAAGATAACTCCTGTGCACAGAGAAACGTAATGATCTGATAAAAACACCTTCTGTAGTGTGAGATAAGCAAACGGCAAAAGTCACACATCATGAAGTTAACAGCAGAAAATTATGACTGTAGTATTCTTATTTTTCTCTATGATTAGAAAAGTATAAAGAAGATCCCCCAACGAAGAACACTTGGACTTTTCCGTTTATTATTGTTATTATTATTATTATTATTATTATTATTTAGAAGATTGGGAGTAAGGAACAAAATTTTAATTCTTGTTTCATATGAAATTTTATTGAATTGAACTAGTATCCACAACTGACAAGAAACCTTTCAGATATTAATGGCTGGCAGTGCATTTTTCTTTTCTTTTTTTTTCTTTTTCATATTTGATTGGTTTATTTATTACTAATAATTGTTTTGTAAAGCGTAGTTCATTCAACATTTTAGAGCTAAAATGAAAAATGTATTTATTGTGCATTGTTCGTTTTAAAAAGAAACTGGTGATCTATTTCCAAAGAAGTCTTTTTACAAGTACAGGCCTCACATATTTCCTGCAGTGGAGAGCAGTGGAATCTGATGACTCACAAAAACAAATAGGGCTAAATCTCTCATCGAACTTGCACAGTCACTGTTGCCTCCCACAGCCCTTCTGAGCTCCTTCACTACCATGGCCCTCCTGCTAAGTGATGTATTCAGTAAGCCTGTGTGCTCTTAATAACAGCCCCAGTATTTAAAGTGTCTGCATCACATTTAATCTATCTATGTCATCTGATCAACACTAAGCATTGTTCAAATATCAAACTAAGCTGTAGAAAAGCAGTAAGATGCAGTCAGTATGACTAATTGAAAACTTAAAAATAGCAAATATCTCTTTGCACTTGCCAATATAATATAATGTGGACAGTGTGTCCCCATACACATTATTTCAGCGCATTTCTTCAGTGCTTCTCCATGAAAAAATATAAAATGTATTATTTGTAGATGCATTTTTTGAATGCTCTGTCTTTTTTTTATCATCAGGACAACGAATCTTAAACCAACTCAAAGTGAGTCAGGACATGGGTGCACACAGATTTAACTGAGCTCTTTACAACTAAAGCAATTATGACAATGTAAACATCTTAATAACAGCTCACGTCACCGTAGGAAAGGGTTACTGTATGTAGAATGTTTTTGTTCATTTTTCTGCATGTTTATGCAAAAAAAAAAATTCCCCCCTACTTGAAATTTTTTTAAATTTACTTTTTCTGGTGGAGTGTCCACCACTCGCTTGTCTCAGTGAAAATGTTATTGTTTTGCCTGGAATGTTACACAGTATGGGATTAATTTATAGTGCACCTTTAATATGGCTGGTCTCAGTTGTACAAAGTGTCCTTTAACATTTAGCTCTCTCTGACTCATATTATGTGCTGGGTCCCAAAAGTAAGTTTTACTCCTGATCACAAGTTTCGTCATGTGGTGTAGGTGCTGCTGGCTGCACAGATCCTGACAGAGCTCATTTGCATAATGAATTCACCACACTGCTTCCTGTCGAAGTCTGCTGCAAATGACGCTGCTTTGTGTCTGATACATGTCAAGTGTTTGTGAAGGATAGCCTTAATAGATGTCATCTAGGCTGTGGCTATATGACCTGTGAGCATGTGACATTATTACCAATGCTGTTTTGAGAATTAAAATATGATTGTTTTACTTTATCCTGTTGTTATATTAGCAAATATTACAAATACTGTATTGCATGCAAAAATTTGGTTCAAAAAGCCTAATCACTTGGACAAGTACAAATCTATACATTATGAAGTTCCTGGGGATCTTAGATTGCTTAGGGGTCTGTGGTCGAAGCAGGGATGGGGGTGTTGCTGCCCGAAAATTGGTCTCCAAGGTTAATTAAGCACTTATTGCTATGTGAAAGTCAAGCCTTTCAGGCCTGTGTCATCTCCCAGCAAGTGAATAAAGAAAAGCCCCAGCATAATACACCTGTGAAGAAAGTTCGGAGAAAACAGCAGAACAAAGAGGAGGAGTTGGAAGGTCAATGTTTTGGCTTCAGCCCTGAACCACTTCATGACTAATTTGAGTAGGATCTGTAAAAATAGTTCATCTATTTCTGCTGGAGTCTGTGAACTGTGTCTTTTCGCAATCGTCCAGCTAAAGCAGCAAGAAAAAATAGACTCACAGGAAATCACTATTATTAACATGCTTTTAAAAAGAGTATGTCTTACGGGAAGACTTTGCATGGCCCAGTGTTGGTAATTAAATTTATTTGCCTGAAAAGCCCAGCTGCTTATAGATCCTTCAGGACTTTTGGAGTATCTCCATGGAAGGATTTGATATCTTATCAATATGTGCAGTACTTAAACTATGGGCTTAGCTCAGGGTGTTCACTGACTGTGACTATTCATACAAACATTTTCCACTCTGCTCATTATAGCCTTCATTACTAGTTAGTATGTTTGTACATAGTAGGCCTGTCACAATAATTACTATATGGACTTATCGTTCAGTATACTGTATGTTAGATGGAACAATAATGGTGCCAATATTTATTGTGGATACCTTTTTTTTTTTTTTTTTTTTTTTTCTTTCTTTGTACTTTTAGTTATTTTTCTGTTCTACGATTAGATTTTAGCTGTAGAGGGTTGAATAAATAACTTGTATGACTCATCATAGACACTATGTACTACTATGAACTATGTAAGTGTTTCATTCTCCTATTTATTTATTTATTTGTTTATTGCAGTCCATTTTTACATTGCTTTTTGGGATAATTCTTATGAATTTGTTTCAATATTGTCGTTCATTGTCTATATTTACTTCAGCAATATATATCGGACTTCAAAGTGTGGTACGTGATATGCCTAGTAAATATTTTGATTATGGCGATGGCAAGCACAGCTGTTTTTCAAGAAACTAAATGATACAAAATTATTGAATAATCACAATAGATTTCAGGCTTGTATCTTGCTTTGTTTCCCTGGTATTTTTATCTGTCATATAGTAATTGAATAAGATGAATCGAGTTTCACCTGCTACAGCAGCCATTATATTGTCGTTTACTTTCACTCTGCTTTCATCCTACTCATCTTTCCTGCATGGAACATTTATTTCCATGTTATATATAGTCAAATGTGACTATGGCTGTGTGCCAATGACTCCAACAAGTGTCTGGGTGTGTTTGTGTGTAAGTTTGTGTTATTTGTATGTGAGGGGTTTTTTGGTATAATTTGCTGACTTGCAGAGAAAACATGCAGTGAAGGCCACTCAGCACATTTGCCTCAGAATAGACTAGAGCTGAGTATTTTCTGAAAAGGAGGAAAGATAACAAGGAGAGGGTATTAAACTGGATTGTATGTTGTCTCTTTGTGGCTATTTTATCAGCACTGAAAAATGGTGAATGGGGAAAGTAATATAGAATATTTATTTTCGTAATTTGATTTTGTCCTTTTTGTGTTTCTTCATTGTTTCAGTTAAATGACTTCTTACCTACTCTAACTCTTTTAGATCTAACTCTTAGCCTCCCAATGGTAAAAATACAATATGCATTTATATCAATCTGTTAGTAAGATCCAAGCAGCGCAAGTATACCATTCAAGCGCTGCATGAAGGGGAAGGAGTTAAATTAAAGGAAGAATGTAAGAATAATGAGTCTTATGAATCTCATGCTTGTCTTCACTCTTACTTACAAAGTCAGTCAATATGTTAAAAGACTATTCTTTTGCTTATTTATTGTGCTCTCTCTATTTTCAGCTATTAAAGAGAAGTACAGTGACTGGACTGAGTTTCTCGTTCAGGATCTCACAGGCTCAAGGACGGCACCAGCCAACCTGCTGGAAGGGGTCAGTATCCAAATTCAAACTATGTGTATATTTTTATATCGATCCAATAAGGGCTACCACATTTTTATTTTTAGTCATTTATTTTTCCGTAAATCTATATTTTATTCAAATAACTGAATTATTTTTTCCTGCAGCCTCTCAGGGGGAAAAACACAGTGGACTTGATTGTAGAGGGATCAGTGTTAGAAGTTCAGGACACTTATGACCCTTTCCTCTACTGGCCTGCACGAGTCATCAAGAACATTGGGGGGCGGCTTTGTTTACGTTATGCTGGTTTAACTGAAGACCACCTGACCAGAGACATCTGGCTCTTTTACCTGAATGTGCGGTTGCGACCCCTGGGATGGGCCCAAGAAAACTGCCTCACAGTAGAGCCTCCAACAGGTGACTTATTTTGGTCAATGTTTAGCTTCAATGGTTGTTCCATCAAAAGTCAGTCATTCTTAAGAAGATCCACTTATTTGTTTCATTGACAGAGCTCAGATGTCTGCATAGCCTCTCAGATTGGCAAGAGGCTTTAGAAGAAGCTCAACTTGAGGGACAGAAGAACCCACTGCCCTTAGAAGTGTTTAAGGTTAGCTGCCACAAATCTTTTATTTATATATATATATACACACAAAATAAAACTTTTATTTTTTTTCACACTGCATTTATTCTGAACATCCTTGAGCATCTTAAATGCAGATTGTGGAGCAGCATAACATAAAGAAAACAAAATTGTCTAGTGGAAACTGAAGCCTTAATTTAAAACAACACTGATATAAGCCTAATATATGTTAACAATAATAGGGTAAAGACCACAGTTAGGTAACATTTTGTTGAGTCTCAGTTATATTGTCAATCTGTGTTGGGAGTAACACGTTACAAAAGTAACAAATTACTGTAATACAGTGCTTTTTGCATTAATGTAAGGCATTACAGAAAAAAAAATTGGTAATATTTTACTCAGTACAACGTGCGTTACAATGCTTTTTTAACCTGGATTTAAGTGGTGGTTTTTTTGTTTTTCTTCATGCAATTTCAGTAAAATCACCAGCGGTGAAACATCCTCACAGATCAGAACAGATACATAACGTCATTGTGAATCACGTCAAATGTATTATTAAAGGCCACCACACACTACATGAGTTGAGACTTTTGTCTTCGTGTGTGATTTTGAAGCTCGTGTGTGTGGTGTCAGTGCCTCTGAGCTGCTCTCTTAGATAGTAACCACCAAACATCAGCAATGCTGCAGCCAATAAAATAAAGCGTCAGGGGCAGATGCAGTGACGGACACAGATGCACAACATACATACTCAGGAAATGGTGAAAAATAATTATTACTCACCCTTTGTAAAGCTGTAAATATAAACTGCAGCATCTTATCCACATTATCCTTAAAATTTGTCCTCCGCAAATAATGATACCCAATCCAAAAAACAGTGCTAGAAATCCAGTGAGGCATTCTTTAAAAGTAAAGAGACGTGAGTAGATCCTTACGTGTGTTTGTTTACATCCACACAGCCTGTGGATCACGAATAGGACAAAATCTGACCTTTCCTGAAATTCAGAACTTGTATTAGACACAGGGTATTATTAGAAAAACATTATTATTTTGTTTTGGAAAATTACTTAAAAGGGCTTCTTTATCATCACTGAAAAAAAAAGATGGTATAGCATCAACATAGTGCATAAAAGTAGGCTGCCTTGCTTTAAGTATGTCTATGATATTGGAGCCCATTTATTTAAGTCTTGACTTTATTGTGTCAGGACCATGTAGACCTGCCCAAGCACACCTTTAAGGTTGGAATGAAGCTAGAGATGGTTCCTTGGTGGGATCAGATGCAGATTTGCCCTGTTTCTGTCACGAAGGTGAGTCTGACTCTAAAACGTCTCCATAACCAAGAGACTTTTTATATACATTTGCCTATAGTGTTAATAGTGTTAGCGTTTTACTTTTGTGACATAGTTTAAAAATAAGTTAGTGTCCCTTGTATTTATTGCAGGTCTACAATGAGTACTACTTCCAAGTGACAGTGGATGATTTTTCAGCGGATGCCAAACCCTGGTCAGTGGTGTGTCACGTGAACTCACCAGGCATCTTGCCCGTCCAGTGGTGTCTGAAGAACAGGACAGGCCTAGAGCGGCCTCGAGGCTTTGAGGGGCAGGACTTTGATTGGGCCGACTATCTGAAAAAGAGTGGTACTGAGGCTGCTCCAGACGCATGCTTCCCTGATGTAAGACTTTATTTCATTTCATTGTGTTTCACAGTGTTCAAAGATAACTCACAGAAACAGTGAAACAAAAACAAACAGAAATAAAAGAATGTTTTAAAATGTAGCCCCAAACTCTAACCTTATTGGCCCATATTACGCCATTTTCTGATATATGTTATAATGCCGTTTCCTCATCAAAAACATACCTGGAGTTTTGTGTCATTCACACGTATTTAACACACAAACCCTTCTTCTGTCAAACAGAAAACGCTGTTGTCATGTGGTAAGACAGGAAGTTCTACACTGTTTTTTTTTTAACTTGATACATTTAGTGATGTAAAAATTCACTGTAAATATTCAATTGCTTATAAAATTTAGGTCTGGCTCTATTGGATTTTAAATTGGGTTTATTTAGGCTACATTTACTGCTATTGTGTCTCTTTACAGTCATGGACAGTAGGTCAGCCTAAGTAACAAGCGCTTATCCTTTAGCTGTTAGCCTAAATGTGTGTGTAATTAATTACTATTCATTCACACCTCTATTCACGGAGCATTTACATCTTCATGCAGGTCCCGAAATGTGCATACAGCCACTATTGTCGCTTTACAGTAACACTAGACCAATGTAAGAGAAAACAGGCTGTTATGTGTGGTAGCTTACAGCAGCTAAGCGCTAACCAATGAGAAAGAATTAAGAGTAGCTTCACATTTGGAACACTCACCGCTCATACAGGCACCTCTCATCACAAGCCTTCACAAATAAGATTCCTTTTAATCCTGATTCAAAACAGTCATCCATAAAAAGAATATAATCTAGTATGTTGACAGCAGCCCCATGTGTGTCCTCTGCGTATAGTGAAACAAGCAGTAGTTTTGTTTCTGGCCTAAACTGAGTTGAAGTTCACTTTTATTTATAGTCAGAATCTTAGATCAGACACAAGAGCATTTAAAGTCAGCGCATCAGTGCTGCCTCAGAGTGAATGGTGAGAACACACTGGTGTAAACAAGAGCACCTGGGGGTGCATTCAGGTACAATATGCTGTCACAGACAGACAAATTACTCCTCTAATAAATACTGATGCAGCATCACATATTAGGACATTTATTTGTCTGTTATATTTGTAATATAACTTTTATAATAGTCTAACCTTTATAATAAGGTATAACATGCACACATAGACTATTGGCCTGTATCAGCTAAATTTAGGCTAATAGCCGATATGTCTCCAAGTGCCCATGTCAACCAATAATATTGGCTGACCGTTATATTGGTCGATATATCAGTCTATCGATCCTTACTCCATACACCTTCACTAGAATCACTGAAATAACTTTAGCCTTAGAATTACCAATCTCTACTGAACAAAAGCTAAAAGGTAGCTGTTAACGTGAAAGCTACCACTACATGTCATCACAAAGTGGACCAGAGCATTTTGAGCTTTGGAGATATATACACACATATAGACATATATAAAGGATTACTCAAACAAAACACAAGTTGGGTATGTTTTTGAGAAGGTGACAACCTTCATGGCTAAAAGTCAATTTTGTGTAATAAAGGACCTTTAATCAGTGTGTGAATGTTTAGTGTGTGAATTATTTATGTGTTGAAAGTCTAATGTGAGTTTACACTTCAAACAGGCACATTTTACACAAAATTTACATGTTTAAGGAGATTCTTGTTTACATGTTAAATGTGTGTGCCCAGACATGGCAGACAAGGGGCTTTGCCAAGGACATGTGGCTGGAGGCAGTGAACCCCGCGCAGCCGTCGGACGTGTGCGTTGCCCAGATCACACAAGTGACTGGCCGCCTGCTGTGGCTCCGACTGGAAGGTAGCCACATCCTAATGCTAATGTGTGTGGTAACATGTGCAAAAGTGAGACCACCCCTGCTGTTACTCAGGTTTGAAGTAAAAGCTAGCATTAGCCATTAACGTGGCATCCCTTTTCTCCCTGCCTCAGGTGTTGCCAAGCCTTTATCAGAGTGCATTGTGGACAGTGAGTCTATGGACATCTTTCCTGTCGGCTGGTGTGAGGCCAACGCTTATCCTCTCACACCTCCACTCAAACCTGTCTGTACGTACACACACATTCATTGAGCACTTCTTAAATCATTGTAAATTGTTGACAGCTTACTATTACCTCGGCTTTTCCTGCAGCTTCCAAACAGAAAAAGATAGCAGTGGTCCAACCAGAAAAACAGTAAGAATTTCCATTTTATTTGTATTGATATAGCCTTGTTATTTTTTATGTAACTGCACTGCACGTGTTTGCAAATTATGGCCATAAGATCAAAGAACCCTTGTTGGTCTTACAATGTGCAAATTGCAGTGTTGCAACAGAAAAGTACAAGAACAACAGCAGTAGAAAAACAAGTATCACTGTCAAAATCAGTAATTTCATAAAACAGTTGGTACTGTAACCTTCTTTACAATTACGTTTTTTTGTAACACAGGTTAGTTCAGTCTCAGTCAGAAGAGGTTCCTCCTGTCAACTGCCAGCCTGTTGCTATGGATCAAGGTAACTATTTGTATAATCGCTCTAAACAATTCTATATTTTAACCAAAACTTTTAAGATAAATTGCCATTCTGTAAGCTTTTCGTTCAGTATGCATTATGTATACTTGCATTGCACATTAACTCTACATTACTTGCATTCTAGATTTTCCCTGTTTCAATTTGCAACTGCGTTATGTAGTTACCATAATTTTACCATTACCCCCTTTGTTCCATTGCTCCATTTGTCTCTGGATCACACCGCCCGTCTTTTGTCTTGACTGCATGAGAAAAAGTGCATAAGATAATGTACAGCAAGTCCCTGGATACAAAGAAAAGAGAGATGTGCTTTGTTTCCTTCAAACCCATGCCCTCTTTTTTCAAGTTTTCATTTTAAATACCTCCCACTCTATGGTGAATATTCATGACTTTAGTTAATTGCTATTCACCCTGTGCTTGGCGGCTCCAGGTGCTGGCACTAGTGAGGGGCAGCAGACAGGCCAAAGAGTTGATGTTACACATCTGACCAGCCTTTATATTAACCTTATTGACCCACTGTATTAATTAATGTGTATGTAAAATGGTTGCTGTATTATTATATTAAAATAAAACAATTCTATTTATCCAAACAGGAGCACAATTAATATATGACAGCCATGCAAACAACTGGCCACTTTTCACTATATATACTATAACTATAGCTCCTTCACTGTCATTGTGAAGGACCTAAAGTTGAAAGCCATAACACATAATTACATTTTTGCAGGTGCAGCAAATGGAAGATACTGCTGCTCAAAGATATTTGTAAACCATCGATGTTTCTCAGGACCGTACCTCAACAAAGGCAGGATTGCCGAATTGCCACAGGCAGTGGGGCCTGGTAAATGCGCTCTTGTTCTTAAAGAGGTGAGCCTATGTAACGATTACACCTGTTTCACATCCCATGGTGTTAAGAATGACATGCACATTTTAAAGGAAGAGGGCCAGAGAGGGTGAGATGTTGTCTTGTTAGCCACCTGCAGTTTCACAGCAGTCTTTTCATCCTAATGTGAGAAGCTGTCAGTCAATTGTGTTTACATACAACCACTGCGCTTCAGCTCCAATGCTTAGCTAAACAACCATTTAATTTCTCTTGGGACTTGTGTGTTTATTGTGTGGACATACACTTAAGCACCAGTGGAAAGGTGTGGTGTGAATCTATACTAGGTCTGTCATGATAACAAATTTTGAAACACAATATATCTCTGAAGTGAAGTGTTGTGATTAACAATCATATTGAAACTATTTTTATGCCACTAACACAATAACAATAAAGCAGGATAATCCCAGTAAACAATTTTTAAATATACTATATCATTAAAAAACATGAACTGCAACAAATAAATAATAGAATGAACCAGGAGTTAGGTATAGAAGTAATTTATTCTGGTTTCTACAGCTCAAATTGTACTTTTTACATAAAATTTGCAAAACTCTCAGCATTATACACAATAGATATTGAGTATATAAATATATTGTTCGGGATTTCATATATTGAACGATAAGACAATATAGTAATTATCGTGACAGGCCTAATCTATCCCTGATTTTGCTGTGATCTTGTATTATGCTTAAGTGCAGTCATGTCAGAGATGTATATTATATAATGTGTGTGGTGTGGTTTGCCTTCAGCTGCTTACTATGCTGATCAATGCTGCCTACAAGCCTGGGCGAGTCCTGAAGGAGCTGCAGGAGATGGAGAGTCACAGCTGGGACTGTCAGGAGGAGACCCTCAAAGCCAAGTGAGTAGCTCAGTACACCAAGATTCTGTAAAGCTAATCTTTGTGTACTGTTTTGTCATATAATTGTCTAAAATGTTACCAACACCCAAAAGTTCTTTGTTTTTTGTTTGTTGTGTTTTACTATACAACTTTTCTGGTAGAGGGTTTGTCACTCCATAGAGATACTATTGTAATACCAGTAGTATCTGTCTCCATGGATACATGCAGGGGCAGCAACCAGGCCAAGTTACAGGTCAGATCTGAGCTAAGTAATTAGTAAGTTAAGTTTCCATAGACAAGCATCTATCAGCCCCCTACCAGAAAAAGTTAGTTAGTGCACCTTTTAAATGCATCTAAAAGATGGAATAAATCACATTGTTTAATGTTTAATTCATAAGACACACAATTTCCATGTATTGTAAATTTCTGTATAGTCTGGATTACAACATCATCAAACATCAAACTGGCTAAACTAAACCAGGCCTTTGGTACACTTTTCTTTATCTAAATGAATATTACTCTCTATTTTCTGATTTATTCAAACATTTATCTTTCACTGTCAAGCAGATTGCATATAGTTATCATTTTTATTGTTCTCATAAGTATAGGGTCATAATGCCACATCCTTCCCACACTGTCTTTTCAGATACAAAGGAAAAACATATCGCTCCACTATCGGTATTGTCCGGATTGCAGACCAAATTCCAGACTTTTGTCGAAAAGTGTGTCTGAAGCTCCAGTGTTGTCCAAACCTCTTCAGCCCGTTGCTTGTTACTGACAAGTGCCCAGAGAACTGCTCACTACAGACTAAAACCAAATTCAGTGAGTGTATATGTAATTAAATGCATCTTTTCCAAAGCCACAGTTATGAAGAAACCCAAATGAAAGCATGCACAACCCTAGTGTATAATTGTCTTAAGTGTTGTTTTGGGTGTAAGATTTTCAACAGCTGCTGTGCATCCTTAGCTTACTACTATGGAAAGAAAAGGAAACTGTCCAAGCCTGTGGGAGGAGAGGACACTGAGGGCGATCAGGCCAAACCAGCCCGACGGAGGAAGAAGAGGAAAGCCATCTTTGTGCAGAAGAAACGCCGCTCCTCTACTGTGGACTACACATATGCAGGCTCACCACAGGTTAGGACACTTTCTTTTTAACACTAACTACAGGTGTCATTTTGTGATTCACTTAACTAAATATGAGATATTTTGACAGCACAAATAAAGTAATACCAGTGCCCTTTTTATTAGTGATTAATGGCATGATAATTGTGCTTCCTGCTACATACTACATTTACATGATTTCATCAATAAATTGTGAATGCATTACAGTTCAAATCAATACAAAATGGTGACTGTCATTGGTAATGTAGTAGTAGTAATGTGGTAGGCCTATAAAAACAAAATTTCACTTGACTTTTAGAACTACTGTATTTTTCGGACTATAAATCACACTATTTTTCATGGTTTGGGTGGTCATGCAACTTATGCTCTGGTGCGAATTATTTGCACACTGATAGTCGCGAGAGGGCGCTCTAGGCTTGCGTGCCAGTATCTGCTACTACCGCACATGTCTCCTGCAGAAAGAGCCACACCATTACTTCTGTACTTCTGAAAATTTAAAATGTAAGTGACTTAAGTGACAACCAAAACCATCCTGTCGGGATTCAGAAAGGCCAGAATAATTCTAACTGGAACTGATGCTGAGGTTTGACAACAGCTAAGCAGATGAGGAAGAGGTGTTCCATTTACCACCAGAGGATGAATGGATTTAGTGATTTGGAGTGAGATCGAGAGTTTGGTAAACTTGTTATATTGTTTATGCTATAGTTAATTGAATAACTGTTGAAATGTATTCACAGCCTGTTGTTCTCTGTTCTATTGTTATTACTATAACTTGCTTTTCAAGATGAAATGTGGGTTCCTGGTCTCTGATTTTATACAATTTATATTAATAATATAAATATTAAAAAAAAAAAAAAAAAAAAAAAGTGCGACTGCCGGTGCAATTTAAATTCCGAAAAATTTGGTAGTGGTATATGGATGCGAGGTGGTTTGGTAATAAACTTTTATTTTTTGCTTGCTTTTAAAAGACCTGTTCAACAAAAATCACTAAAGAACGCAACGTGTTACTGTGTATAGCTGAAATGTGTCTCTTGGGAATATGTTTCTGCGTGTCTTAATGACTGTGTTGTGATCATAACAACAGATTACAGGAAACGCTGTGTTAAACAGAAATGTCATGCCTCTGGGGTCCAGTTGTGACTTTTGTTTGTGGAAACATATTTCATCAGCAGTGTATATACAAACTAGATTTTACATTTATTACATTATATTTTTCATTTTATTCATTGTTAACAGCAATATTAACCTAAGACTATAATAGAAACCAGTCCATTGCGATCCTGCTCAAAACTATACTAGTCTGATTTTCTTTTAAATAATTGCAAGTACAGAGCTATATGTGGGGATAGGGGGTAGGTGAAAAGAAGAATTTTCTGAGAACTCAAGTCTCAACAGCTGGGCTATGCAGGATTCCTGTATGAATCAATCAAAATAGAGCCAATGATGAGGGCAGACCATTGTAATATAGTTCAAATCTCGTATCTCATATCTCAGTAAATTTTACACATTACCTCCTCCTTAACAATACATAATCCGATGTTTGTAATCCAGGACAGTGACGAGGGAGATGAAGACGAAGACTTCACTTTACATTCAGGCAGTGAAGGCACCAGCTCTGAGCCTCGCGATGACTCGTCTATTGCTGAGGTGAGCAGCAGTCGTCCACGTCGGGCTGTAACTCTACGTAAAGCCACAAACTCAGGACACAGCAGCCATGAGTCCACAGACCGAGAGCTGAGGAGGTCCACCCGCTCCCTGTCTGCATACAACCAGAAAGACAACAAGTACCAGCCCCCTAAAGAACAGGACGTACAGGTCAGTCAAGTGTATCATGTTAGCCAGGTCCATTACAACAGGCATAAAGATAAGTTTGGCAAATAAAGTCTAAATAAATAAGTACATTGTGTGTTGAGCTTGTACTGTCTAGAATTAGAAATTAACATCTTAAGGAAAAAAAGTTTCAGCTATTTTATTTCTCTCTCTCTCTCTCTCTCTCTCTCTCTCTCTCTCTCTCTCTCTCTCTCTCCATATATATATACTTTTTTTTTTTCTGGTTCAGTATTTCAGGTTCAGTATGTATTGTAGGACTGGGCAAAACTGAAGACAGATCCAGGAATTTCATATTTTTGATAACATGCTTGTTTTTTTATTGGAGCACAGTTCAGAAGAAGCTGGTCATACTATGTTAGCCAGAATGTTGTGAAATGGTGTATGTACTGCACTGAATTGAAACTTGCCTGAATATGATTTATTTAGTGTGAAAAACTCAAAGACCACATCTTTCCAAAGTCATACGATGCACTGTATGTCGTGTGCTTGTAGATGGAGGAAGGTGAAAATCAGCTGGTTCTTGACAGAAACCCTTTGGATTGGACTGTGGATGAAGTGGTTCAGTTCATTAACTCCACAGACTGCGCATCTTTGGCCAATATCTTTAAGGAGCAGGTACGCAAAGACCAGCATATCAAAATGACAAAATAAACGTTAGTTTAAAAAAAAAAATAAAAACTAACCTCAATGTATAATGTCTTTCTAGGATATTGATGGTCAGGCCCTTCTACTACTGACGCTGCCCACTGTTCAGGAGTGCATGGATTTGAAGCTTGGTCCTGCCATCAAATTGTGTCACCACATAGAGCGTGTTAAAGTTGCCTTTTACAAACAGTTTGCTAATTAACAGAGCCTTGCACAAAATGTTAATACTGAATGAATTACCTAGTACTTCCTGTTTGGGTGAAAAATACTATATATATATCCGGAATTTTGCTGAAATTCAGGTGGATAAATGTGACAAAAAATTGTGTGATTTATTTTTTTTCTGCTGAAGCTGAAGGAGAAGTCTGTGAAATGTATGTTAAAGAAAACTACAACTTTGTGACCTGTATTGAGAAGCAGATGATCCATTTCTGTTTTCTTTGTTTAAGAAGTGTTGACTTACATTGGTTCCTTTTGTGTGATGTAATTGGTCCTGGAAATTAGAATTTATTTATCAAACCAAAACATAATATATTTGGATTATTTATTCTTGTCCTAATTTATGAAAAAGTACAATATTCACCCCATTTAAATCAAGGCAGACCTTTAAATTAACTATTAAGTTATTAATTCAACTGCTTCTTTGTATATTATATCTTAGATCTCAGAAGACTTTAAAAACCAAGGTCAGGAAATGGCACTTTGTGCTCTGTCGTGTTGTAACCACAGGAATCCATATTGTAAGCTATTTTTGTGTCCATCTATGCAAATGTGTGGAGATATTTTTGATAAGAAAAAAAATAAATTTATAGCCATTTGTATTTGTTTGTCATGTTGCCCTTTCTTTACCTATGGTCAAATACATAGTGCTATTACTTGTCAGTTAATATCAGATGAATTGATCAAAGCAACCACCACTCTCCTGGTATATAAGGAAGCATTTACAATGAACACTAGAATTACCGGTTTCACACTGTGAAGAGGTCACATACCTAGAAATCAGTTAAGAGTAGGATACTAACTTGTTATCTGCAGCAAACTTAACTATATTACTCAAAAACAGGTGGCACTGTCAAGGAACAATACAGATTATCTATTCAACATGTTTAAAACAGAAAATACTTTTGAGCCCAAGAAATATCATAGATTTTATGTTATACGATAGAAATAGAAATGTTTCTGAATCTCTGTTCATCTGCATGGCTGCACTGTGTGTATCAATGAACAGTAACTAATATACATGTGTTACATGTGGAGAATTGAAAGACCCATCTTAATGACACCCATCATGCACAGCTGCACCAATTCTGCTGAAAAACACATGGGGTGAAATGCTGAAACTGTTTCTGGTGAATCCTAATCCAAATCTGACACTGCAGAAGATCCTACCCGTCACACTCCAGTTTATTCAATGTTTTTTCTTCTCTTTCACTCATCTCTATGTCTGTATGTTGAGTCGTATAAGCAGTTGCCATACTATAGTCTGGCAACCACATTTAAAATATGTTTCACCTCAGTCAGTTTCAGATATGAAGCCTGGAAACCTGTCAAATTTCCATGCTAATTAGCTGTAAAATGTTTTGTACTGTAAATGCCATTAGATAAGGGTACACATTGTCATGCCTAGTGCTAAAAGGCCATTTTATATGCACTGGTCCTATATGAGCCCCTAACAGTTCCTGTCCTCATGCTGACAGATGTGATGCTGGGCCAGTATTGACAGAGCATCAGCTCCCTTATCAAAGCTGCTGTTTATCTTTGTTAAGGCACCAATCCATCAAGTTAACTAAAGAGCTGATATCTATGCTCCTGGGTCAATGCATCACACATCTGTGGAGAACTATTTATTTATTCATTTATTTTACCTTTATTTAACCAGGGTGTCTGCTTTTATTATATTGTGGAGAAGTCATTTTGATTGTAAGGTATAAAAATCATATTGATTACGTTTTTGGTAAACATAGATGGAACAGAAAATAATTCTAATAAAAACACTGAGGTGGAACATAAAAAGCAAGCAAAGTAAAACAAAACAAAATCAGACAGACATTTAAACAGCTGTTGACACAAAAATCATCCCCAGCTCAGTCACTGCTTCATCCCCTCCATTCACCCTCCCCATCTTTCTCTCACATGCAGCAATGTCCAGTACCTTCCTCTACATTTCCAGTGTTGCAATTAACCAATGTTGCAGTTAACCGAGTGCATGTCACTAGTCCAGAACTTATCTTTGTTCAGATAAAGCTCTTGTCCTTTGTCCCCAGCAAACACAGCCTGGGTTATAATATTTATATCTGACCCTGGCACATGTCCTGACAGGATTAAGGCGAATAGAGGTGTATGATCTCTCTTCTCCTTGTTCACAAAGCGATAGTGCTCTGCAGCTGAAATGTAGGTCACCTGGCACAGCTGTACCCGAGCACAATGAGCTGTATGAAGACTGTCAGTTGAGCAGAGGTGGAGGCTACTATCCTCTATAACGATGCTTAAATATTTTCTTGAGCTGTGACCAGTTTGTCTTGTCTTGATGCTCACAAATGTGTTTTACAGCGAGACAGAAGTGTGAGTTGTTGCAGTTAATTGTGAGAAGTGTGACACACAACTTTGTTTTTTTCTCATTAAAAAGTAAAGGCGTGAGGCAGACTGTAAGTCCATTGTTGAAAACAACAGAAAGAAATAATGCAATATGTACTGTGTTTTTACTATTTTCATTTCAATCCAATCCACTTCATTTCTACAGCACATTTCATAAATAAAGGCTGTTTCCAAAGTGCTGCACATAGAAAAAAAAAAAAAAAAGGAAAAAAAACCTGCAGAATCTATACAGAGAGCTTAACTGGTAAAACTAATACATAAAATAATGATTAACATACATAAATTATTAATATTTTCAAATACAGACAAATGAAATGCTCCACAATTTGGATAACAGTGGACATAATGTAGACATAAGAGAAAAGTTTTTATTTATTTATTTATTCAGTCCTTAACCAGGACATCTCACTGAGATTCAGCATCTCTTTTACAAGAAGAGACCTGGCCAAGGTAGCAGCCAACACAATTAACACAGTTCACCTGGATATAATGTAGAGAAGAGACAAACTTCTCAAGAACACAGGATTCCTCACTGCAATTTCTATCCACCAATCTACAACCACACTTCTTGAGCTTGTCTGATAAATTGTTCAATCTCTGTCCTTTTGATAAACTATAAAATGCAAACTGGAGTGGCGCTGTGGTAATAAAATGTTAACATGTCTTGCTCTGACATTATACTTGTTAAGAACACTACTACTTCCTCTATTTGTCTGTTATTCATAGACATGTGGACCACCTCTGGGACTGCCTCCATCTGTCACACATCTTTTTCAATACACCAGGCCCATCTCAAATACACATCTGAGACCATGTCTGTGTTCCTTCATCTCTGTTTCAAATGGTAATGCTCTCAGTGATTTTATTGATAGGAGAAAGTTTTGAAAGATGTGCAATGGGACTGGACAGAGAGCTGGACCCTTATGAAGTGAAAAGTAGATGAGCACAGTTGGTAAATAGGAAAATATTTCAGGACACACTCCTGCTAAATTTCTCATCTTCTGAGTCTGTCACATCAAATCATCTGCCGCCGACTGTGCACTGATTTGTGCAGTGATTGAGCTATTGATAGATTAAAAAGGGAGATTTGTAGCTCTGCACTGATACCATTACACTGTATGAAGAGCTTTTCCCTTTTTAAAGTAATCTGTAAGGTTAGTATGCTTTCTGATATGCTTTCTTATGTCAGATGTCAGAACCTCAATTTAAAAGGTTGGGAGTTAAAGTAAAGAGTTGTGGTCCTTGCAACAAGTTTGCATATTGTAGTTTGATTTAAATGATGTCTGAAGACTGAATAAATAGGTAATTTATGGAAATACAAACACATACATGTCTAAGGTGGAAATCAATTGGACTTCGTTAGAACCACAGGTAAGTGAATCAGCAAATATGTACTTGGAATTCATTCACAAGACATTAATTAGCCAATTCATCTTTGGATGAAATAGATCTGAAAAAATATGCTACTGATAATACTCAGCTTCTAATTATTAAGTATTTAACAGTTGCCTTGATTATATCTCCTGAAAACCTTGTAGCTCTAATGTCTTTGCCATCATTTAACAGCATAAAATAAATCTGATTCTGTGAGTGATGTATTCAAATGTCTGACTCATACCTGTGGGGAGCAGTGCAGGTGCATGTTTCCATTTTATACTAGTTTTGTCTTTGTCATTGCATTTTGTAGTTCTAGCACAGAAAAAATACTGGGTGGTCGGCTTACTGTAATCTATGTGCTGGTATGCATTATGACTGTGGAAAAATAGGGAGAGTGTGCGTGTGTGTTGGAGAGGAAAGGGAGATGAGAAGGGGGGTCATGCAGCAGCTGGTTGGCTGCTGGGCTGGTTTCCATGGAAACATGTGTAAAAAGAGTACAAGCTCCATCCCCGAGTCCCGTATCGATGCTTGGTACAAAAGAATACCTTTCCACAATCACATGGCCTCCACTCTATGTGTCTGGTGATGGCAATTTCTTCTCTGTTTTTCCTGACTGCAGTAAAACTCTGAGACGCTGAATACACCAAGCAAATAAACCATGCAAATAAATACAAGCCTATACAGCTATAACGAAATGTAAATAGGTTTGTTTGCTAAGAAGACAAATTTTAGTGACATTCAGTAAGGTGTACATTTTACCATATAAACCAACATGACCCAATTTTGGGTTTGAATCCTGATTGGATCTGTTGTAATTTTCATCTTTAAGCCCTAAAAAATAAGAAACAGCAAAGCTGCTAATCTGTGTCATCCGATCACACACCACAATCATACAAAAAGAGCGAAGTGTCTTGCCTACAGACACAGCAACAGTTTACACTATAGCCCATGCGCGTACTAATCAGGTCTAACCCTGCTTACCTTCGGAGGTCTAGCATTGACAAGGCGGTGTAACAACAACAGTGGGACCACAGATTCAGAAAACATACATTTTTGGCTGGGGAAGCATTTAAATGTACCTTTTTGACATTTATGGGCATACTTTGTTTGTCATTCACTTTCAATGAAATTCGGGAAAAAAAAACAACAACTTTGCACATGTCAAGAGAAGGTTATTATTCTGTATGAAACAAAGCAAAGAGAAAAAAAGGTTTTAGGGTCAGTTTTCAAATTCGAAGTCTTCTTTGCGTCTTCTACGTCTTCTACGTTCCGCACATTTCCCCAGGATGTACAGTATAGCTTATATCAACTGTTTCATTGTCATTACAAGGCCGATGGCATAAAAAACAGCAACTACTGGCTCCTCCTAGTGGACAGAGGAATAAATGCAACGTTATATGTCAACGTTTGTGGACCCCTTTAGCAACATTTCTTGCACACCTAATTTGGCATATTATAGAGCTTTGTTTTATAAGCTCTCGATAAAAAAAATACTTAAATTGCTAAATTAAACTGTTACACATATGCAGTTACACACATAAACATGTTAGTATAGATCCATGCACTAAATAGGCCTAGAGCTAGGCCTATATGCCGTGGTTTGGCTACTAAAGACAAGAGGAAAATGTGACGTGTACTTCTTAAAAAAATTTCTTAGTAGTAGTAAACGTGTTCTTGTTTCTTCCTGTCTCTGTCAATCAGTCAGTTTCGATTTGTATGTGGGAGTGTGACGTTCAATGCCTCGTATTATTCTCAAGCCTCGAACTATTATATTGGAAATGACATGATAAATGTTTTTTGTTTTTTATTATTTAATTAGATTTCTTAGATAATGGAAAATAAAAAGTAACTATGTCAAAATAATATATGGTCATAATAAATTGTTTTTTATTTCAACCTTAATGATTCACCCTTGCCTCAATGCAATGATTTTAAATTTCCCGACTTGATCTGAACGCTCCATAGGTCCGGGTTAAATGCAGAGTCCCTACAAAGAGCCGTCAGTGGTGTGTTTGGATGGAGCGTATGAAGAGTTCATCTGGGGGCTGTCCCAGGTAAGAATGAGTCCTCTTCAGATTAATTATGTTATTGCTGTGTTTATATATATATATATATATATATATATATATATATATATATATATATATATATATATATATATATATATATATATATATATATATATATACACACACACACACACATATATATATATTATATATAAAAAAAAATAAAAATGTGTTTCTCACCTTCCACGGTGGTAGGTCTCTCTCACCCTCATTGATCGGGTCCTCTACCAGAGGCCTGGGAGCTTGAGAGTTCTGCGCATATCTTTGCTGTTCCCAGTACTGCACTTTTCTGGACTGAGATGTCCGTTGTTTTTCCCGGTATCTGTTGTAGCCACTCTTCCAGTTTGGGGGTTACAGCCCCGAGTGCTCCGATCACCACAGGCACCACTATGCCTTTACTTTCCAGGCTCTCTCCAGCTCTTCCTTGAGCCCCTGGTATTTCTCTAGCTTCTCGTGTTCCTTTTTTCCTGAATTACCATCGCTTGGTATTGCGATGTCAACCACCATATATATATATATATATATATATATATATAATATATATATATATATATATATATATATATATATTAATATATATATAATATATAATATATATATATATATACAGACACATATATATACATATATATATACATATACACACATATATATAAGTATTACCAACAAATACAAAAACATTAGATGTTTAGGTCATTTTACAGCAATGTTCAATATCCAGCAAGGTTAAAAACAAACATTACAGTGTAAATACAAGACATTCATTTATTTTACCATTTACACTTCTCATAGCCTGCTGTAGTCAACATTTTTATGTTGACAGATAATTTAAAGGTCGCTCTTGGCTGAGTTAGTCTTCTATTTGGTCTTCTATCTTGTTCTGTCTTTGAGCAAGTGACCGCTCAAGTGTCACTTTTGAGCTCTCCAAAAGACGCCTACAGTAAGAGGTTTGTGTCAGGCACTTATTCTGGCCCTGTCAATACCAACAAAGACACCACTCCAACCACACTGGGCTCCTTCAGAAACATCGCTTTGATTGAGCTTAATATAATAAGGTCAGGTGGGCACACAAAGGTCTCCCAAAGGTCAGAATCTGCTTGTACTGACTTGGCCTTGTGTATGTGGGAGTGGGATGATAGGGGGGTGGTATTTAAGCACCCTTGGGTGCCTGCCTGTGGCACCAAAGAAAATATCCCACCGCAGATGGCAGCATGAAGTCTGGGCTTATAAAACATGAAAGTATGTTTGCTCTTTCTGATCGACTTAAGCTATGGGGGCTTACTGTAGATCTAAAGTGTGCCTGCTTGTTCTCAATATTTAAGTTTAGCTCACAAAAAAACAACTATTGCAATGAAAGCTGCTTGCACCAACTGCTGTGAAAGTTTGGTCTCACAATGTGCAGCTCAAGAATCTCAACTGTGTATTTTAAAGTCCAACCATCTAGCCCACAATGGCCCTTGTGACATACTAATCCCCTTAGTATGTTGAGTACAGCTGCACAAATGAAATGAAACATTAGTTACAGTTTTTTACTAAATGCCACCTGTGTATCGGAAATGTGGCTCTCCAAAAGACAGGAAATGTGGTTACAGCTTTGAAGCATGGTATGAAGATGTTCTGTCACTCTGCAAACAGCTTGCAACAAGCGTGGAGTGTATTTGAATTTGAAGCACTGGCTTTGTAGAGGAAGGAGTAGTAGAACGACTAAAGTGAATAAAACATTAAAATTAGAAATCTGTTTTTTATGATGTCAAAACTCTGAAAAGGTTAAAGAACAGGCAGAATGTTACAGGTATTATGGTAATATATATATGTAAAGTATATAGGACTATATATTTATTTGTATCATAACTGAATAATTACTATCGAAGTTAGCCTATGTGTTTATTTTGTTTTCTTGTTTCAAAAACAAAATAAAAATGACTTTTGACATTAATTTCACAAATATATAGACCTATATATAATTTTTATACATAAGAGGTCTAATCTATTCTCTGCACAAACATTGTGGTAACGATTAATTAAGATTTGTGGTTTTAATAGTTGGATTGGGTCCAAAGTGGACATTTTAAACATGTCCAGTAGTAATAACGATTACCAAAAAAGACTGAAATATGAACAATGACAAATGAATATAACAGTTACATGAATTTCAGTATTAGAGGTCTAAACTACAGAGTTTGCTGCTGTTTTTAAATTCTATGACTGGTTAATTTGTTGTTTGTAAAGGACTAAAATAAATGCAGTCTTTGTGATTTTCTAATACCATCCAGACTGTGATTTCAATACAATATTTTTTACTGAGGATTTTCTGTAGACCACTTCATTTAAACAATTTGAGCATATCATTGACAGTTAGAAATTATCCGGCCTTAAATGGTGTGATTATTTCCCTTTTGATAAAATGGAGCCTCAGAAGTTACTGTAAAGCCACATGATGACTGCGGTCAAATATTACGGATCAGTTTAGTATTTCAGCTCCAAGAATAGATGCCCACCACCACATTCAGGCTGACATGCGCCTACACAGCAGAGGGAGGGTGGTTCACATATCACATTGACCGACACAGAGTCACAGGCTGCAGTGTTCAGGGTTTAGAGGAGCTGTTGTTTAAAAAAGGAGGCCAAGAAGTACTGCTTTATAGGTGCTTAAACAGCTGCTGTGGACAAGTGGTGGAGGCATGGGCTCTGGTATTCTGCTGGTGGTGAGTTGGACTTGTAATGGTTTTTCACTGATGCAAATGTCTAAGGAGGTGTGGCAGTTCATTACTCTTTTCAATAATTTCAGCTCAGTGAGTTGTTTGATTATAGAAATATACTCTATATCAAAGAAAAAAAAAGTTATTGTGTACATCCAAAACTGGTGTTTTGAAGTTACTTAAATTACTTAAGTTATTTAAGTAACTGGATTTTGTTACTAAACCAATTTTGATACCACAATGGTAATAAAAGCGTTTGTTTATTTATTTTTAGACAATACAATGTCTTATTCAACATAAAATAATAGCAGTTTTATTAATATTATGTGTTTCTGATAATATCCTTCTATTCACGGAAGGTGTATTTTTGTGATTTTTAGGACTGATACTTGTTTAAATGAATATTTTTTTGGAATTGTTTTAGTGTCAGTTAGTTACTACATACTTTTGACAACCTTACTCAAAACATCGTTTCTTGATAGGTTTTTGAAAGTAAATAATAATGTCAGGAAAAATGTTTAAGGCTAACTGCAGTTGTAAGAGAAGTAGTTGTAGCAGTAGTCCTGTTGCAAGTTGCAGTGTAGTACAAAGAAATACAATTACTTTTTTTTTCTTTTCAACAAAAAAAATATTTTATTGAAGTAAAATATTTGTACTATTTTGGGAATGAGTTTTGACACTTCCACTTCTGATGATGATGCTATCAGGCTTAACTGATGCTTTGAGTTTGACTGTTACTCATTTAGGGTTTTCCACTAAGTCTGTATGTTTCTCTGTTATTGCAGGTTATTTGAAGAATCAGATCTGCACCAGGACGCACCCATCTGTGGACTTCTGCAAGAAGAAAAATCACAGCTTGCTGAGCGAAGAACTCGAGGTCATCTTAGTTCAACATTGGCACAGTGTTAATAACGTGTGGAGATATGTCACCTTTTCTGAGGATTGGATTTTCGAACTTTGAGCTCGACTCTGGTCTGGCCTACCATGAGGAGGTGCTCAACCCATATTGTGCCGTTTATATGAAAGAGCCCATTGACACAGGTAGGATTTTTTTTTTTTAGAATATGAATTTGTATTCATCATTTGTGTATTTATTTAAAAATACATTATTTTCATTTGCATTGTGGATACTAAATGTTGGAAATTATTATATGTGCTAAAGATTAAGACAAATCTTTCCTTGTTGTATTTTAATGAAGTAAAACAACTGTACACTGAATGCTGCTTTTCATGTGTGTAAGTGTTGAGATAACCAGCTATTAGACGCTCTGACTAAAGTGAAAGTGACGTCTTATTTGGGAAATGACATGACAGAGACATTTTGCTGAATAAGTGTGACACTGATCAAAATTCAGTGTATTTTTAGAAGCTTTTAATATAACACCAGAAACCCATGTTGTAAATTACTCTTTATCATTAGTAAATTACAACTGTGGGGGAAGTTTTAGTATCAGAGTAAAATGATTTGTGTTGACAAGTCCAATGTTATCAGAAAGAGGCTGCATCTTAATTTTAAGTCTGACACATTATGTCTATATAGTTATAATAGAAACCTCATTCAGTTGATTTTCATATCATCTATTCTGATATGTCACTCAGACAGTTATTTTTGTAGAGTATCCATATCTGTTTAACCACTGGAGACTTTGAGTATGTGATACGGTGCTAAAAACAGAGGGCAGGAAAGAGGACGTTTCTGGTGTTTCTTTTCCTCTTTTGTAAAACCACATGATTATTTAGCGTAAGACAGTCCTACGCACTCAGGGGGCTACACGGTGTCATTTTACTTACTCATGTTCCTAATAGGAATGACTGATGTCAAAGCCTAAATCAGTAATGATGACAACTTTCAATGATGGAAAAAAAAATGATTTGGTCTAGATTGTGGTAAATTAAAATAGAACATATATCACAACATACTGGAAGAAGTTTGCCCACTCAGGATATCCGAAGAGCACCTGATTGTTATTTTACTTCAGCAGTGATCCAGCAAGCACTCCAGCCACATCTATTTCTTTGCATATGTCACCACATAATTCCATAGATATAGTGCATGACACATTGTTGGTAATAGTAAGGTTTTATTGTTGTAATATTATTTTAACAATACTATGAAAAATATTGAAGTTAAATGCAAATGTTAATAGAGAAAATATTTTTATATGAAAAAGTGTTCAGCAATATTAATATTTTCCTTTGAAACAAGCCAGGGACTTTATCTGATTTTTATCATTTGTGTGTTCCCATTTTAAGGTATGGTTTGAAACCTTCTATAAGCATGACTATGGATGTCATTAGTGCACTTTGTGATGACTTGACAACTGGGTCAGAGCATCTCCAAACCTTAAGCTCTATTAGACAGTTTCACTCTTCACTTGTGAATGCTGTTCAGTGGTCACCAACATTAGGTAATAGGCACACATACTGTAGCTTCTGGTCTGGTGTGTGCATGTCAAAACAGTGTTTTGATCAGCAAAGCAGACAACAGCTGGTAGGGTCTGATGGAGGAAGTCAAGGGCTTAGTGGCTTTATTGTTGAAGCAGTGAGACATGTGGGCATTATGTAAGTCGGTATTAGGGAGAAAAGAGCAGCTGCCATTTATGAGCAAGTTTTAATGTGGTAATATAATGTCCTAGAAATATGGACAGATGTAAAATTAAAATGTTATGTATCCCATGTCACATGTAATGAGGTCCCAGAATCTCTGTAATACTGCATTTCCTGTACTTTTACCAAGACAGTCATATAAAAAGAGCACCTAATCTTCAACCAGATTATTTTCACTGGCTTCAGAGCTAAAAGAAAGTCAGTGCCGTTGTCCGGATGCCATTATTTAGTGCTTAAGACTTTAATCCTTAAAGATATATTGCATTACATATTGTGATTCTGAAGTGAGAACTGGTGGATTATTTAACTAAATAATTCATTCTTTTGAAGACATTTTTAAGTTGTCATTGCCACAGCTATCACATGTGTTTTTATGTGTCCTCATTCTAATAATTAATATAATTTTCTTTTTGCCAGAGAAAGGCCAGGTCTACAAACAGAAGAAGCCCACCATGTATCCTCCTTGGAGCACCACATTTGATGCTCATGTCCATCGCGGGCGCATCATGCACGTCATGGTGAAAGACCGGACAGCAGAGCTCAATTCTGAGGCCACCGTCGCTCTGGACACTTTGGCCACACGCTGCAAGAAGGAGAATGGCAAACTGGAGATGTGGGTTAGTGCAGTGTTTCTGGATCGGCCTATGTGTGCTGCTAATGGATACTGTTTGCAGACCCCAGATGGCGTTAAGTATATAAGTTACTAATCCTCTTTGGGTCATAAATCAGTGCAACCATTAGTGTTACTTTTTATAGATGGCATTTTACTCCCTGTCTTGTTTCTTTGCATATGTTCCCCAGAATGTGTATTTAAATCCTATGATTCACAGTGAATCTCTTACTGACTTATTTGTATTCTCTCAGTTGGAACTGAAGCCACAGGGAAGGGTGCGGATGGAGGCCAGATACTTTCTGGAAAAAAGTGGTGAGTTGTTCAGTTTTGGTCACATTGTGCACATCCAATAAATCTCTGTTCTCTGTGGAAGGTGTGAAAGGTTAGTGTGTTTGACAGTGTATGATTTGCTATTGATTTACTTGCCACCTGTATGTTTTCTTTCTTTCTTTGATGTTTTTTTTCTCCATTTATGACCAAAGACATTGTGCATGTGTAGCTTGCTTTCAGTTATCTTTGAAGCCTCAGTTAAAATAAAATAACTGTGGTCAATTTAACTGGAGTGTTTGTAGAGCAAAAAATGAAGGTGTGAAAATCTGTAATCACACTTCAGACCTGAACGGAAATGTCTTTGTTCCGCTAAGGGAAAGCAAACTCAATGGAAACCTCTCCTTTTTAGCCACAGTGTTTTGCATGGTCTTGTCTGATTGGTTCAATGATAACAGATGACCTTTGACCTGCTCCAGATGCGGCTGGAGTTGCTGAGGGAGACTCTGATGTTGAACGGGAGCGGGAGGGTCTCTTTGCCCTTCACCAGAGACGAGGGGCCATCAAACAGGCCAAAATCCACTTGGTCAAGTGTCACGAATTCAGTGCCACCTTCTTCCCCCAGCCTACCTTCTGCTCCGTCTGCAAAGAGTTTGTCTGGTGAGAAATCTCACATTACAAACCACAAAATTAGTCATCAATGCAAATTTACACTTTTTTTTTTTCTTTGCAGGGGTCTCAATAAGCAAGGCTATCAGTGCAGGCGTAAGTATGAAATGTGGAAATTTGTGTGGGCAGTTCAAATTATGCCTAAAATAACTTTATTTTCTAACTGAGTTTATTTGTGTCTTTTAGAGTGCAATGCAGCAATCCACAAAAAATGCATTGACAAAGTTATTGCCAAGTGCACTGGTTCAGCAATTAATAGTAAAGAAACTATGGTAAGTTTGACGTTCACAAATAGTTCTGAACATTTATGCTAATACATGAAATTAAATGACCACTTGTCTGCTCCTGGTGTCATGTCACTTCCTGTTCAACAATGCCTTGTAATCTATCACTAGAAATATATATTGGTCTATACAATGATGACATTTTAGCTTCACAGTAAGATGCTGTAAATTCAATCTTTGAACTTAATTGAATCAGATGGACGTCCATGGACATCCCACCAAATGTCAAAGACAAGTTATTTATAACCTCAACAGCTGGTAATGATAGTGGTAAAGTACTAAAGTAATGTAATCCATGCCATCTCATGTATTCAGTTCAAAATGTGTCAGTCTAAAGTGTTATGGGGTGATGTTATGGGATTTACACTGTACTAATGTATCCATGTCTTAACAGATTCATAAGGAGCGCTTTAAAATTGACATGCCGCACAGGTTCAAAGTGTACAACTACAAGAGCCCCACCTTCTGTGAGCACTGTGGCACGCTGCTGTGGGGGCTGGCCAGGCAGGGGCTCAAATGTGAGGGTGAGAGGGAGCTTTGCCATACACTACATTTTAAAAACATGATCAAACTTTAAAACAGTGAGGAGTTTAAGAGAGTGTCATTATACTACACAGAGGCAACACTTCTGTAATATTTTTAGTCATGAAATCATAAAGACTTGTCATTATGTTGACACATTTTAATAAATAATACATTTTCAAAGCAAGCCAAAACTCTAATATCATGTACAGTTTTAATACATGTGCTTACCAACCCTTTTTAATCAATATGACTAAATTGATTACAAAATGTCTATAAATATTTGGCACAGTATTGATCGTTAATTTAATTTTATCTCAAAATATCATTTACAGTCATTTTTTTTCTCACCCCTTAATTGGACATTTTGTGTAAATTGGTCTCTTTTGTAGAATGCAGTATGAATGTCCACCATAAATGTCAGAGGAAAGTAGCCAACCTCTGTGGGGTCAACCAGAAACTAATGGCTGAAGCACTGGCCATGATTGAAACTAAACAGCAGGTAACTTTTGATTTTAACCTCATTTTTGCTGTTTCATCATCAGTATACTTTATATGTTTGGTTTTGGGATGTTTTAGCAAGCCAAGACCTCCAAAGACTCTGACATCATCAGTCGAGAGGGTCCCATTGGTATTGGTCTACCAGGAGTGGTCCGAGCTCCATCAGGGATTATTATGGGTTTACCAGCAGTTGCTATACCTAACAAACGTAAGAAAAAATTTCACTGAAATAGTTCATGCATTTTAAGAAATCTGTGAAAATTTCCCCGAATTTTACTTTCAGCAGAGCAGCAGGGTGTTTCTTGGGAGGGACCCATTGGCCCTGCACCCACAAAAGAGGAACACGAGGAGCCACTCTATGCTGTCCCCAGGAAAGATCATCACACCAAATTCAACATTGATGACTTTGTCCTGCACAAGATGCTGGGGAAGGGGAGTTTTGGCAAGGTAGTTGAGTTATTATATTATTATATTTCTGCAGTTTTATTCCAGGTCAAATAATACAGGTACATTTGGTATGCTCACTGGTAGTCTTATGAATTACTGAAGCAACAGGTTTTGTGGGCACGCAGTACAGACTAAGTGTTGTGTTATTGTTATCTGCAGGTGTTTTTAGCAGAGCTGAAGAGAAATGGGCAGTTCTTCGCTGTGAAGGCTCTTAAAAAAGACGTGGTACTAATGGATGATGATGTGGAGTGCACCATGGTGGAGAGGAGGGTCCTATCTTTAGCCTGGGAAAATCCATTCCTCACACACCTCTACTGTACCTTTCAGACCAAAGTAAGATTACAAAAAATGATGATTATATTAGATTTATTTAAAAAGACATCAATGGGTCAGTCCTGTGTTCTAGACTTTGGAAATGTCAGATGGTACATATAGAACTATGCAAACAACTGATATGAAAAGAAATATCCAAATTTATAATCTACACATGTTGAACCTTATCATTATTTGTTTTGGAATGGCTCCACAAACACGTTTTTCCCTGTTTTTTATTTATGCTGACAGAGAAGTTGAACTTCAAATAACAAACAACCATATCTTTTTTACTTCACTTTTCATGTTTAATATGTCAATACGTGTTAACAGGAGAACCTGTTCTTTGTCATGGAGTATCTAAATGGAGGAGATCTTATGTTCCACATCCAAAGCTGCCACAAATTTGACTTGTACAGATCTACGTATGTATTTATTAAACTCAACTTGTCTAAAAAGTTATTGCATTGTATTGAAGATTTTTGGTACTTGTGTACTTAATGCAGTCTTTTCTTTGTATTTTTTTGCAGATTTTATGGAGCTGAGATTGTCTGTGGGCTACAGTTTCTCCACTCTAAAGGCATTATTTACAGGTACAATCTCTGTGAAACTGTAATTGATACAGAGCAGATAGACAATGGCTGTGTCTAATTTTAACTCATATGTGCTCCTCTGTGTATAGGGATCTGAAGTTGGATAATGTGCTTCTAGACTCTGAAGGACATATAAAGATAGCAGACTTTGGCATGTGTAAGGAAAACATGCTTGAGGATTCAAGGACTGCTACATTTTGTGGTACTCCAGACTACATCGCTCCAGAGGTGACCGAAACTACAGCATAACACAAGACACCATGCATTACATTGACAGTCCTTACTTTGGGTTAATTGGGCTCCAAAGTTTTTATTCTTATTTAAAGGAGCATTATGTAATGTTTCTGATGAAGGGTCAGCTACCTGCTTGACTCATGAAAATGTTATTGCTGTACCTGGAATGTTCCCTTGCATTAAACTTATCTATCTCCATGGAGACATATGCTGCCAAGCTAAGTTACATGTCAGATCTGGGAAGGGATGACACACTCAAAGTAAGAGCCATGCCACGGAACATTCCAGGTAAACAATATTCTCCCTTGAGACAAGCTATTGGCAGAAACTCCATCTAAAAAGTTACCATAAAAATAGTTTCAGGTGTCTTAATTTTTTCCAACGGTATGTCTTGTCTGTTTGTCAGATTTTGCTGGGTCAGAAGTACAACATCTCAGTGGATTGGTGGTCGTTTGGGGTGCTCCTGTATGAGATGTTAATTGGTCAGTCTCCGTTTCATGGCCGTGATGAAGAGGAGCTCTTTCAGTCCATAAGAACAGATAACCCAGTTTATCCACGCTGGCTCACCAAGGACTCCAAGGACATCCTTGTCAAGGTCAGACACAGCAATGTAAACAAACAAAAAAAAAAAAAAAACTGCAAAAACAATAACAAAGACTCAAGGTGCCCATCTTTTTTCTGATTAATTAACCAGATGCTTATGGAAATGGCACAGAATTCTTAATACAAATGTGAGTTAAAAGAGTAATCAGGACACAAATTGAAATCATTAGCCTATAGGTGCTCCATGTCACTTTTTGCTAAAGGATCCAGTGCTTCTCTATGACAATGTTATTGCTTTACCCCGAAAGATCAGCTGTATGGTATTACAGAGCAGCCTGGTGGAGCTGAGTCACCTGCTTGTACCCAAGAAGATTTATAACACCATACTGCGGACTATTCCAGAAAAACCTTCCACCAAAAAATTACATTGTGCACTTTTAAATCTAGTGGTATCATTTTTCAATAAGTGTAAACACTATATCAAAGAAATGATGAACATCTTTAACTTCATATTTAAGATAAGATATGCCTTTATTAGTCCCACAGTGGGGAAATTCCAGTGTTGCAACGCACAATTTCAGAACAGCAGGAAAAGGTAACACAGATAATAAATAATAGCTTAAAATAATTTAAAAATAGACTTAAAAATAATTGCACATGGTTATGATTGACTGGTACATGTTCAGTGTTAACAGTGTTTGTTGTATTTTGTTTGTATTACAATTAAAATGTTTACAGTATTCTTTACAATATTCTTATTAATTTGTGGTGCAGCTGTTTGTGCGGGAGCCAGAGGAGCGTCTTGGCGTCAAAGATGATATTAGGCGGCACAATTTCTTTAGTGCCATCAACTGGAAGGCAATGGAACAACGACAGGTCTCTCCTCCTTTCAAGCCAACCATAGTAAGTTTTATATTTTAACTTGTATTTTAACACTGTGTTTTCAAATAATATCACTCAAAATTATAATATGTTATATAATTTAAATATTCTTTCCTCCTCTTCTACAGTCATCGCCTAGTGACTGTAGTAACTTTGACAAAGAGTTTATCAACGAGAAGCCGAGGTTGTCCTGCGCTGATCGGACACTCATCAACAGTGTGGACCAGACAATGTTCCAGAACTTCTCTTTTGTCAATCCAACTATGGCCCATATCACTGGCTGATGTTGAGTGAAACCTCTTCAATCGTGATCCTCCATTTTAAAGATACTCTGTCAAACTGTAACTGAGACAAATACTGGACTTTGGTACACATTTTTAAGGTACTGTTTTATAGACGCAACAGACAAATCTGTTTGAACATTGATTCAGTGTACTTGTTTAGGTGACTACATGAATATGTTTTGACTCTGCCTCAAGGTAACTCCCCAAATAAAAAATGTAACAATATACTACCATATGGTACATGTACAATACGCATTGTTTTGTTGATGATAATAAGGTATTCTGTTTGTTTTCATTTTGTTTTTGTTTGTAACAAATGTGCCTCAAGACAACATCAAATATTTATCATGCTGTTGTACAGTATTCTGTGTAATCCTTGTTCTGCATCCTTAGATTTTATCATAAATTTACATACCTCATCTTTTTGTGCAAACATCCATCAAAATATATTTTACTGTAAATAAAAATATTTTAGACATAATATGGCAGATGCACAAATGCATTATACTTGAATCTTTTGTTGTTACTGAGAACAGCTTAATGGTTATGTTTTTTTATTGGTATTGTGAATTGTGCCCAATAAATATTTTTTTCTACTACTAACATTTAATACTTCAAATGTAGCAGACAACACATATTTTCTGTATTTTAACAAATTCAGAGCACAGGTTAGGTTTTCCGGTAATACTTATTTATTTTTGATTATGATTGATTCACTCTTAATGTAACCTCAAACAAAAATGTAGAGAAGACTTTCATTTTGATGATATGCCAAACGAAAAAAAGAAAATAAAACAAAAGTTATGAGACCAGTGCAGAAGCATCTAGCACAATATATCTTGATCTTAATAAATAAATCTATATCCAATATGCAGAACTACATTCGGAAATGACAATGGTGTATAGAAGCTGTATGTATTCCCTTTGAACATTAATTTCACTGTACAAAGTAGTAAGTGATGTATTAACTTCATTTTGGAATACAGAACTAAGATATTTCATAAATAATGTATTCAAACAGACATGTCCCTTTAAGTGCTTGATTATCACTGTTGCTTGCATGAATAAACTGGTATAATAGTGCAGGTCCCAGCTGAAATGTGATGTACTATGTGTTACAAAGCATATGCAAAGGGAACAGTAAAACTACTGTATTTATGGCTGGAGCACTACGCTTTAAACAGCACCAAGTAAGAGGAAAGAAATACATTGTTCCAATTTAAGTCAAGAAAAATGTTGCCCGTATAAATAGAAAATGCGTGTATACTGTATCTGCAGCAGGCAACATGGTGAAAAAGATTTACTAATGTTTAGAGGGAAAGGTAATACAGTATTTTAGCGCCTCCCGGTGGCTGCAGCAGTGCCACACCGATTGAAATTACGGCTCATTTGGGGGAAGTGTACAGTTGGTGTTTTGGCAGTGGGCCCATAGAGACCAAGGTTTCTGGCAGCTGCAGATTTCCTTGGCTGCTTTACACAGGGAAAAGGCGAGAAGGCTGGCTGCTTAGGAGTGGAAATTGTAGCAAATGAAGGAGCAGAGGGAGAAGAGGACATGGATGAAGAAGACGCAGAAAGTGAAGCAGGTGTAGAGGGGCAGGGGGTCTGGTAGAAGCTGGTGGGTGCAGGGGTGGCCACAGAAGACAGACCATTGACTGAAGATGAGGATTTGAGAGAGGAGCATGACGGAGGGTCTACTGGAGTAGAAGAAGCTGGCGATGGGCTACAGGGAGGAGAGACAGGAGGTGAAGATAGATAGGTCCTGTCAGAATCTGTGTTCATTACTTGGCTTAAGTTCTTCTCTTGTGTCTCAGGGTGTGGATCACTTTTATTTGCAGATTCATCTTTGAGGTCTAAAGTGTGTAGCTGCACCACAATGTCCTCTACTTCTGCTACATCTACCTCATCCTCAGCTTGTACAGAATCCCCACACACAGATCCTGTGACTGACAGGTTTGGAGAAAGACAATCTGACCTGTCACTTTCAGTCTCGTTAACAACTCTCTCCTCCAACTCATTTTCTTTTGTAACTGCTTTACCATTTACTACCTCTTCTTCCTCATCCTCCTTTTCCTCAGAGTCTTCAAAACCCAGCTGAGCCCGGGCTCTGGCTATATTCCTTCGGTGCATCCGAACATGGTCACGCCAGGGGGAGCTCCTGGTAGAGAATGAGCTGCAGCGCTGCCTGGACGGAGATCCCTGGGAATAGGGAGTACCAGCTCTGGGCCCGGGCAGTGTGGAGGAGGGTCTTAAGGCTTTTGGTTTACGACCCAAAAGAAGGTGGTTGATGACAGTCGAGCTGTTAAGCTGAGAGGTTGTAACACGAGTAGCAGGACACTTATCTGAAAGATATAAACAAATCAGTATGAAAAGTTTGGTTAAATGTTTAATAGGCTGGAGTCTCAAGTAAGAGAGAATTAAAAGAACAATGGACAATATCAGTAAATGTAGACACTGTTAAACTTAACACTGCATTAACTTGTTAGAAGAGGAGTCAACAAGCAGAGTTAGTCAAAACACAAACAAGAGCAAACCCCCAACATGCAGAAGAAATCACACAAGACCTTTGTTTCATATTCATTCCTGTGTGAATAAAATCAAAGCCCAGATTATCAATCAATTTATTAGAAAATGTGTGTCTGTGTAATTTCTCAATCTATGCTTCCTTTTATTCACCAAGAAAAGGCAACACCAGATTCACCCAATCGTGATTTTTAAACCCTATACCATCAGTTTCATCTTTCTCTTTCTTGCGTTGATGATCCTGAAGAATCCCTGGACTTGTGGCCATTTCAGGTACACATCCTAACAGTCAAGCATTATTGTGAAATGTCATAACTTAATGAAGTGGATCTCAACCATCACTTATAGCTAGTCAAAACTGCAAGTATACAATAATAGTTGACTTACCTGTTCGGATGCAGAGTTGCATAGACTGTTGCTGCTGCCTCTTCTTAATTCGGGCATATTGCTTTTTGAGGGCATAGATGTCAGTGCTCATCCTCTCCATCATCATGGTGTTGATAGCTGCTTGATGCTCAGAGCGGCTGGGTCCGGTCCCTCCAACTGCTCCAGGACTCAATTCTGCAATATTACCATGCTCAGCTCTTTGGTCTGAAGTAAGAAGATATGATCAAATATATTTAATATTTTGAAACAACAAGCATCAACTTTAAAGCTCTCCCAAAGCAGCAATACAACAAGCATAGTCCATGTATCGTATTACTGTTGGTCTATAACCTATGATACAATTACACCCAAAAGAAATGTTAAAAAGCAGTACGAAGCTACACAGTAATGGGCTTTAAAAGATTAGTGAGTGTGATACAACTTCTTTTATATAGGAAGACCTACAGAGGATTTTAGTTCAAATTTGTCTGGGCTTCAAAGATTTGGAGTAGCAGTTTGCCCCACTTGGCTACTTTCCTGGGCTGAAGCAAATTAAATTGAATACATTTGTTAACACACTGACCCTTGAGATGTTTCTGGTATCTCTGTAGCTCCGGAGCCAGCAGTCCGCCTAGTGGCCCCAAACAACCGAGCGCTGTCACCATAGCATCTTCATCATCCATATCTGCATCATCATCACTCTCCCAGCTGCCTAGACCACCACTAACAAGCAACAGGCATATTAGATATTTCATGAGAATAAAGATGAAAAAATATGCACTACTGGCAAGAAGGTGCCTTTGTTAGTCTTTGGACGGACCTGCCATTTGATTTAACTGAGGTAGGGAATGGTGTAATATTGTAGGTGTATTTCTCTCTTAACTCAGCTAGTTGTGGAAAGGGAAACACTGCCATGGAGTAAACTTCCTGAAAATATATTAAATCAGAAACGCATTGAATATTTTTACTTGAGTTTATAAAATGTCTTAAAAGTTTGTTCTCCTTACGTGCATGAGATCTGCCGGGTCAATGAGGTTATGTTCTAGCATCTCTTGAGTTAGACAACCCATTGTGCTGTAAAAGTCATCTGCAGTCTGACAATACTCTATCCTCCTGTACACATTATAACATAGTCAGTAGACAATATTTAGGTAAAAATGTATCTATATTTTGTGGTTCACTCACTCTCCCAGTCGTTCCCAGATGGCAAGTGCAACTCGAAACAGCACTTCTGAGCCTTCAAAGAAGACTGAATCCCAAATCTTTAGCACAGTAGGAGCCGGCAAACAGGTTGCGAACATGGTCAAGAACCATTGCATAGTGAAGACATTGGTAAGTGGGGGTTCATAGCTGCCTAAAAACAATTAGATTATTGTTGACGAAAATCTTTGTTGAATGTCTAAAATAGGAAGAATGTACACCAATCTATACCTCCAGCTTCTTTGTTGGCAGTTTTTTGTAGATGGTGGAGGTGTTGGGACAGTCTTGGCAACTTTAAGCGCAGTAAATCTCTGAACACCGCCATGTCCACTGAAGAAAAAGGATTGATGAGGACATAATAGCCTAACATAATATCATGTTAGTATACACATTTATTACCTGATAATGCCCGCAGATTGTTGGCAAAATAACTTTCTGGCAAAACTTTGTCAATTAGGTAGATCATTACCTTTAAAAATACAATACATATTTTATTCTTTTGAATTAAAAACAAAAGATTTGTTTATTTATTTAATATTATACTCAGAGGATTCACATAGGCCCCACAAGTGTACCTTAAGGGCATCACTTTCACTGCCCTCTGTTACTTCAAGGATGAGAGCTGCCAGTACATTAAAGCCCTGACAGTAGCCCACTTTTTTATTCCACCGAGCATATGCCAGCAGGACCCTCTTCAGTACCACCCTGTCCTGCTCCCCCTCCTGGCCACAGTAAGAACTGCATCCAGTCCTGTGAAGATCCTGCCAGAGAGGAAACATGTTTGATTTACTCAAATAAAAAGGCTATAATAAGCAGGCTTGTTAGGAAATAAAATCTAGTATGAGAAAAAAAAAACATTCCAGTACTAAAATCGAAAGAATAATAATAAAGAATTTATTAGGCTTGGTGGTGGGTGTAAGTGGGTTTCTTGATACATGCTCCTCGAAGTTACCTTGACAATCTGAATGCCGAGTGAGTCATCATCTGGGTTACTGCGCTCATTGAAAGCAAAGCGTAGAGTCTTCTCCCAGTCAATAGATATGGAGTGGAGGTACTGGTCAGCCAATGTGAGCCAAACCTGCAAAAACAGGAAAAGTAATTATGATCTGAATACTAATTTTAGTAACATTGTGATGTGATCATTTCTTATTGTGGTTTAGAAAGACATCTCTTACCCTTTTCCTCCACTCTTTTGGTATTCCAGTGGGGAGCCTTGCCACTGATTTAAGGGCATCGTACCACTGAGTGACAAAAAATATTTCAAAAAAATGTAAAATCTGATTGCATGAGAAGCATATAGTTTTATTTCATTAAAAGTTATATTTCCTATTCATTCACCTGCTGAAATCCATTCTTCCCAATGGATGGTTCAATGGTGAACTTCAGCCTTGTGTCAACACCTGAAATTGGATATACAGAGATTAATAGTCAAAATGTAGTCCTATCCAGTAGTCTTTTCACTCTGAATATTTACAAACAAAATGATTGTTATGTAAATGAGGTTATTTTTCTAGTACAGTTTCAAAATCTAAATAAAAAAATAAATAAAACTAAATACAAACAACAAACTAATTATATACAAAGATAATTTGACTTTGTCAAGACAACATAAACTAAAGGTTGCAGACAAATTTAATTGGTCTGAAGTATACCCGTAATAAAACATCAGGGCACACACAACAACCTGGATTTACGTGCCAGAGTTTGGACCTCCCGGAAAGAGTCCCCTAATCAGCTCTGGCGGACTACAGTCGCTGTCCTTTCTCGCGTGGTGCTGAAGCCCATCTCAATCACTGAAACTGGAAATCGCTTTGGCTTTGACACACAAAACAGGCCTTAAGTTTTGCGTGCATTTGAGCAAATGCTCAACACTGTAAATCCTTCGCAGGACCAAACGGAAATTAAAAGAAATAATAATCTGAAGTCAAGAGGGAGCTTTAGCTCAAGGCTGGAACTAGCCTAGCAGCCCTATGTCGCTATCTCACGGCGTCCGCACTTTTAAAAGTAGGTTACAGTCGATCTCACGGTCGAATATGCCCTAGCATATAACTAAATAAATCTAATTAAAACAAATGCGTAACCTGTGTGGCCCCCTTCAGTCGTACTGCCGTGCGCCATTCTTCCGTGTACAGCGCTTTTCACCTACAGCAAAGGATTACCACGGAAAACCCTCCCACTGCCCCCACAGGTCAGTGTGAACCTGTGCCCATACACACAGGGCAAGTAAAAAGATGGTGTTACAACGTGAAGTCAGTAGCTTATGTCTTCACGAATGTTTTTGAAAAACGAAGCTGCACAGACTAAATGGTATTTGGATCCCATTCATCCAAATTAATCAACGTTGGTTAAACAAAGCTTAATAAGTCACGTAAAGCTTCAAAACCCAGTAAATGATGCTGAGCGACATGCCTAGGTTATGACACATGATGTAGCCTAATGCAGCATCACCTGGCTCCAAGGTGCAGAGCAGTCGTGGTGCACTCCGGGATATCCCATTGCGCTTCTTGAGAACGCTGCTAATGATATTACCGACTCCTCCCGGGCTGTGCTGCCGGCTCTTGACGCCCACCCTCGGCCTTCTGCCGGCTGTAGACAGACGCTCCTGCCTCATCGGGGATCTAGTTGAGTTCAGCTCGTACAATCACCTCATCCTTCTCGCGTCCTCAATGCAGCCGTGTTTGGCAATAGCCTGAAATCAGGAAGACGGTCTCTGTGCGCTCATGGTTCCTTATTGCTCCCACACAACACAGTCGATCGAGCGGGCCACGGTCTTGGATTCTTTCGGTTATTGTATCATGGACACAAAAACGGCAGAGCTTCCTCTTCCTATCAACATCAGACAGGTTCACCTTCTTGTCTTCATAGTTGACAGTAAATAATAGAAACAGCCAAAAAGAGATGCCAAAAAATCTTGTGAGGTGTCTGTGAAGGATGGTGCTGATGCTGCACACCTCCCCCGGCCTGGCGTCACAGGAGGCGGAGCCAGTGCGAGGGATGCAGGGGAAGGTTGAAGAAAGATGAGGTAATGCTTCAGAGAGGACGGGTCGCTCTGACTTAACCCAGAACGCAAATGCTATGAGTGGCCTGCCTTATAATGTACAGCCCTAAATGTTGAAATAATGAAATTATGTAAACCCAAACACCAGGATCCAATAAAAACACCTTTTAAATTCTTAAAAAAAATACAGGTCAGCAAATTAGAACCAAACAAAATACAACTTATGTTGCATACTGCATGTGTCCCTTCACTAAAACAAAGAGATCATATGAATTTGCACTGTTGCCTATTTAAGTGCCCATGATATTTCATTCACCTTTATTTAACCAGGAAAGCCCCACTGAGCCACTGAGCTTTGGGAGTCATGGCCCCAGAGGGGAACCGATATTGTACATGTTGTACAAGTGGTAGAGGAAACAAACCAGAGCACCCAGAAAAAACAAAGACACACGATATCATGTAACAAATCAAAAGTCCAGTCAGAAGTCCAATCAAAAGTTTTCCAACAGATATTAGTAACAACCTATAAGTAATCCACAGATGTATATACATAAAACAATAGAAGTCAATAAATTATTATTAATGTTTTTTTTTTTTAATCATGTAATAGAAGTTTTGTAATAGACCCCTTGCTGCAGGACCCCCCCACTGAGAATTAAGAAACTGGATACACGCATTGCTTTTGCATATTTTTGGCCTATTCCTCCAATTAAAAAAGTTTTTAATTGAATCAGATTTGGTGTTTGCTTGGGTCATTTCTAACAGCTGGATTTTTGTTTCTCTTAAACAAAAATTTGAATTTCTTGTGTTTGTGAACATTCTCACACTATGATGTTCCCCTTGACAAACCTCATTTTTGGAATGGTGTCGTATTAGTGATGCACAGTGCCATTTGACAATAACAATAATTTTTGTTGTCTCATTTGACCAGACAGCAGTCTTCCAGAATTTGACACTGTCATCAAACAAAAAATACAGTTTATCAGCCAACTGGTATGAACTTGAAAACTTGTGAAGGCATCATACATAATGACCATGGCAATTGAGTGCATTTCTTATAGTTTTCTTTAAAGGAGACATATAAAATCAAATTGTCTGCACACCTCTGTCTATTTGAGATTATTTCAGATTCAGAGAACTTTCAGATTCATTGTTTGATTACTTTGCATGTGTAGAATACAAAGGATGTTACCAATATCTGGTAAAGATTTTGACAATGGCATCTATAGAGCTATATTCACTGAGAGAATTCCAGACACTTCTATACCTTTTCTGTGGCTTTATATTCCATAGTGCAAACACAAAACATCAAATAATTTTAAGATTCTTTACATGAACTCCTGAGTGTACATATTTTCTTACGTCGCTTCTGAGACACAGCCTGAAGACATGCTGTGATGATGTCATAGTTTTTCTGCAGTTTGTGGCAGAGTCGGTCTCTCCTCTTCAACTGCCGGATGAGTTTGGCTGACTGCAGACTGCTGCGGTACTTCACCTCCTGAATCATAGACCGCAATTCTTCCAGGTCTGCAAGTAAGAATCAACATTATATTTTGTTGGTAAGATTTGATTGAATTACATTTTCAAACAACACTATATGTCATAGCAATAGAAGGAGCATATGGACCCAAGGGAGCTAAAAGGGTCTATCTCTCTTTTTAAAACACCTTATGTATTTTCAATGTGAAGGCCTGGGGGCAGCAGTAGCTCAGTTGGTAGAGCATTCGCCCACTGATCTGAAGGTTGGCGGTTCAGCTCTCGACATATACATCACAGGTTGAGTGGTCAGATCCACTGACCCATAGGTTGGCTGGTGTGATTCCAGCTCCCACAGATGAATGCTGTCGTTGTGTCCTTGGGCAAGACACTTAACCCACCTTGCCCACAGTGTCTGTGTACACTGGTGTGTGAATGTGTGTGTGAATGGGTGAGTGGTTCCTTGTTGTAAAGCGCTTTGAGTGCCTTGAAGGTGGAAAAGCGCTATAGAAAAATGTGACCATTTACCAAGGCCCTAAAAATTCCATGCACTAGATATAGTGTGTTAATATAGTATTTTATTATTTATATTGGAAAAATTATTAAAACATTAAAAACATACAATGTTGTAAAAAATACTTGTTAATCCCAATATGTATAATTTGAACCCATCAATTTTTTTCCAAGTATGTTTGTTCTATATTTAAATTGTGAGAAAACAAATTATTCAATACATGTACTCATTGTCTTCTTTGTTTCTTTGTACACACCAGGAACTTGTGAAACTATGCCACTGGCCCTGATCTATCTGTCACTATTCTTTGTTTAACCTAACCAAGCCTCACATAAGGACAAACACACCACAGTCTGCAATGTTTGCAGTGGGACTCAAAGGCACTGACACACGAACAGTCACTGAACAATAAAGCATGCCACTGAAGGTTCCCAGGAAACTGAGTAGCCTACCACGTATTTAATTTGTCCTAAGTGTAGTTAGAAAATAATCAGATATATAACATATGTGGGCTAGTCCTGACTAATGCCATCAGTGTATCCCCATAAGACCATAAGACCTCACCTTTTTGGGCCAAGTAGTTCCTCTGGTGTCTCCTGGTGTGTTTCTCCTGGAGCTCCTGCAGGAGGCTGGACGCGGGGTTGCTGCGGCACATGAATGCCTCAGAGCCGGATGCCTCCGTGGAGCTGTCCCAGCTGTCCTGTCTCCTACTGCCTCCACTGTACGTGTCATACAACTCCACCAGCAGACAGTCCACTATGGACGCCCGCGAAGCGCCGCTTATCTCGGGTCCCTCGCCGTCACAGTCACTGCCGCTGGTCTCAGGTCGGGCATTGCCAGACGCTGCTCCCGGTAGGACTTTCTGCTGTTCTTGGATTGCTGAGGTGTTACTGGAAAAGCTGGTGGGGCCTGTCCACTGCTGAAAATCTTCAAAGACATCCCGAGACGCGCAAGGAGAGTTAACAAACCCGCTTTCTTCAAAACACAAGCCGCTGTCGTCACATATGTCAACTTCCAAAAGTTCCGTCTTATCTAATTTTCCCTTTGACGCCATTCTCCTGAATATACACTACATCGTTAAACTTTCATTGATGCTCTGAATCGGCTACTTTTCATCAATATGACAAATGGCAAAAGTTTTTGTGTTTCGAAAAGGATAGAGTTCCTGGAGCACTCCATTAGCCTCTAATAGGTGAGAACAGTCCCGACCGCTTCTCTTTCTTCCCTGGGAAGGTTTGGGAGTTCTCGTCCTGCCCCCTGTGGCTATGAATAATGGGACAGGCCAAAACTTCTCGCTCCTGTCCTGCCACAGGTGCACGAGTGCGTCTGGTAAATAAACTCATGGCATCGAGCTAAATACAACTACAACCTGTTTTGCTTAATTCAGTTAATGAAAAAAGTAGAAACAGTAACATATTAGCATCCAAATAAAAATCACACCAAAAAGTAAATATGTTAGTGTGAGAGGTCCCGAAGTTTAAGCGTTTGTTTAAATGTGATTTCGGCTTCCGTAGCCGAGTGGCACATGACCAGTAAAAAGGAAGTGGGAGCAAACACAGGCGAGATTTGAGATTACGCCAGAAAGAACTGTATATACCATGTTATACGCTTCGGGGTGAGAGAGGAGGCAGGAACGCCTCGACATTTCATGATTTATTTTGTGAAATGGCCCCTCTACGCGGTGGATTACGGAGCCTAATAAACTGTCTGCTGATCTGCGTCACTTTTAGCAGCTTCATCTGCAGCAGCAGGGAGTCTGCTAAATCCTACCACAAACCAAACATTGTTTTAATTCTTACAGATGACCTGGACATCTCCAACGGAGGACTGGTAAATATTATAGAAAAACTGGGGTTGGGAGTTGATTTTTGTGTCAAATGATTGCTATATTTGTGAAAGAACTGACTTCACATTCTTGGAACATAAACACATCTTTTAAGCATGACAAACGTTTTTCTCCAATGCTTTCTCCAGTGACATGTGGTATATATATATCAATATATCAACAAACAGCTGACACCTTTTACACCATAAGTATATATTATATATTAAAAAATAATATATATATTTGTTGTGCTATTTCAGACCCCATTAATTAAGACAAAAAAGCTCATTGGAGATGCTGGTATTTCATTCAGTAATGCTGTGAGTACTATAAATAATTTTTTCTTTGCTAGTGAAGTACCACTTTATGTCTACATCTTCCATTTCTTTTACTTCTGCTTGCCCTCTGTTTATTTTCAGTTTGTTGCCAGCCCACTGTGCTGCCCAAGTCGAGCTAGTATTCTCACGGGTAAATATCCACATAACCACCATGTCATCAACAACACGCTGGAGGGCAACTGCAGCAGCGTAGCATGGCAGAAGACTGAAGAGAGTCACACATTCCCTGCATTACTCAAGACTTTTGCTGGCTACCAGACCTTCTTTGCAGGGAAATATCTGAACCAGGTGAATCTTCTTTAATTTTCTTTAGTCAACCAGTTCATGCAAAAACTATAAGAACTAGAAGTACTAGTAAACAATTATTCAAGAAAATAAAGATTAAACTCTAAAATTGACATTGAATATTTTATTTGACTAACCACTGTTCAATTATGTGACCAAATGTGTAAAGGCCTACAGCCCTAGCTAGTTTTAATTCATTTGGGATTAGTTTTTTTTACAATGCATTTGCATTGTTTGTTTTACTTCAGTATGGACATTCGGAGGCAGGAGGGGTGGAACACGTGCCCCCTGGTTGGAACTACTGGGTCGGGCTGGTACGATCTCTAATTTATCTCCTGTATTCTATAAATAATCAATGAGCCTCTTTCACATTTGTGATGACACACTCAATTTCAGGAAAAGAACTCTAAATACTACAACTACACCCTGTCTGTGAATGGAAAAGCTCAAAAACATGGGTCCGACTATAACAAAGACTACCTGACAGATGTATTGGTGAGTGATTTGTAAAGCATATTTTACGTTTACCACATACAGTCTGTCACTTAATTTATTATTCTTTATTAGGCCAACCAGTCTCTAGACTTTTTACTGTATAAATCAAACTACCAGCCATTCTTCATGATGGTGTCAGTGCCTGCTCCTCATTCTCCTTGGACTGCAGCCCCTCAGTATCAGGACAAATTCAACACAACCAAAGCGCCCAGAGGTCCAAACTTCAACATTCATGGAAAGGTACTGTGGAATGCATAATAGATTAACTTCCAAATGTCACTGATGCTTGAGGTCACTTCAACATAATTTCCCCCAATTTGCTTATTCAGGACAAGCACTGGTTAATTAGACAAGCAAAAACTCCAATGAGCAACTCCTCAATCCAGTTTTTGGATGATGCTTTCAGAAGACGGTCGGTTTTAATTTCTTATATATATTTAAAGTTGCACCATGTAACTTTTTGGGTGGAGAGTACACCACCTGCTTATTTCTATTGAGACATTATTGCTTTGCCTAGAATGTTTGCTTGGATTAAATGTATCTATATTCAAGGCTGACTCTGCCGGGCCAAGTTACTGGTCAGATTTGTGAAGATATTTAAGAAATAAATACACCGCCTCTAAATAAATACAAGATAGTCGAATCCCACACTAAACATTCTAGGCAAGGCAGTGACATGTCTGTAGAGAAAAGCAGGTGGCAGACCCTACTCTACAAAAGTTACATAGTGCACAAGCTTTACCATTATTTTGGCTTTAGGTGGACCACACTCCTGTCAGTGGATGACCTAGTAGAAAAAGTAGTAAGACAATTGGAAGTCAGAGGTGAACTGGACAACACCTATGTCTTCTTTACATCTGACAATGGTTATCACACAGGTCTGAAATTAAATAATGCACACGTCTGATGAAGTTTAAAAAAAAAAAAGAAAAAGTAATAACATTACATTAAAATTTTACCTCTCCCAGGTCAATTCTCCCTCCCTTTGGATAAGCGACAGCTTTATGACTTTGATATCAGAGTTCCTCTTATGGTCAGAGGCCCAAATATTAAGCCAAACCAGACGAGTCAGGTATGCCATAAGTATTATTGTACTGATGAAGGTGTTTGTAATTTACTGATTCCTCTTTCATATTTCCATTTATTAAAAAATTAGATGCTGGTGGCTAACGTCGACCTCGGTCCAACCATGCTGGACATTGCTGGTTATAATGTAAGCAAGACGCAGATGGATGGCATGTCTTTCCTGCCAGTAATGGTAAGATCCTATTGAAACAATACACGTAGACTTTTGCTCTCTGTCCCTCTTAGCATTTGCGATCTTTGTGACTCTATCCATCAGGAGGGTTTGATAAACAGCAGCAGCTGGAGAACAGACATCCTGGTGGAATATGAAGGAGAAGGAAGCAATGTGTCCGATCCTGCTTGCCCTCTGCTGGGTCCAGGAGTCTCGGTATGGAACAGTGAATGAACAAGAGAAAAATAGATTATTAGCTAAAAATGAAAAATTATTATTTCATTTATACTTGTAGGAGTGTTTCCCAGATTGTGTATGTGAAGACTCTTACAATAACACCTATGCTTGTGTACGCACTGTTGCCCCATCTGCCAATCTGCAGTACTGTGAGTTTGATGATAATGAGGTATGTTCAGCCGGCATTTTATTGTGTTTGAAAGTAGCAGTTAAACCTAGTAGTGATAGTGGCTGAATGCACAAACCTTTGATCACCCAGGGCAAGGCCCAGTGTAAACTGAAGTGTAATTGGGCAAGACACTTTACCAAACTTGCCAATGAGTGAATGCGTGATTGTGTCTTAGGCACAGATTAAAGCTATATTGCTCTTACTACTTAACACTTATTTGAGCTTTCCTTTAGGTGTTTGTTGAAGTCTACAACATGACAGCAGATCCTTTCCAATTGACAAACGTTGCAAGGAGTATTGAACAAGAAGTTCTGGAAAAGATGAACCGCCGGCTGATGATACTGCAGTCCTGTTCGGGGCAGTCATGTCGGACACCCGGTGTTTATGACCCAAGGTTTGTTTTCTACATTTCACTCCACATTCAGTGCATATTACATGGTCACTATCTAATCGCTTTAACTACATGTGGATGTATGTTGATGTTCCTTTTTTCTCCTCCAGGTATAAATTTGATCCCAGGCAGATGTTTATTAACCGTAGTTGGCAGCATACTAGGCTGAGACAGAAAATCAAGTAAGTGTGGTGAAAGAAAAGGAGGACGGCATCACAGAGGAAGTTTTGACTGCTTTACTAATCTCTTCCTTGTTGTTACTGCCTTGTTTTGCCCCAAGACCATGTTCCCAAATACTGGATGTATAAGGGACTGGGTAAAATCATATCTGAAGAACGAACAAAGAAGCTCAAAAGAAAATGCACAGTATTTTGAGTTATTTGTGCATTTTGCTAAACCATACATTTTTAGTCCACTCCTAAATATTTTATACCTTTTTTATTTTTAATGAGTCAAGTGCAAGGCCTTTTTGATATTTATTGTCACTTATTTGATCACAGGGTGCCTATAGTTGCAAATTTTCTTATGGTCATTTTATTATTTATTATTACATGCAATGCAATACTGCAGTATACAAGGTTATAGTTACTTAACTAAAACGTTTATGATTATTTTAAGATGTGACTTTTTTTTTTTTTTTTTTTTTTTAAATAAAGTCAAATTCTGGCTGATAATGTGGGTTTAAAAACATTTCTTAAACTTGTATTTTGTACAAGATTTGATTGGACCCAGTTATGTTGTGGTAAAGCCTCTGATCTTGGGGACATTAAGAAACATCGTCACTGCATTTCTTTGACATTTGTGAGATTGTGTTATTTGTACACTTTATTTAACTATATTTTAAACACAATCTGTGCAGACTAACAACTTAGCCACATTGTTTTTGTGTCTTAGAGACTGCAACGTAACTGAAGATTGTTTAAATGTAAATCTTCCTTTTTGATAACCTTCAAGATAACAGTATTGCTTGTGAATCAAGTGTGGCTGTTATGGCTGATTGGACAATGCATCTCTGTTGTGCATGTTACAAATGAACTGACTGGACATTTTAAACACTGTTATTTCTTTGCTGTGATGTTTTAATTTTCTCAGATTCCAAAACACTAGTACAGTCTCCATCTTAAAATTAAGACTGGTCACATTTTACTGAAGCACTTTTTGTCAGAACTGCTTTGTTGTTTTGACATTCCATTTTTATTGTTTGGGTGTAAAGTAATTTTGGCTTGTGTTTTTGTCCAAATAAAGTTATTGTGAATTACAGTGTGTCAGTGAGCAAGAGCATCTGAGGCCGTTTTGCCAATTATACCTTTACCCCCAAAAACTTTTGAGAATTAAATAAGCTTTCAAATGTAATACTTGATTCTTAGTACTATACAATAAGACTTAAACCTTTATTAATTTACAAAAACCAAATGGTAAAAATGTCAGTTTATTTATACAAATAGTCCTTATATTAGTTACCATGCAAGAATGTTTGCAGTAGAACTGGCAAAAATAAAGTCAATTTACAGCACTCAACTGATTGCTCACGTACGACTGGGATCTAGGATGGTTACCCTAGTCTCCCCCAAATTTTTGTCTCTGTTCTAGGATATTTAGAAATGTACAAACAGGGTTTCAATTAAAAACCTCAAGGACAACCTTATAGCACCCTCTTAGCACCTTCTAGGAACAGTATAAGCTTTGCTCAGGCATCCAGAATGAATGCCCAAGGGCTAATTAGGGGCATTACAGAGACTGAAGAGAGGAAAAGTGGGTAATCTCAAGAGTACTTTAGTCCTTTTAGCTTTAGTTCTGTTATGCTTCGGTCTATATAGGCTTTAGTCCTGTGATTGGCTTCTATCAACTCTGCTCCCATGACTCCAGCACAGGCAGAAAGGGGAGCTCAGTGTTGCCCAGGTATGTTCTGCCCCTGTGCTGAAAGACTTCACTGATGGCCCACGTCAGTCTGCCCTCGGGATCATGATGACTTCCTAAAAGGTTCCCATCCATTCCCAGCTCCAGGACAAGAGCATACTGGGGCAGTAGAATATTATACCAGCTCAAAGGAACTACCTACACACAAGCAAAGAGGTCTTGGGTTGGATTAAATTGAAACTTTTATGTTCCAAGTAGTAAACCATCATTTTGTTTAAAGGTGCACAGTGTAACTTCTGGAGGATGCCACCTGCTTGTCTCCATGGACATAGTGTTGCTTTACTTGTATGTTCCACATGATGCCATTAAGGCAAGGTATGTACTATGTGGTAAGGTATGTACCTAACAACATCAACAAAAAACTTGGAAAAACTTGAAAAATGGTGGCGCACCTTCTTGCCTATAAGATAAGTTTAGTGTTTTTCTGTGGAACATGTAGGCAAAACAATAAAATCTCTTATGAGACAAACAGGTGGCAGACCCTCCACCAGAAAAGTTACATAGTGCACCTTTAAGTTTATTGGCACAACTGAGAAGAACTATGAATATGACTCACTTTAGCCAGGAAGCGCTTGATGGCTGGGTATGGTGCGATCATATCCAGGAAGGGAGGCATGAACTTCCTGAAGCGAGGAGTTGTTATGCCAACCAGGAATGTCCTATGGTTGCTAAGGCGGATATTGTCGGGGTAACCAATCATGTTATCCATGACTATCTCCTTGGTACCAGCCATGTCTCCTTTCAGCCAGTATCTAAAGAGAAGAGAACAGTGTAAATGATGATTGTACGGCCAGGCCAAAAGGAGCGTACATTCCAAGAGAAGTTTATCTTTTAATTAAAATACTATAATATATTTAGCAATGTATAAAAATCATCATATACTGTCATTTTTCCATCCTTTTGTTGTGTGTTATTTTGTGTGTGTCTGTTTATACCTCATAATACGTCCAATGCTGGTCTCTGCAAACAGCAGGAAGTCCTCTTCTGGAGAAAGGGCAATCCCATTGGGCATGAAGAGAGAGTCAAGCAGAACACGCACATGTCCCGTCTGAGGATCATAGGAGAGGAGACGACCAAGGCTGTTCAGTTCAATCACCTGGCAACAAAACAATTTAATGATCTCTCAAGTTTTGCTGTGTAAAACCTATGATGTCATGCGTGTCTTACTTCTAGTTTGACATGTCTGCGGCCCCAGCGACTCGATGAATCAGTGAAATAGATTATACCTGTTTTAGAAGAAATCTCCAGGCCATTTAAAAAAGCAAAGGCAACTCCGTTTGCACCTTTGAGTTAGAGCAAACATACTGTAAAACAATTAATCAACACAAATAAATATACTGACATGCAGTATAAATATGAACCATTTCCAACCTTGTGAGTTAGGCAAGAGCAGAGTCTTCTCTCCACTCTGAGGGTTCACACTAAACAGCCCTAAATATGAGTCTGCAACAATCAGTTGACCATCACGATTCAAACGAATGCCATGGGGACGGCCACATAGGGGTTCAAACTCCGGAGAGCTGCCTGCAAAAAACATTGTTACCTTTGTTCACAATCTAAACTTCAATTATGTCCTAAACTCAGATAACCCCACGGTCCGCACTCATGCAAGAAGCTTCTTCAGTTGTAATAATTCCCTTACCAGTGCTCTTTCAGAAGTGAAGAAGCTATTTAGATGAATGACGAAGCTTATCCTATTATTCAACTGTTTTTTCTTATATTAATTTTATTTTTATTAAGTTTAAGTTTATTTATTCTGACAGAGAAGACAATTACCTATTAGCAGTTTATGTGCCATGTGAATAGAACCCAATAAACCAGTAATAATTGCAGATCTACCACAGAATTCTGATGTGCCCTTCAGCAATACGCCTGTTCAATCAAGTCATCATTCTATATTTTAAGAAAAAGAACATTTGAGAATAACACATACCACATCCCTTTAGATTTTGTCCCATATGAGTGATAAGAGTCAGGTGGTCATCAGGATCAATTTTCCACAGCTTCCCGTCTACAGTGCCAGTATAAACATTACCTAAAGCCCACACATGGAAAAGTATTCTTTATATGTGACTTTCTCAATCATTATCCTTTAAAAAAATAACCTATGGAAATGTCATGTTTCACGTGTAATTCTTGTTTGCACCTTGTTCATCAGCTGCGAAAGATTCTGGTCCATGGAGTTTCCCTGTGAATAACCTGTGCCCATTCTGTAAATGGGTGTTCACCGCCAGGGGCCCCTCGAGAGCAGGAGGAGGGCCCTTCAATCTGAACATGTAACAGTTTTTCTCACGTGTATATTACAGATACAATTTAAAATGATATCACTACATGATCATTAATTTTGTTTGTACATACATGTGTGGTTTGGGATCTATTGGAGATGGTAACAGATAAATGCCCAAAGCTACAGCAAGGACAGCCACTAATATGGTTCTCTTGACAAACCTACAAAAATGTAAGATTATCAGATTATTATGGCTTTTTAGTGGTAGACCTTAAAATTTAACAAAACACTGGCACTCGGGTGATAACGTAAACTGTTAATAGTTAAAGTGAACTTTGACATGCAGAAAATGTCAACATGTGTGTAGGCTGAGCACTGCTACATTACGCAGCTATAGGTCCACTTGTCATGTGAAAGGTTTGCTATTGTTTTTCCTCATTATGATCCATAATATAGATTGAAAACTATTCTGGACCATCACACATTAAAATGAGGAATTGTGGTAAACAAAACTTACATTGTGTGTAGGTGCTTGCTTGAGTCCTCTTTGTGCAGCCGAAATCCTTAAAGTGTGAGGAGATAATTCAGATAAACTACAGGAGATCAAAGAGTCTGTGATAAACCATATGCTTCCGGTTATGACAGACAAAATAAAAGCCTTCTTAAGCGGCGCGCTTTACTATTGCATTTCTTTGATGTTGGCGTGCACAAAAGCTGTCACTGCCATCATATAATTTAGCTGTTTAATACGTTTTGTATTGTTCGACGAAATTGTTTTGTTTCCTGGCTATAAAAGACAAACACCCACGTACATATTATTTTAGTTTTTTTATATTGAAATTATATCCGGTGTGTTTTCATGTTGTAGCAGCAGCCTTAATGTAACGAAATTCTGAGTGAAGTGCGAGAGCAGCAGAGGGAGGAGGTGGCGCCCACTTCTTGGCACTGAAGTTACTTAAGTGGGGGTCATCCAGAGGTCAGGGGGTGGGCCTTTGTTTGCTAACAAAAGCTTAGTAGAGGGCGTTATGCAGAAATATTCACTTTAAACACAGCTGCACAGACAGAGGAAAATTTGATAAAATATGGGCTACAATGATATTTTGATTACATGACAAAGAAGAGAGAAGATAAAAAACAAACAAACTCAGTGTTCATGTTTAAAAGGTGCTGGTGCACTATATAATTTTTCATAAGACTGATCCACCACTTGCCTGTCTTCATGGAGTGTTATAGCAATTGCCTGGAAGGTTTCACAGTATGACTTTTAACTTTTCTATGTTGCATTAATTCTCCATTGTCACCATGGAGATAGACAGTGCCACACTGTGGAACATCTCCATGGAGACTAGGCTACATACCCTTGAATGTTATTTATAAAACCCACCAAAAATGTATGAATTTATATCACCTTTATTAGAAATATTTCATTCCATTTTTGCAAAGGCCCCATTGGATTTAATGATATGAACAATGAACATGTGATGATGTATTCAAGGCACCAACTTGTTTTCTGTAAAATCAATATTTATGCCCTAAAAAAAAAAAGAAAAAAAAAAAGACTTGCATACAATATCTAACTCATAACATCCACTAAAGCTTATAAGTCTAAAGCCATAGTCACTCGTGTAAGCTTCATGTCATCCATGACAGCAAAAGATGACAGATTAGAGATATCAGTCTAAAATTTCAGTCACAATATAGAAGTTGTTTGGTCTTTCTTTGCTTGTTTTATTCAAATTTAGCTTTTAATTTTGTTCAACAAGGTTTGGTTTTGGGCTTAATATAGTAATATAATAGTTAATACAGTTTTAGTGCTTAACTTCGTACAGCATTTGGTATATTTTCTAGTTAGTGTTGAACAAATACAGACATTAAAACAAACTACTTTGATAACTACTTGATGTTCAAATGACATGAACTGCCACTGGACACTTATAATATATTATTAGCTGAGTAATGCAAGCCACAAGCATAAAAGAGACACTAGTGGACACAGGCAGAAGATTTCACAGTCTACAAAATAAATCCAAACAATAAACAAAATAAACATGGAAATGATAAGTAAAATTTTAAACATGTGAGAACTATAGCTCACTGTTACAAAAACTGAGTGGAGCTCAATAAAACTTGTTAAATAAAGACACCATAGTGTGTTGCCCTGTAGATCTAATAATGAAGACAGCAACAGAAAAAAAATGTGAAAATCAAAAAGAAATCATCTGTCTTCCCTGAATTTAAAGTTAAAGTGCCCGAAACATTCTTTGGATACAACTTTCTTCTATGATGTATTTATTATCTATTTAAATTGCTTTTAAATATAACTTTAACAACATGGCTTGAAGATGCTATATAAATGTCTCAATGCAACTCCCATATTGCGTAAGATAAGAACCCAGTGTTAAGCATAAAATAACTGAGGGTTAAAAGAAACCCATTTAAATAAACTCTATACATCCCTATATTGGGACTCTAACATTTTTGCTCCAGGCAACATCACAAAATATCTTTGGTTATTGAGTACAACATTTACAATTTCAAAATAACAAAAAATAATCTAATGTGGGTTTGACACAGCAATAAGAATAGTACCTGGCTTCTCCACTAGATGGCGATGTTATCCAGCAGTCTTCAATGAAAAGGACTAACCAGAACTGTCAGTTTTACTTCATTCAGTACTGGCAACAATGCACAAACTAATATTGCTTTATTACTGTCAGCTGGTTGTCTTAATGATTGTTACAAAACGCTGATTGCCAACGCACCAAAAAACTGCAAATATTACACCAACAAGCAAACCTAAATTTACTGTATACACTGCTTGCACTTTTCCTACCTTTTCCACAAATATTTTATCATGTATGTATATTCACTTTGATCAACAAAGAAATAAAGAAAGTCTGACACACTGGACAAAGGCAGTTGGTTTGAACAGAAGACAACTGGTCAATGCTCACGAACAAGCCTACAAAAGACATTCTTCTTCCTACACAATCATTAAAGGAACATTTAAGAGACAATTCACCCCTAGTTAGTACATAGAGATAGTAAAAGACACATTTGACTAGTAGCTTGAGGAGAATCTGTGCATTGCCCCCAAAGCTCATACTACCTTCTGTTTTCATTTCTCATGCCATTTCAAAACAACTTCTTTCAAACTTCCTCAATCCGTTCTACAACCTCTAAAGCGCTTCATCGACTTCCAGAAACCTTCAGAATCTCTCACTTCCTACTCTCACCACAGCGGGTCAAGGGTCAGGAATTCAAACTTTTGCCCACTGTGCTTTAAACTGCACCACAACACAAACCTAAAGCAAAACTACATTATTTCCCATCCACATTAAACCTTCAACAAAACTTACTGAAACATTTCTATGTCATCTCTAGACATTTTCAGATACACAGTGACTTTTAACTTCACTACTACTTAAATATACAACAACTGTATATATCTTGATATGGGGTGTACGAAGTACAAGTACTCTCTTTGCAAACATTAAGGCATTTTCTAAAAGCAAAAGTAAATGCTGCCAGACACTTATTAACTTATTGAAACCAAAAGCAGTAGTAGATGAGTAAAATTAGAAACTGGATAAACTATTCATTCTGTGTCACCTGCCACGTTGCTCATAAAGTAAATAAGACTTTTCATGAAAATGAAAACATAAAAACATAAAATTGTCACCCACATAAATTAAGAAAAAAGAAAAAAAAAATATGTACAGACCTTTAAATAAAACAGACTCAACAAATGGCCTTGAGTATTTCACATGCCTCAGAGAAATAAAGAGGAACACAAACATGAGTATACAAGAATGACTGGACTAACAGGACTACACCTAAATGCATATGGCACATAGATCCTGGATCTTTGGTCTGGTTGCATTGTGACGTCTTTGATGCTGCAGCTTTGAGACAGTGGAGTTCAACTCTTCACTTGTCCTTCACTTTTGATTAATTTCTTGAAAAAGAAAAAACATCTTGTCAACATGACAAGTCTCATGAGTGTAACAGGAAGCTTCCTCTTAATGTCCTCTTGTTCAGGCCTCTATGAAAGCGCTCGGACATGCTGCAGCGCCTCCTGCAGTCTCTGTTTGTAATTTGTGTAGCGCCGTATGACAGCCTCCTTCTGTTCCTCCTCCTCCTTATCCAGAATCCGAAGGAAGTTACGCAGTTCAGGAATAGAAAATGCATCCCACTGTAATAAAGAAAAAAAAACCTTTGTAATATGAACAAACTGACCCAACATTAAAAGGCATAATTCATTAATAAAAAAATTAATTATATATTCATTCATGAATTTATATGAGAGAGAGAGAGATAAAGCAATGTGATGAGCAAAGGTTGTCTAGATGAATGGAAAGTACAGTAGCTACATAAACAATGACTAGTAAACACATAAACACAAGCATGAACAATATTAATTCCAATATAATTATGTAATTATGTATGTATTCTATTATAAATAATATAAACAAAATGTTTAACGTGTTACCATGACTTCTCCAGTTTGCTGCTCTCGAAGTACAAAGCTGAGGGTGTCCAGGTCAGGCCCTGCCACCAAACGCAGAAACAGGGGCTTCTCCGTGTCCCCTAGTTTACACACATACACTGCAAAACACACATAACAAACTTTTACTTCTGTGACTCAAGGTCATTTTCTGTGCAGTGTTTATATGAACACAATGAAAACTGTGTCCAAGGCTAGATATCTCAGATATGTATGCAAGGTGACTGGATACTCCCTTGGTCTGTTTTCTTGTAGTGTATTTGATGCCCCAACCCATTAGTAAACCAATATATTGTGTTCAGTGGTTTGTGGAGCCAGTCACTAAGAAATGATGATATTTTTAAGTATTTGTGAATCATGTCTTTGGGAGATTTACTATTCTTGAAAGAAATAACCACAGTTAGACCCCTGCCCACCACCTGGCATCATCAAATTCTAACACATGAAGGCAACCCAGATAATCAGAATTAACCGGTCTCATTGTTTCAGTGCTAAGGCAGACATCTGTCTCAGAGCAGTTTATTAAGACTCAAATCTAAGGTCAAAGACAGTTTATCCAGTGCTATATATTTTAACACTATGCTGTAAATCCAATAGGCTTCTGTCTGTTTCGAATAAAAGTAGCAACATCTGTTGTCTAGACTGCATTTTATTAGTGAGTTTTACTGTAGTCTTGAGACAGTAGTCACATATAAATCTATAAGTTTGTCAAACATCAAATAAGACATAAAACGGTTACACAAATATATCAGATGTGAAGGATTTGTAAACAACTGTCTATAAACTCTTTCCCAAATTTGGAGGTGCTAAGTAGGGTCAAATGATAACATTTGATACTCTACAAGTCTGCAGCAGCTGTTGGTTTACAGAGAGCTAGTGCAAGTTTATTTATACTTTGTGTATGAGGGTGTGTGTTGCTTATGAATGGCTGGTGGTGGGGAGAGCCCTGAGACACCCAGTAATTAGCAACAGCAGAGTTCAAAAATACCCCGGAGTACACATGGGTCATCACCAGGAGGTCAGCACCAAAGCGTTTGACACGGGGCCTGGTATGAGCGGCATGAGCCCATCTCTTTCTCTGTTTACAGCATGTAATAGAGCCACTGTGGGTGACTGGGGCAGTTACCTTGCTCCTCTCTGCGGTAGCGCTTATATAGTGCATATTTGGCTGGGTTGTCAGCCACCGTGAACTTGTTTAGTAGAGCCACAATGACCTGTGGAAACACAATAGATATAACTCAGAACACAAAAATAGAGCATTTATAAGCTGTTTACTAAGAATGGATATATTATTTTTGGCTATGCAGCAATATGTGTTTTTCAATATTCAACTAAAACAAAAAAAAGGTCAAATGTCCCATTTTTCCCCACTTCTTTATTGTAGTATTCCATGGAGAGTCCAAGAGTCAAACCTTGGACCGTTTTGCAGTGAGACACCATTGTACATAATGTTTCTTATAATTCAGTTTTGCTCACTCTCAGTATATGGACAAGCAATCTGTCATGTTATTATAAGATTAATATTATAAGTATGGCCAATAAAGTGATTAAAGAGTGCTGATGTGTGAGAGCTCACCTCTTTGACAGTGTTAACAGAGCTGACATGTAGGGTGTTGATAGCTCCTCGGGGCAGATAGAACGCTTCTCCCTCTGGCCCCCTCTGGCCCCCCCGAACTGTCACAGGCCTCCGCAGATCCATCTGGACTTTAATAAAACCTGTGTACACATCAGTGCGGCCCTGGGATGGACCAAACAGGATAAATATTAGGTCATGTTAATAATGTGTACTAGCTGCACAAAATATGCACTTAGTTAAGGTATATAAAATATATTTTTACTATAAAAATAATCAGATATTTTTGCAATCCATCACAAGCGTGTCTAATGTGCCTTAAATACCTTGACTGAGGTTCAAGTATCTCACAAATGTGAAACTGTGTAAAATTAAACCCCAACTGTATCCAAAGAACATGCACTGTGTAACTCTTCTGGTGAAAGGCACACAACCTGCTGTCTCCAAAGAGAGGTTAAGGCTTTGCCTTTTACACTGCATGGCATTAAGATAATCTATCGCCATGGAGATAAGCAAGCTCAGCCACCACATAGTTACAGGTCAGATCTGCGGGGAGGTGACCCAGCAAATGCAAGATAGACCAGTTTTCCATGCTATGTAACTTTCCAGGCAAAGCACTTACATCTCCATAGAGAAAAACATGTTGATGCTTGTCAACACAGAGGATCACCCCCCTCCAAAAAATTTATTATTTATGCACATTTAAGAGTAGAGAGTCTTTTTTTGCAATTTTTTTGCCAGATATCTTATTATAGACCATATAGTAGTCAATATTGTTTGCAAATTGATTTGCGTGTAGACAGCGGTTTGTGCACCTCAACAGTGTAAATGATAAAGCAATCCTCCAGCTTCCTCATGTGATTAATTCTGTATGTTTGTGATCTTGTGTTTGCCATATGATCTGTAAGACCAGTTTACACAATAAGCTCAGTGCAGAGCAGATGGTCCAGACAAGAGGAGCAACCTAATCTTAACACTCCATATGGGGCTATGAGAGAGGGTCATAAACCAGTACAGATTAGACCAGTGACTCGTTGCATTGTTGTCGTGGGTCTGGTTTAGTTTGTTTACTTATTATTATTTATTTTATTTTTATTTTTTTTATTTGATTGGGACAGAGCATGTTAACGAACAAACATGACACAACATTAGGAGCATTAGGAGTCTTAGGATTGTATCCTAAGGCTAATTTCCATCCATTGTCCCAAAGGGCTGGGGTCACAGGGGGTCATGCACTATGTAACTTTTATGTAACCAGGTTCAATACAAGCCAGCCCAAGCATAAGTATAATGTAGAATTTAAATAAACATTTAAGGTGCACGGTGCAGGTCTTTTCTGGAGTCTGCCACCTCCTTGTCTCCATGAAGATGTTCATGCTTTGTTTGGAATGTTCCACAGTATGGCATTAAAGTTATATAGAACTTATTCAATTCCATTTGTTTGCTTATTATTACTCAAAAATACCTTAGAAAACATGGATTCTCACTGTCTGCAGGCTCATCTCTCCACATATCTGGCCTGTAACTTACCCTGCTTGTCTCCATGGAAATAGATAAGGATATCACACTGTGGAACATTCCAGTCAAAGCAATAACGTCTCCATGAAGACAAGCAAGTAGCAGACCATCCATCTGAAAAGTTACATAGTGCACCTTTTTGTTTACTTTAGTTACACATTATACGTGGGTCTTACATTGAACCTGGGTTAGTCGTTTCATTACAGTGCTGTTTCAGACTTGCTTTAGATTGGACTTTTTATTACTTTGAAAGCTCTATCCCATAGTTTGTTCTCACACTTTATCTCTACATTGTAAAATGACTTCTGCTAAAACTGCAGGTCTCATTTAACCCTGTCAGATGTTAATACAATCGCACTCAGCTCTCACACTGCCAGAGTAAACACACGGGCAGAGAACAATGGCAGGAATAACATCATATCACTCTGATGTGAGTGCTGTGGAATGCAAATGGAGGGAACAGGGGTGTTGAAACATTAGCACATCAATGCAAAGTTACATGACAAGTCAAGACATCTCAGTAGTAATTTACTTTAATGACTACTGCTTGTATTATTTTAAATAAAAATTTGGTTGCCAAAGCAAAAATATATTTATCTGAGTGTGTATACTCACAAGTGTCATTTTCAGATAGTCTTTGGTCACAGAGTTGTACAGTTCAATCCTCTGTCGAATTTCCTCTCGACTAAACTCTGTCCGTAGCTCTCTGTCCTTTTCCACATCCTGATGTAGAAAACAAAAGAAAACAGGTAAAGACACAAGTAGAAAGAGCACAGGCTCTGATTAGGCCACGTGCATCAAGTGTTCCCTAAGCCATGCTAAGAATAGATGAGATTCACAAGATCACAGTATGACAATATTACCATATTTTACGCACTATAGGGCGCACTTAAATTTAATTTAATCAAAAAATGACTGCGTGCCTTATAATTCAGAGCGCCTTATATATGAATTTATTTGGGTGTCTTAGTACGACTTTAGTAAACTACAAAGCTGCACTACTTGCAGCATTATGGCTACCGTAGTCAGGAGAATCGCGGAGTAATGCATACTGTGATTTCTTTTAATATCAAAATGCACCTGTCAAGAGACACGCTTACAATGCCGACTTTAAACTCAAGGCTATTATAAAGTTAAACTGCAAGCTGTGTGGGAGCAGTGGATAAGAGAAGGCGAACACACATTCACCAAGACAGGGAGACAGCGCCGAGCAACTTATGCCACGATCTGCCAATGGATCGCGGATGCCTGGGCTAAGCTATCAGTATCAACTGTCGTCCGAGCTTTCATGAAGACCGGAATCATCACTGAACTGCCAGGTAACAGTAACGACACTGACTCGGATAATGATGAGAGGGATGTGGGCGTGCTGGACGCCATAATCGCCCAACTGTTTGAACTATTTTGAGTTATTGTGAATACGCTAACAATTTAGCGTCTCAGACAGTATTTACACGTTACAATTGAACAAATTTGAGAGTTATTGTGAACGCATTAAATAAAGTTTCGTTTAATGTGCCTTATAGTCCGGTGCAGTTTATATGTGAAAAAAGTTCAAAAATAGACCATTCAATGACAGTGTGCCTTATAATCCAGAGCGCCCTATAGTGCAGAAAATACAGTATATGTGAGAGTACTCACAGAAATGCTTTTAGCTATGTCTCAGGGCATTTCTACTGTTTTGTCTCTGCTTTTGACTTTTTTGGAATCATGCAATTAATTCCATATCATAATGACGAATAGGGACATAAGCAGCATTTATTGTTGTCTGGCCACTTGGCCTTCATGTGGACATTTGAAGGACATTCACAACTGGAAACCAACTTAAGAGTTAGCTGTAACTGTATAAATGTAAAAATGCTCACGGGTCAGCACATGAAAGAGCACAGACTTGGTCTCAGTGGAAAACAAACAGCTAATTATAAAACACTGCAGACAATATCACCACAAAGACAGTGAAGTCAGCACTTACTTCACAAGCATTATGTGCACAACGTGTAATAAGCCCTGCATGTGTGCGGGATTCAAGAGGCTTCAGGAGAAAAACAAGCTAAAGCTACATAATACAGCAAGTTCTAAGGAGTACAAAACAGTGAATCATAAGCAGAACAATAAGGGCCTGAGAAGATTGATAATATCTTGGAAAATATGGTCAAGGATTGGACAGATGTCACGTGACAAAGTCAAAGTTACATAATCAGTTGTAAAGCGTTTAATGACCACGGAACCAAATGGAATGATTTCAGTAAACCACACTCTAAAAAGAGCTGTAGTAAGAATCAGAAGGCTATATTTTTTGTTTTTTGTTTGTTGTTGCTATATGAAATCTTCTAGGTATATTTAGATACATGTGATTTGATCATTTGCAGGATTATTGTACAAAAAAAGTTTATGTAATGCATGAGGATGGAACAAAGTGTACAAGCAGGTGTAAAAAGACCTGGACAACTTTAGTGTCCCTCCTGTCTGTAATGTGTGCTTACATGGGCATAGTCCAGCTGTGCATCTATCAAACCACCTCACACACACAGTGCACAATCCAGGAACACTTTGAAGGCACATGCAGCCTTATATGGACACCAAATCCTGCTACAGTCAAGACAAGGTGCCATTGCAGCCTCTGCTTATAAATACAGACTTCTTTAAGATCACACAGCTAAGGCAATGACAAACAGAATAGACACAGATAAGTGAATTAACTAAAGATAAACAAACCATTGGAGCAGATCCACCTGATGAGACAATACTTTCTGATCTTGTCCCAGACGCTGACTCTCTCAGATTAAGTAAACACCTCAAATCTTTTAACCTATCTAAGACTTTGATGTAGTTTTCAATTATAATTAAAAACTTCCACTTCTTTACCAGATGACAACTTAAAGCATTACTGGGAATTGCAAGTAATAGGATTATGAGTAAATATAGATGAAAATGGAATGAAAAGGTCAGAACAAAAAAATATATAAAAAGACGATAAAAATAAACTGGAGATTTTTCCTTTAGTGAGTGGGATTGGGTTTCTTTTTGTCCCTGTGATGGAGTAAGTTCACACAATACTTGGAAGGAAGTCAACAAGATTAAGACATTTCAGTTTATGCATTAGCTTTCTATTACACCACACACCAGTACGTTGACCTGTCTGACAGCTTCTTTACAACTCTCTTGACAGATAGGTGCACAATTTAGTTTCGGATTTATAAGACTTAAGGGTGTACAATATATCATATGAACCAGGAGGGTGTGATGGTGGCTATATCCAAACAAGAAGCTGAGTGAGCTACAACACAATGAGGTCATGTTCCTGTTTGAGACCTCGTGTATCCTCCCACTGACACTGAAGGTCAACACTGAGGATCTGAAGAAGAGAAGAAAACAGCTGAGACAAACTAGGTAAAAGATCCTGCTATTTTCTCATCAGCTTGAAAGTGAAATTTAATCTATAAATTTGAATGAAACATGAAACATGCTCTCTTTTCTGGTGAAGATGTTGTAATACGTTTCCGGGTGTCATGAGTCAGAGTTACTGAGCAATGAGCATAGCCTTTATTATCATGCAATGAATAAACTTCACAAGGAAAAGCAACCACGAATGCAACTACAACGAGACAACATAATTATTATAAAACAAAGAAATGTGTAGTTTAGTACATCAAAAAATGTTGTGTTTTAATGTAATTGTTCGATGAAGAGCTTTCCAATGAAATAAATGAAGAGTGAGACAGTGTGCAGGAGTCTTAGGTTTTTACAAAGTTTTCAGACCAATGTTAAAATATCTGAAGTTAAAATGTCTAAAATACAATAATAATAATAATAATAATAATAATAATAAATAAAATACTGTGAACTGGCAGTGGCACTCAAAACAAACACTTAAGTTTAAACTAATGGAAATGTCAGAAGACAGCTGAAATGAGAAGTTTTAGATTGGGACATCAGAGAATTCAACCCTATCATGTTCAATCTTGTGCTCGTACCAGTGCATCCTGCTCTTCCACTCGCTGGTGATCAGTAAGAGAAGTTTGTGTCTGTATGGCGTTTTTCAGCCTTTTATAATCAAACACACAGGTGGCATTCTTGTCTTTGTTTGGAACTATCTCATGCATGCAGGGCCATTGTCTGAGTACACATGACAACAGTGAAGACAAAACATGCTCAGGGAGGATTTAAACTGGTGTGTTTGCTGATGTCTCGGGGCGCAGGGTGCAGAGAGCAGACTAAACATAGGAGTTAAAACTGCTCCTTAAATGTGTGCTGCATAATTTTCTTTTGGCTTCTATGGTTAGAACTACATCTTGAATTGTAGGTTTTGTGTATGTATAATTGTTTGCATCCAAAAACACATCAAATAGTCAAGACAAGTTTTGCAATGAGAAAGAGATCAAATTATTAACACAAAGTAAAATTAAAAAGAAACTGAATGTGTTTAACATGACTGGCATTTCTGCGTAAAGTAATTCTTTTAACAACAACTAGTCTCAACCCAATTTTAGATTTTATGAGACCTTTGAAATGTTTGTGTTAAATCTAAATATTTATTAAAATATTGCTTATTAGTGTTGTCTGTCATGACTGGACCACCTTTCTCTTCTTCCTACCTCTTATTGTACACATTTGCCAATATCCCCCTCCCCTCTCTCACTTTGGTACTTCCCGTTTGGTCCGTGGGGGAAGAGGAGATGGGACACACCTTTCCTTCCAGCATTCCTACACTAATGGGTGCACTGTGGAGGTCCAACGGGTGACGTGTGCACACCGTGTACTTGCAACTTCACTCCACAAATGGTGAAGTTGTCAATAAGTTCAAAACAACGCTTTATGTATAGATGTTTACAGTAAAGGCTACGTGATAAGATGTAATTTCCACAAGGTAAAAGAATGCAAAACAGACTAAACATTACAGAGGGAAAACCACTAGCTGCTCAACTGAATCATCTGTTGCCTCAAATGACTAGAGACAAATAGATAAATAGAATATCTGTATACTGGTGAAGACATGACAGCAAGATTAATTGTTGTTTAGATAGATCAACCAAAAACTTGGCTGGGTGAAGACCTCTAGCTACCACAATGGGGAAAGAGAAGCAGCAAAGGTAACAAAATCAGTGCAAGTGGATTTAAAATAAAGGATACATCTGAACCATAAAACAATGAAACATGAAGGGTGAAAGAGGAAGAGAAAAGTAAGACTAATGCAGATATATAGTTTTTATTTATCATGGCTATAATAGAAGTGGGATCATTATCAGTGACGCTACATGTTGTTGTGATGAGTTGTGTGTGTGTGTTAGGGTTAGGGTTAGTCACTATGGCAGTTATTAAGACACTTTTATGACTATGAGACTGGAAAAATCCAACAAGCAACAAGGTGTGGTCCGCTCACAATAACATGGTAAAATGGTAAATGGTCACATTTTTCTATAGCGCTTTTCCACCTTCAAGGCACTCAAAGCGCTTTACAACAAGGAACCACTCACACATTCACTCACACATTCACACACCACTGTACGCAGACACTGTGGGCAAGGTGGGTTAAGTGTCTTGCCCAAGGACACAACGGCAGCATTCATCTGTGGGAGCTGGAATCACACCAGCCAACCTGTGGGTCAGTGGATCTGACCACTCAACCTGTGATGTTTATGTCAAACCTGTGATGTTTATGTCAACATATCACAGAGCTTTAAACATTCAGGAACGGTCCAGGTATTTAAGTATTAATTAATAAA